GTGGAGGAAGTAAGTAACCGGCCGGCGGTAACGAGAACCACCCTACGGCGGCGAAGAGTCCAGCAATCATCTCGCTTCCCCCACCATCAAGTCCGGTTACTTGTTCCCATACCGGACATGAACTGGTAACCAGACGCGAGGCCGTGGTCCGACATATGATTGAGCCGTCGTGCCGGTTTTCCACTCCTCGGGTTAAATATGAAAATCCTATTATGTTTCGCGGTGATTTCAGAACGAGTGGTGGGTTTTAAAATTGCTGGATTTGTTATTCGTATATATACCAGAAGTGATCAGTAGTTTATTTTTTCACCATGCTGAACATACCAAATTACAACAAACTAAAAATCACATTTCAGGAAGATCGGAAACGCGAAAAACCAGCAGTGGTTATCGATGAGTGCGGAAACCCACATTAGAAAAATAAAGTCGAACTATATCGAAAATAATTGGGCAATGTTACAACTGAAAACTTTGTTATTTGTTTTATTTCTTCTCAAGGTAGCCTAACCAAAAACTTTAACTCTTGATATATCCAATAAAATATAACCAATTTAGACACATTTTATATATATATACAAATATATATATATGATGATTGTAATCTGTATTTACGATACACGTCGAATTTAAACAACCCGAATGACACAATAGTTCGATTGCTCTTTAATTGATTTTCACGTCCGAAGAGAATTTGGTTGAACTAGATTGGGAACAAATTTGGATCGAATTCGCACATGTCTAGTCGCGACCAATTGAAGATTGATTGACCAATTGAAGACCAAGATTGAAATCAAATCCGATAAGATATGTAACAGGCCTACATCACGCTGAAATACCGTCGGCGAACCGTTGGTCCAGGCCATAGTTGTGCGATATTAGACCTTTGGTTGAGGCAGATAAATCAAAGAGCATATAGGTCGATAATATGACTACTAATCATCACACTTTCCTGTCGACCTGTATGAAAATAACTAATTAGTTAATACAGCCGCATTGACTTGAAATTGGATAGCGGACAAAATTGTACACGTTTTTTTTTTATTGGATTTCATAAAATAAAACAATATTAACCGATATCAATATAAGTACAAACGTAATGTTTGTCATAATGTACAATATTGCAAAAAACAACAACAATATTACTCAATACATATACAGGAATAAAAGTAATTTTCATAATGAACAATCTTTTTTATATTTTTAAACAATATTGCAGTATTTGATACAATACAAATAATAGAAATGTGACGCATTAACAATTACTCACAATCATTTAATACCACAGTCTATATTTTAAATGCCAAGAATTCCCCATTTTTTTATGTTTGTGTAATTTTCCTTTCTTCAGAGCCAATATTCTTTCATTCCCTATTATAATGTCAAAAATTAAAAAAAAAATTATTGAACTTTGGCCTTCTTTTACCAATTTTACATTTGTAAAGATAAAATCGATCAGCAAGTAAAACACAATTACAGATCATGTCAAAGAAACTCCTACAGTATCCTAAAAAACATTCAATCTTGGTAAAAGCGAAATTAATGCCACTTTTTACATACATCATACATTTACATTATCCAATGACTGGTGGTGATATAACCTATTTGTCAAGCTGGTTGGCGTAGCCGTGTAAATGGAACAGATGCTACACCAATGTATATTTCTCCCCTATTGAAACCAAACGCATCTCTTTTCACATCAAATTATTTCATAGGGCAATAGTGTTGAATAATATTCTATATGGACTCAATTTGGCAGCGTCTAATCTATGTGACTTTTGTAATGTACAAGTTGAGAATGTCAATCACCTATTTCATGAATGTAATTACTCGTCAATACTCTGGAAGCAATTGAACCAGTGGATGTATGTAACCCGGCATTGTTGCATGTACGCCTTGTTGCCTCTCACGGTTACGTAAACCAGTTTGGAAAATAGGTTATATCACCACCCATCAGGAATCGAACCGTTGTACGTAGTCGTAGGGTATAGAAAGAGTTCATCTCCCTTTAAATCTAACAACTATTTTTCAGTTCGATAATCTCGGACAAGCCGATATGAATTTTGAATACTTCTGTGGTAGACTCAATCTGTCAGATTATCTTAGCAATGATGTTTCGTTGTAGTCTCGGCCATGAAAAGAAAACATTGCATCAAACTGGTTATGGACCTTTCCCCGAGCAGCGACTTCCTTGTTTACTTCGTGACATTGGCCAATCAGCAAGATGCAAAAAGTGACGTAACAATGTCCCCTTTTTGCATCCCCTCGGACACTTTTCTCACTCAGACAGATTTTCAAGCGGGGTTGTAAACATTACCTCGTTTTCGCGTTTTTGAACTCTATTCGTTAGTTTTCAGTTGTGTTTCGGAAACTGAAATAAAAATCAGATAATTCAATGATCACTCTGTCTTCCTAGGAGTTTTAATTTAATTGCAGTAATAAAAATTAGTGTAGAAATAGCTGTGATAGACTAGCCTGAAATTTTTACCGGTACTTTTAAAAAACAGATTGTTGTATGCGATGAATCATAATGATGGTTTGAAACACATACCCCATTTTACAGGCGCCAACTCGCTAAGGAACTCTTAAAATAGCCCTGAAAATTTTGCAATGGTAAAGTATAAGAAGAATGTTCCGGGGATCAAAGGTCGGGGAAAGGTCCATTATGTCGTTGAGCCCCTCAATGTGCTTGTTTCGAATATCATCTTGTTTTGTCAGTCGACCTTGTTTTTCCGTCTGTCTGTTCCGCTGATCCGTCTGTTTTTAAACATCCGATTATCGAGAGATTTAAAAAATTCGCATAAGCAAAAGCAAATTCACGCTGTATTGAACACAAATGAATTTTGTCGTTGTATTTATGAACACAATGTCATTGCACTTTAATTAAATATTTAACATTACTATTGTTATAGATAGATTATAGTATATACTTAGTAGAGGGTCTTAAAAAATGATAGTTGTGTGAGTCAGTTTGTAACCGCCAACTCTCCATTCGTTTTAGAATCAATGATTAACAAAATTATGGCAAAATTCCTTTTCTTTCATAGATTAAAGTAGATATTCATCGCGTATAAATGAACTATTTTATACATTTTTAGAAGAATTTGCTCAAAGTGAGGCATTTCACTGAAGAATTAACGAGAATCATGTCGGAGAGGAGTGAGCAGCGTGTGGCGACCTTTGAAATGTTACGAACAACCGAAACTATATAGATTTATGGTGGATTACGCTTATACTTTGTATCGGGGTCTCCTGGAAATTTAGGCCGCCTCGACTTTTATTTCTTCCTTTTTCTTTCAATCAGTGTTCGACTTTTCCATTGTATTATCAATTACTGCTAGACTTAATCACGGGTATCGCCGCTCGATAACCAATATTGGTTCCTGTCGATTCCTTTTATCCCGAATTATAAGTTTTGCTTCCTTTTACTCTCTATATTCATTAAGCGTATTTCATGTATGGTGAAAAAATGAACTAGGCCTACCGGTACTGATTACCGATACAAATGCTGATTGACGCAGACGATCAGGAACGCAGCTGCGAGATAATGATTTCTGCATAACTGAAGTTCCTGCAAAAAAGCTTGTGACATAAAAATTTCATTGTCTATATTTAGAAGTTATACTGACAGTTATTAACGACATACCTTTGACTATGTAGTGTCGTAAATCCTTGGTATTCGCAGATATTCACGCCCAGCAGCCCAGCGAATGTCGGCGCATAATTCGTTCCGCAGATGTCGCTAATACAACGGTTTGTGAACCTGCAAATGGAGGAAAGGAATTATTGTTGCAAACGCTGGCGAGGAGAAATTCGTTTTGTTTTGGGGTTTGTTTCTAAAGATGAAGATTGAGGAGTGTGGAGGTACTGTGCCGACGGACAGACGTCATGAAAAAAGACCTTGTTCGAACCAATCTTTACTAGTTACGGTACCGTACCTATGTCGCTGCTATTGTTATCTGAGTTAGTTACGGTACCTTTATTCTTTACCGATATTGCTTATAAATTTTTCCGGACTATAACAGTTATAGAACAGTAGACTAGTACTGTAGTATGTTCTGTTTTCATATTCAAATCACCATTCTGCAGTTCTGATTAAAAATGAAAGAACTATTAGCTAATTTGAGCCCAGTCTATCACAGCTTGGAATCGTGTTTGTTTTGATTATTGCAGATAAACAAAGATGCCTCGGATAATGAGCATTTATAAAATATTCGATTCATAACTAGTTTTCGCATAATCATTCTCGCAAATTTATCTAAGCGAGAGCGAAGTGTCTGAGTAGATTCACAGGTTTCAATTGTTACGATATTTATTTTGTCGTTATTTACGTTATTACAGAGTACACACCTGCGGCGTGTACTGCGGCGTGTACACACCTGCGGCGTGTACTTTGTTAGACCCCAAATTTTTGTGTTACTTATCGATCTCGATCGGTAAGTATGTTGATAGGTATATGTTTGTTTGTCTGTTAGACACTTTCGTATGTTACGCGATATCTCACGAAGATGAGGTTGAATCTGCTCCAAAGTTTGCATGTGCATTCATCATATCTCTGACCAGAATCCTATTGATTTTGGATGAATCATATCGTTTAATTAGCGGGTTATTAATTAATGAGTGATGGGACACATGGTGTCGCTATTGAGTCAGAGCGAAGGAATCGAAACCGCAAGATCGATAAGTCAGCGGTCTCCGATCGCTATCTAGTTTGGTATGTTATATGTGTTGATATTCTTGTAGTATTGTATCACATGATCTAAAACTCTACCAACAGGATCAGTTTTTTTATTCGAATCGGAGAAAAAATATAATTTTCAGAATTAGTTCAGGTTGATCAAGTTCAAGTTATTCTGCTAACCAAGAAGAACATTGAAAATGTTATGAAAAGTTATGCTGTACGTTCTGAACTTAGTAAGCTAACAGTTTATTCCAATATGCACTCCTTGTATGTTTTCGACAAAGAATGTATACATATGGTAAAACAAGACAATATTTTTGCTTCAATATTTCTCTCGGCAGTTGTTGTCCTGGTATAATAATATAATTTAATTTTAAAAATGATTGATCCATCATCGAGCGAGTATGAAACGGATGATGAGCAACCTGACGAACCAGATGTTGCCTCATTATCACTTGAAACAACTCCTGCCAAGACCATTGTAAAATCTCCAAGCAAAGCGGATTCGAAATCCTTGACATCGAACCAGGTACCAGGGTTTTTTGCATTACATAATTTTGTTATGTTTCATACCTAATATATAATTTCAATTTTCGTGAAATAATCTTTCTGTAATTTTTAACTCATAATTTTGAGTATAGCACAAAAGTAAAACCAATTTAGCTTGTTTCCCATTTTTCAGAAATGATCTTATTTCGATCTTCTGTCGTTATGGACCAGGGCCCATCTTTTGATCTAGGTTTCAAAGCTGTACCTGTTTTAGTTATGATTTTAGGTAGTGCCTTTTTAAGTCTGTTTTAAGGTTTGACTGTTAGAATCAAACTATTACAAAAAAGGGATTTTTATAAAACCTTATTCAAATGTAACATGAGTTAATTTGGTTTTTCTGCATTGATATCTGCTTGAAGCTTCAATATACTATTTTATGAGAACACTGTCTGTTAGTTTTTTAATAATAAAAAAAAGATCTGATAACTTTTTTAGTTTAGTTTTCCTGTTGAAGAATTTTGAAATTTCATCTTATCTGAATCCTTCATCTTTTCTTATGCATATTCACCTTATTTGCAGGAAAGTAGCACAGGTACGCCATCATTGAAAGATGGTTCACCATCTCCTTCTGTTGCAAGCGAAGATGTGGAAGCTCGGGCCCGCTTACAAGAGGAAGAAGAACGTCGAATGCGACTTCAACTTTATATATTTGTGCTTCGATGCATTTCATACCCTTTTAATGCAAAACAACCTACTGACATGGCTCGACGACAGACAAAGGTAGTTTCTGAAACTGATAACAACCTAGAGCAGTGATTCTGAACTGGGAGTAAATTTATTCATGGGGCCTGCTTTGGAGATAAATTTCACTTGGGTGTAAAAAGTGGTCTAGGGGTCTATATTCACAATTCTGTATTGGACTTCCCTTTTCCAAATTGTTTCCGCCTCATGTGTCAATATATGTATTTGTAGAAGTAAATTTATCAAGTAAATTTTTTGAACAAAAATGTTCACGATAACTATTCATAGTTTAAATTCCATTTAAAAGACTCACCTTGTTTTTTGCTTCAGGTGAACAAGCAACAACTCCATACAATCAAAGATAGATTTCAAGCATTCCTTGGTGGTCAAACACAAATTATTGCAGATGAAGCATTTTGTAACGCTGTACAAAGTTATTTTGAGGTCAGTATAGCGTTATTATTATTGTACACGAAGAAGACCTATGGATTGTTTTATATAATATGTTGTTGTTGTGAAAAAATCACTTTTCTCTTCATACGAGGTGTGGCAAAAAGAAATGGGACTACTGAATTTAGATGTTTATTTAGATGCATATCGAACAATGTCCATCCACATTGTCTAACACATACAAGTAATTTCTATTTTTCCCCTTTGAAATATTCTCCATTGCCTTTGATGCACTTTTCCATTCTTTTTGATCACGTTTTGAAGCACTGTGAAAATTCTTCTTTCGTGATGGTTTTGAGGTGTCTCGTCACACTGGTCTTGATATCCTCGACTCCTTGGAAGCGTGTCCCCTTGAGAATCTCTTTCCGAGATTCTATTTAAAAAATTTGTTTCAATATCTATTTCATTCTTCCACCAAATAGTTCCATATACGGCTAATTTTGACGTAAAAATGTTATACATATTCGAATTTACCAGCTTTTTATAATTTGTTCGATCTCGGTAATTCACTAACAATCTTCCTAGTATATAGTATAGCTTACTATAGTGAAATACTTCATGGACATTTGTCAATTACTTATTTAGTGGTTTAGTTCTACCTTATGGTTTGTAAAGTTTGTGATGCAAAAATAATAAAATTGGAAAAATCTTTGTACCTATGTACGACAAAAGACAGCAGAGACACTAAAAATTTAAAAAAAAGCATACAAGAATAATCCTATTTTCGGGTTCTTTTATTCATAAGAGGATCAGTCTGCCCTCATTGTAGTAGAATTGCTAAATAAAATTGTGTTTGCAGGTTTTTTTGAAAAGTGATAGAGTTTCACGGATGGTGAATAGTGGGGGGTGTTCTGCTAATGATTTCAGAGAAGTGTTTAAAAACAATATTGAAAAGAGAGTTCGTGGTCTTCCAGAAATCGATGGATTAAGCAAAGAAACAGTAAGTTGAAGTGATTTTTTTTTTAATTTTTTATTTCTTTTTCAACTTTTTACACCTTCAGAATTTTTCTAATCTCCAATACCACAAACCTGCTTTAAAAATTTAAAAAATTCTATTTATTAGGTGCTGTCTTCATGGATGGCCAAGTTTGATGCAATATACAGGGGTGAAGAAGATTCACGGCGGCCAGGAAATCGTTTATCTGCTGCTGCCGCATCAGAACTTATCTTAAGTAAAGAACAGTTGTACGAAATGTTTCAAAATATTCTGGGAATTAAAAAATTTGAACACCAATTGTTATACAATGCTTGTCAGGTATGAATAAAATTGTATCTTTGTTACAATATGAGCAACATTATGGATGGTTAATGACATTTTTATCATGTGTGTTTTGTTAATTCAGAATTCAGCTACCATGATATATACCGTAATAGTAATTTTGATGATTGTAATTTTTTCAGTCTCAACCTGTTTTATGAGAATAAATAACACCATAATCAAATGAGTGACTGCTTCCACATTTCTATGTAGTTTTGTACTTTTTTTCGTACTTCCATATTTTTTGGCTTGCTTGCTGATTTCTTAAATTTCACATTAGATACATGTTACATCCTTCTGCCAATTTTGAAGTGAAAATTTGGTCTAAAAATGAATATTTAAATTTATAAATTTTCATAGCTTGATAACGCTGACGAGCAAGCTGCTGCAATACGAAGGGAATTGCATGGAAGAATGCATGCTGCCGATAAAATTGAACAACTTCACAGATTTCCAAGATTTCATTGTAGAAATAATGAAATCGAGAGGCAATTGCAAGATCAGTATATAAATGAACTAAGACAACAGGTGAAAATATATGACATTGTTTATAGTATTTTTCTATGTAATTTGGCAGATTAGACTTCAAAATTGTTATGCTGAATGAATACTAATGTCTTCTTGAAGATCTATTTTTGCATCTCATATTTTTTTAACCTCATATTTTTTTAACGTCATATTATGTTTTTTGCAATAATTTACTCAACGAAAGGAACATTGTTTGTTAGTAGGCTACTGGTTGATTTTGCTACTGGTTTAATGCTCAATATGACTTGAGAATATTCAAAATTCACTTTTCGTTTTCCAAATAAAAATTTAATGGTGTTGAAATGTTTAAATATAGGCTATGCATTTCTAATAACATTCACATGAAGAAATCATGAGTTCATGCTAAAAAGACTTATTGGGCACAAAGCAGACCTATGAATTATTTTGCTATATTGAGCTTGTTATTGTGAGAAAATTCGATTGCAAACTTTCCGTACTTGGAAATGATGTAAGTTGCTAGAACGCTATTACTTTTCTGCATATTATATCCTAGTTCTACAAGGCTTAATATTTTGCTGATATTTTGGAATACTTTCAAGTGACATTTGCCTATCATGTCTGTATATTTAAATATTGCTCTCTTTGTTCACTACAGGTGAGCTTGCTGATGACAAATCTCGAGTCGCTACCTGTATCTCGAGGTTCAGAGAGATCTTACCCTTTACGATTGCCACGACTTCCCACATCAGCAATGTCTGTCCTCGATCAAGCTTCTGAAGATGACAATACTCTTTCAAAATCTGATGTCGTGCTCTCTTTCACTTTGGAGGTAGGCTAGCTAATAAATAATTAAATTTTCGTTTAAACACCCGCTTTTGCACAAAGCTCAGCCATTGTAGATCAATCTCATGTAAATGCATATTTATGTCATCCTTATGATAACTAGCTTGTGTTCATGTGTGACCTTCTGATATACCTATGTTAGTTTTTTCGTTATCTATTCTTATACTTGGTTTGGTAATCTATATTCTATCAACGCATAAATCTTTTGTACCGTAATCAGTTCATCCATGATCAAAAGATGATTTATCAATATATTTTTGATTCCCGCTTGTCGTCTCTGTATCACAACACTGACTGTTAAAATTGGATTGGTTACGCCACATGTGGATATAAGTTATTTTATTATTTTTTTAATATAGCCTACTCATTAAAAGTTTGTTCTAAAAATATAGTGATTTGGGAATTAGATTGTTGTTTACTGCATCTTGTTCCACGACAAAAATTGAACTAGAAAATCACTTATATATATAGAATATGGCCGTTTTTAAATTTTTGAGAATATTGCATTCAGACATGTTATTATAACATTTAGAATCTCAGATATTCGATTTTACAGGTTGACCCAAATAAGCAGAACCCATTAGTTCCTTAATTGCTTTTACAAAAATGATAAGAATTTATTTAATTAACACTTGTACTTCAGTTTGTGTATGATTTTACCCAGAAGTTTCAGTAATCTAGGATGCTTGGCACAAAAGTTTTGTTATCTCGAGAATATGTTCTAAATGACTTTAGGTTCTGTTTATTTGAGGGATAATCTTATAACATATTGTGTACTGAAGTTGTATTATACTCTAAAGTTCTCCATAATAAATTTTTGTGTTTAAATAACGCAAGGTTTCCAGTTATCAGGGGGTTTCAAAATATGATTTTAATGTACTGAATTCCCATTTTTTTTAACAATTTTCAAACATACTAGAATCTCGTAAATTAAAGACTATATACAGGAAAATTCTATTTCTTTTGTACATCAATAAATAAAAAAAAGTATGGGAATATGCCATTCGGGATTTGCCATTATGCCATGGACATAAAAGAACTACGAGCAATTCATATACTCCCTATATCACTTTATTTTGTACCAGAATGTTATCTATTTTTTTTATTATTATATTTTTAGGTGATAGTAATCGAAGTCCAGGGACTAAAGTCACTAGCATCTCACAGAATTGTTTATTGTACAATGGAAGTTGAGGGTGGAGAAAAGAAACAAACAGATCAAGCTGAAGCATCGAAACCTGTGTATGTTATCTATTATTAATAATGTTCCATTTGAGTCAACTTTTTTACAGATTGCTTTTTAATTTATCTTTTTGATGAAGCAGCTTGATTTGCATTTTGTTGGTCAGCTTATCTGATTAAGATAATATGAAATATATAAATCTGATATTTTTGTTGTTAATTTACCACATATAGTTCTCTTGATAATAATAACGATTGATAAAAAAGAACTGATTTATCGTTTCATAAAAAGTTCTCTCACTCGGTTTAACATTATAAAGTTGAGTAATTGAAATAAAAATTTTACAAATTTTCAGTTGGAATACGCAAGGAGATTTTACAACGTCACATCCTCTTCCTATCGTCAAAGTTAAACTATTTACTGAAAGTACTGGAATGCTGTCTATCGATGATAAAGAGTTGGGAAAGGTATGTTTCTACGTAAATTACAATTATAAGTTGCTCGGAAATACTTCACGTTTTGTGAGAACAATGTTTTTAAATCTTTGATATCATAACATGTGTTTCAGATAGTATCATGTTTTTGTTTATTCGACCTATCATGATTTGAATCAATCTATGATGCCATGTAGCTAAGTTCCGTCGCTAAGTAAACCACCAGACAGCACGCTTACAAATTCATTTGAAAATTTTTTTTCATGTTTCGATATCACTTATTATGAATTCGGAGATATAGAAACAAATAGTAATGGGTGACTAAAAAAATAGAATTTGGATCATATTCTAGCGCAAACATAACTTTGGTGCAAATTATTCTAGATCACTGAAACTGTTGGGTACCATCATACACAGACAGAAGTTTAGAAAGTGTTCTGTTTAAATTTTCTCATCTTTGTGAATTAATTACAAAATTTATAGGTTCTGTTTATTGGGTCACACTCACACTGTAGAGATATTTTTCCATTACAACCAAATATAGGTTTTAACAATTGAATATTTGTGTTTTTATCTTACTGTTCTTCATTTGAAACTAACCACTGTAATTGTGCTTGAGTACTCATTGCGCTCGTAGTAGATATTTTCTACTATGAGGTTTTACAATAATTTGAAGTGACACTTGTGACAATACGTTCAAAGTACGCTGGTTTCATTTATCTGACAAAAGTGAGGTGTTTTGGTCGATCAATAAAATATGTTGTCATTGACCACGGCTTCTGTTTGAAATTCCGGTTATTTTTTGTTCGAAATAACATTGTGGTAATTTTTAATTTTGATTTCAAATTAAGAATAATAAATCCAATGTTAGTCAAAAATCTGATTATTCCGAGAATAAATTTTTTGAATTTGGTTGTTTTATGGCAAATTTTTCAATTTATGTGAATTTTGAAAAAGATGAAATTTATTATCATTTATCAAAATATGGATATGCTTTCAAAAAGACTTTCTAAATAGTTAACTATTCCTAAAAGTCTACCTTGTTTATAAATTTGTAAAAATGGATGATTCAAGTATTTTGAGATAAATTATTATTCACACAATATCAAATTTATTTCACGAAGTATACCCTCTATTATTAATAACAGCAAAACTCTTTTACTAAAATGTTACTAAATCTATTGAATATTGGATTATATTATTGAAGAATTGGATAGGATATTGAACTACATTATTGAACTGCATCTTACGAATACCCTGCTAATAAGATATGGACGTCTATGAGAGATGACTAATATCTGTGGTTTCTTCCTGCTTCAGTGTTAATAAATAAAACATGATTCTTGAAATTGCTACTTCGTCATGTTGTCTGACATCTTTGCGACCTTTAATTCTTTGAACTGATCTACAACACCAAACTAGATTGTTATCATGTATATGTAGTTTTGCAAGCCAACTTTATTGTAATATTAAAAAATCAAGAATTATATTAAATTTTGAATACAATATCATAACATTGTTGCTAAATCGAGAGCTTGAAGACAAAAAAGTGAGCAATGAAATTTGGAAAAATTATTATTGGAAAATATTACAAAGAAATAAGTTTTCTTTAATAAGATGTTAGATGGTATCCAATCATTTTTTTACCAATAGTCACCAAAAATACTCAATAAAAAGTTACAAAAGTTTGAAAATTAAAAATATATGACATTTTTCAAAACAACTTTTTCAAGTTTCTTCATGGCTCTTTTGTGCTAAAGCTAAATTAAAATAATTTCAAGATTTACTGATTTGATTTGTGTCTGTCAAGATTGGCTTATTTTTATAAAATTTGCAGCAGCATCTGTTTATTGAATGATTTGAAGATCTTACATCACTTTTTCACAAATTTTATTCTGGAACATTTCACCTAACTAAAGTCACTTCCTCAGACAATTCGTTCATATGAACACTTTTGAACCACTCCAAATAGCCTTTTTAATTATTTTTATACTATCATAAAAAAAGTTGGTATGTATATTTGTATTAACACAAAGGCGATAATTGCTAGTTACGTGCTAATTTAATCAACCAACTGTCTTTTAATCTAATCTTGTCAAGTTTTTAACTTCGACTTATTTGCGTTTTAGGTTGTTCTTCATCCCAACCCAAACAGCCCGAAGACGCCAGAATTTTACGCTATGGCTGTTCCAAAGAATAGTGCTGACCATGATGTATGTCTTCATTGTTTTCATTTTTTTTTCAGTTTAGTTAAGTAGATCTTATTTTGATTACCGGTAATTATTTTTTAAGACAGATTTATCTGTCGCTACTTATGTTTGTTTATTTTGAACTCTGATGATTATTCTTTATTGACTTTCATTTCTGATTGATAAATGCTATTTCAGATTATTGTGTATATATGTGACATAAATGTTGATGAATCGGATACTAATGCCGACAGCGAGAGGGTAATCTCTCTCTTCTTTTTAGCAGTCTAAAAACAGTCATAAATTTTTATTCGTTACCTATTCACATACTAATGAGGAGCAGTAACACCCTCTGAATACTCCATACAGAGATGGCCCTAAATCAAATGCATTCTAAAATAATATTTTTGGAAGCAGGATGTATTCTAATTTAGCCCCTGTTCAACTAACAACAGAATTGAATGTTTATCTAATGAGTTTGCATTTGCAAATGCAGAACAGTTAATATTCTAAACAGTGATTTGATTGGTCAGTTTTCAAAAATTAAATGAAGACCTTTTCGGTCGTAACTTTCGATATCAATTGCACAAAATATTAATTATCCGAATATAACTAATATTGGAATTTAAAATATTGAATAGAATTAGCTTTGAATCTGTACAAATTTTCAAATTTGGAACCTAATTATTATGCAACTTTCATTCAATCTAAATCTTTTTCCATGTCTTTAATTTTTTTCAAACCTATATTATTTCTTCAGCTGAAAATCAAGTTGATTGTCAGAATGGATCGACCACAGAATATGAAATATTGTGGATATTTATGGGCACAAGGTAGAACGGTTTGGAGGAAATGGAAAAAGAGATATTTCGTGCTTGTACAGGTACATAGTGCTGCTATTAAATGGTGTCTTGCAAAACTGTTTCCCAATATCTCTTTTTCCTGATTTGTTGACCTCTTGTGACCTCCTTATCCCTATTATCACAAATAACAATCAATACTATAAACAACTTGATAGAATCTTGATTTTCATTATTGATTTACCATAAACATAAAACCACTCAAGAAAATAACAATAATATGCAGACACATTGGATTTTTATTTAACTCCTTTTGCTTCGAACTTTCACACACTCTAACCATACATGAAATACTGATAAATCATACTTTAATATTATATTTTCATCGAGCCGTACTTGGTTTCCCTTCAATAAAAGTAATCCAAACCCCCAAGATAGTTCTCTGTTTTTCAATGTGTTATTGATTTATTGATTTGGGTTTAATGGGTCGCAACATGCCAAGGAGTCGCCACTGTCGACAGATGTATATGTATTTATTATTGATATTTAAAATAATATGGGGTATGTCCAGAGTATTTAGTTGAAGTGGGATATGACATATTGGAAAATGGTTTCATTAGGAATTCATATAACTGATATTTCATCTGCAATATCATTGTGAAAAGTAAGATCTCATTATACTGATTTTCTTTTAAATCTTTTATAAACCTTACTTTAATACCAGCTAAGGAGATGATCATACTATTGCATACTCGTCCATGATATTTTCAATCTGGTTGTTTGTAAATGACAAATTTCTCACTTATTAGGTATACTGGCCATGCCCATGGCCATATTATTTTCAACTTAATTTTTTAACTAAGCCAACATTATATCCCCAAATTTTTATATGACATGTACATGATATTTTAATTCGTCACAATTATGATTTTATGATTTTCTAAATTGCAGCAAGTAGTGTGACATGGAACGGTAAAATGAATTACGTAATTGATTCATATACACAGCATTTAAAATAAGAAACAAAACATTTATAATAAACACAATATTCAGTCATTTTTTAGTTATGTTTAGGACAATTCTGTTCAATTTGCGTGGCACACTTGGCAACTCACCTTAGAGGTGCACCCTTGGGAACTGCTGTACTAACGGATTATTCTACGCCATAATTCTTTATAGTCTCTGTAACTCTCGTCAATTCAGTGGATACCTGTAAATCCGCTCAAATTCAGTCATTTTTATTTCTGAGTGTGGCCTTGCTTCAACAAATTTTATATATGAAAATAGGCCATAAAATCTTATAGGCCTATTATTTCAGTACTTTTGAATAATTTGAACAATTGTGCAAATAAAAAAATTTCATTGAATTGCTGGTCAGCATTTTCAGGCATAAGTCCATAGTTCCAGTGGATATCAGCATTTCAGTGGCTACCTATAACTATACCCACAAATTTTTCTTTTTTACTTCTAATTGAGCTTGATTCAAAAAATTGTTAGTGCTTCAAAAATGTTCAGAATGAATATTTATTTCAATGTTAATTTCATATTTCAGGTTTCTCAATACACATTTGCGATGTGTAGTTATCAAGAGCGTAAGTCCGATCCAAGCGAAATGATGCAATTGGATGGATTTACTGTTGATTACACAGACCCTGAACCTGGACACGAAGGCGGTCGTGTCTTTTTTAATGCTGTGAAAGAAGGAGAAAGAATTGTATTTTCTAGGTTTGTGTGTGCGAATATTAAGAGAATTTGGTTTCATTGGTGGTGTTTTCATATTCAAAGCACAATAAAATTTTGTTTTTTGTTGTTGTGGATTTTCAAAGTTGTTGTTTATTATGTAAAATTGATTGAATATATAACGAAATAGTTAATTAAAGCTAATATTTTTTGTTTATATCGTTATGAGCCGTTTTCACTCCTATCAAGGCACCAGACAAGAAGTCACTGATAACTAAGGAGCTACTATTTTAAAAAAATCATAATTTTTTCAATTCCACATTTTTTAAATTTTTCTTCAACCTGGGGGGTCAGGGATTTGAACCTGAGAGATTTAACCTATTACTCCAACATACATTCTCTTTCCTAACGGACTGAAAACAACTAGCATTTATCATTATTCTTGTCTTACTTTTTAGTGACGATGAACAGGACCGTATACTCTGGGTACAGGCAATGTATCGTGCAACAGGACAATCTCATAAACCTGTCCCACCAACACAAGTTCAAAAATTAACGGGAGGTTCTAATAAACACAGTCAATTGGATGCTCCTATATCACAGTTTTGTATGTTGATTACTCTGTTATTATATTTTTTATAACTAACTAACTGACTGATAGCCAGAGTTGTGAATTTCACTTTTTTGAAGTGGAACTTTCAAAATTTATTGGTGATGGCCAAAGCGAGAATTTTTTACAGAAATCGTAAAGCTTCAAGTTGACTAAGCGTTCTAAACATGCAATTAGAGCAGCCTGCATACACCGAAGTTTTTGTTAACATAATTTGGTTCTTTTGGAGTTAGGACTTGGAGTTGAACATTTCATAGCGCAGAGTACAAGCTTATATTGTATTTGTGTTGTTGTTAGGGATACCAAAAATGAATAGGGTGATAGAGTATATTTAAAATCAGTCCCATTTGATGTAAAGTGGTTATATTGAGATTTTTTTATAATTTAAAATATTTGCATCTAAAAAAATGTAACGTGGCAAATGATAACTGATATACGGACCTATCTAGGCTTATTCAACACTATTAGAGGTGTAAAACCAATGAAAATGGCTTGAAAAGTAGCAAGATTTGGTGTTATAAGCATCAATATCGTAAATATGAGTTGTGCTAATTTTAACAAATTAAATGGTCCGCCGAGCCATTTATTGTGGCTATTGTCAACACCTAAGGGTTGCTTTAACTTCTGTCAAGGGGATGTTAACAAACTATGCAAGAACTCCAAATTTTAATTGTTCAACTGAAATGTTAAATAAAAAATTATGCATTGTGAGAATTTTTTAATTTGTTGTGTACATGGCAAACTGAAATTTTTTGTATGAGCCATCTTGATGTCTGAAGTTGGTTATATGGCCTACCGACAAAAAAAGTTGCACATCCCTGCTCTATTGTATGCAAATAAATTTACAGTATAATTAATATTTCATATAAGATTAAATGCTATGTCGAAAATATATTCGGAATTGTAGTCTTCACTGAATTGGCCATTCCTGGCTGATGCTTACTGCAATGCTTATTCAACTAATATTTCAATTTTTAGATGCTGACAGAGCACGAAAACATGGAATGGATGAATTTATTTGTGCGGATCCTTGCAAATATGATCATTCAAGTTTGTTTGAATTGTTACAAAAATTAACCCTTAATCATCGATTAGGCGATTCGTATTCTTGTCTTGTGAGTATAATACTATTAAGAATTTTTCCTATTACCTCATTGCTATATTTAAACTTGAATAGATGGTAATTTTACTGCATAATACTAGTTGATAAGAATTACAATTAGGACTATCACCCATGAATCGCAAGGTCGCCCTGTGTCAGTGATCAACACAATACACGATACTAATACTGTCACTTGCAAACCATTATGAGTCATAAGAATTCAATTGCCTATTGTTTTACTATTGTTTTGATTCCCTCGTTTAACCTAACGAAGCCTGTGTTTTGGTATCTCTACATTTAATTTATCAATCTGATTTTTGATTTTGAAGGTCGGCTGAGTTTGTTTATGAATAATAATGTAGTTTTGTATAATTAAATTAATCTCAGGAATTTATTCAACAACAGTTCTGATGCAGCATGTGGTATTTTAACCCTATTATTTTGAAATAGTGTTTTCGTGTTTCAAATATTGAATCATCTATCATTTAATCATCACTTAAAACAACATCGATACCATAATATTGCGGAACTTAGAAACCGCCATGATGGCTTTAATATTTTGATGTTTGAGAAAACAAATTTTTCTCAAATCCATATTGGCATATATATTTACATACTTCGGTATACTTAATTTTATACATACATAATTACCACCACAGTACTTTGGTTGTGAAGGTGATTGAAATTGCTTGTTTGGCATACATGCTGTTATTATACAAGAAAGACGTATCTGCAATTTTTAATTTTCTTAATGCCTAGTTAATTTTCTAATAATCTTTTCCAGGTTTCTGATTCTTGAATATATCTGACAAAGTGACATTAAATTTTTTAGATGATCTAGTTGTAACGAGCATTTTTTATTAAGTTTACACACAATAAATTTAAAATAGTTTTAATGAAACTTACTCTGCTACTAAAATGTGAATTGTTTGAATGAAGGCAATTCCTGTTTTATTTCTTTTTTCGAGATATTTTGGCTTAGAATGGGGTTTGTTTTTGTAAAATTTTCGTTTTGTATCATTTCTGGATTGACAATTATAGCCAAACTTTTGCTATTGCTTAACCAACTTTTGCTTTTTGAAATACCATTTCAAGCTGAATGAAATTTGTTGAGTGTCAAGATGGTTGAATATAGTCATATCCACATCTGTTTTATTCAATGAATACTATTGTCGCCGAAGGATTCAAAATTTTTCTGCATACTAGACTACTGTATAGGCTTTGATTCCATTTTGGTCAACCGGCCTAAAGATGCCTTTAGGAATCTACTTATATTAGAGTATTTGACCCTGGCTTTGTTGCTTCGAACTGAATAAAACTGCAGCCTTATTGATTTTGGTTTTGTTTTATTGGATTAAGGGAAATCTGACTTCTTATTGCGCCATTTGTCTATTGCAATAATGAATTTGATTTCGAAAAATTTTGTCTTTTAACCATGAATTACTAATGATTTTTTTCATAATTTGTTATAATAAAAAATGGTATTTTCATAAAAATACAATTAAAACAAAATGAGTTCTTGCAATATAATAGGATTAGTTGGGTTCAGTTCATATTCAGGATGGCTTATTTCTTATCATTACGTCAATTGCAATATTGAACCTTGTATAATTTTTATTTGAATATTCAATAGCAGTGCAGGAGAGCAAAAATTAAATTCATGAATATTGAATTAGTGAATGAGTGTTAAAATAATAGAATTATAATGAAACTTCAAAAATATTTCAGAATAGTTGTTCTTGGTTGCTATATTCGAATATCTGTTTCCTTTACCCACACATGCGTTTCATGGCTGGAGAGTCGAGGAAAATTTACTCAGAATTTTTTCCGAGCTTTTAAAAAGGTCTCAGACTCCTGACTCTCCCTGAATTTTTTCTCCAACTCCAGCACCGAGTTCAGGGAAAGTTTTATAATAAAATCTGTGTTGTATGATTGTATATTCTTAGTCAATTGATGCTTACCCAGTTCCTAACCTACAATTTTGTCTTCTTTTAGCACTATTAAAAGTCTGAGATTTTGACTCCAATTTCAGACAATTTAAAATCTCCATCTTAAATTACAATACAGATAAAAGCGTTCTCCAGTCTTGATATGTTTTATCAAATATTATTTCCTATTTTAGGGCTGGTTTTCCCCGGGTCAAGTATTTGTATTGGATGAATATTGTGCAAGATATGGAGTTCGTGGTTGTCACAGGCATCTGTGTTATCTATCAGGTTTGTTACTTTTCTGAATTGTCAATTATGTGTCACTGTAATTTGCAACATTTTTGTCATTATGAGTTAAGGCCGGTATACACGACAGTGTGCAAACTCACCGCACCGTATTTTCTTTGTTTTATTTTATTCGTCTGCGGTGGTCTGCGCTGAGTTTATCTACGTTGGCGAACGCTCGAGTAGCGTTTTCTGAACGCAGTTCGCCGTACTGACAGTCTTGCTCCGCTCGTCTTGGTGGTTTCCGAAGGGAAACTGGTTGTTTTTCATGTGATAAGTGAAAGTTTTGAACTATTTTCCTGGTTTTCGAGTTGGCTTTTATAACTATAGGCTTCAGAGTGTAGAAGTTCAGAATTACTAGAGCGATTTGTATCATCTGCAGATAGTAGTAGTACCTGCGGGTTCGGACATGGTACCGGTACCTATCCGCCCATGGTAATTAATTTTGTGCTGGGTAGTGTGTTCTTATGGTTTACTACAATCTGACAATATCGTTAGACTACCGGTATTCAAATCATCGAGCTTTCACCAATTTGGATTTTTTTCAGCAATTGAATAGGTGCGGTAGTCAGTTTTAATTTAATATGGAGGAAAAACTCATTGCTCTAGTTGAGGAATATCCTTGCCTGTATAATACCACACAGGACTCGTACCGCCGAAAGGATTTCAAAGGCAATGCTTGGGCAGAGATAGCTCGAGAGATGGGTATGCCATGTAAGTAGTCTGATTAGTGTAGTTAATTTTTTTAGACTTGGCCTATGGCTTGTCAGGAACTAGTCCAATTTTGCAGCAAATGAATTGTTTTATACTGCTGAAAATGATAGTAGCCTAATCGATGTAAATAAGCTAAATGATGACTAGATTACGAGGTATCGGTATTGGTTAATTTAGTTGAATCGCCTTTAAAGAAAGTGCTATGTTTTGCTAAAAGAACTAGCTAGTTTCCTCTTCATATTCTGTAAAGGGCAAGAATGCGAGAATAAGTGGAAAAACCTTCGAGATAAATATAGGAGGGAAAAGAAGAAAAGGGCAGAATTGAAATCTGGTGCGGCGGCAAGTCATCGGGTTGAGTGGAGCCTTATGAGATCCTTAGAGTTCCTTGAACCGTTTACAGCCATGAGGAGGTGGGTGTTTGAACAAGGAAGGAGCCTGCATTTTCTACATATTGTCAGTGTATCTTTTGATAATAAAGCTTTTACCAAGGAAAGGCTGTTAGTTTAGACCAGAATCGTGTTTTGTAGTTGACCAGGATATGCATAAAGGTAACTTTCAGGGTTCCAACACTAAATAATGTACTATTCGAAGTTTATACAAAAATTTTATTTTTGAGTATGGTATCTTTATCAATTTCCAAATTAGATTTCATATTAAAAAATATGAGGCAAAGAATCAGGAAATGTAAAAAATTATAGTTGAACATATTTCGAACAAAATTGATGTTGAATAAATTTGGACATTTTATACATATTTAACATCTGTGTTCTTTCTCATAGCTATGTTCAGAATCCTAAACTTATTATACAGTATGTCTGTGTAATTTAGGCATCAGTACTTAGGTAGCTCAGAACATTCTTTTGTATAAAGTGACCAAAATTAGGCACTGTAATGTAAGTACAAGATAACGTCTTTCTGCACAAACATTTACAGTACAACATCAAACCTGCCAATGCCGGATACACCTTCTTCGAGTGATGTTGATGTTACATTGGAAGCGGTATCAGGTAAGCACCAAAATATGATTTTAAAATATTTTATAAATTTTAATTGTCAGACGTATAATACTGTATTATGAAATACCCTAATATCATGCACTGTTGCAATAAATAAGTTGTATTCGCTTTTCGCATTTTGAATTCTATACTATTATATGATCGAATATGCCATTCTTTTTTTAGCAGATGAAACAGACCAATTTCAACCACCTGTGGCAAAAAAGCGTAAAAGCAGCCGGGATGACCTCAGTGCTGTGTTAGAAAAATGGCAGCAGTCATCAGGTAAGTCAAGTCGAGCAGTGATTCTTATAAAGTGAATCGCGGTTCATAACTTGGATGCCTGGAAACCATCTTGAGTCGCTATTTCAAAAAAATTGGCGCTCCCGTACGATGTTAACCAAGATGGCGGACGCTTTGAACGTAGTGTGTGTATCAGGTTGGGACATAATTTTATTCCAATTTCCCTTATTTTAGTTCTGTTAAGAATTTGAATTCTAGCCAAGTGCCTTCTGTAGTATTTGTATCTGAAATTAGGGTTGAACCTTAACCTGGTACACATACTATGTTCCGATGTCTGGCATCTTGATTCACGTACTACACGAGTACCATGACACCTACATTATTTTAGTTTAAATTGTTGACTTTCTCATTTGTGTAAATAATTTTTGGTGAAATATTTATGCTTCAGATCACTCAAAAAAATATCTACTTACTGGTACGTATCAAACCAAAATTATATATATATATAAATGTTTCTTGTTTTTAGAGAAAATACAGGAAGATCCTGATGAACTCTTCTTGTTGAGCATGGCTCACGAGGTTAAGACGATGAGTGTGGAAAAAAGATGGAGGTTCAAAGTTGGAGTCATGAATCTCATTAATGAAATTAAATACTCTATTGAATAAACTATTGATATTACTTAAATATAAATTTTCCTGAATATTTTTTTTGTTTTAAATCTTGCCAACTAGATATCATTGCTCAGTAGCTTTCGTACATCCCTGTAAGTGCTAACCCAATAGTGTACCTAAAATGTCAACCAGTCTGGTGATTTACCCTCGTAGTTGCTATTATCTCCACTGCGGCAACATATATAAAAACAAGATGAAAGATTCCGCTAACCAAGTCGGAAGCAAAATTTTTTTTATTCAGAAAAGGTGAAACGAAGCAATAAAACCAAAAAATGATAGGGGGGATAGTGCATTTAGATCATATTTCGACCACTCGAGAACACATATTTATCCTGCCATGGCAGTGCCCCTTTCTCACTAACAAAATATTCGCTGAATTGTTCTCTAACTTTTACTGCCTCCTTCGCACTCGGCCTTCCAATCTTCCTGATATTTAACATTGCTGAATTTTCTTCGGCCTTCCACTGCACTGCACCTTCACTGACCTCGTGATCTACGAAATCCGCCTCAAAATAATTAGAATCATATCTAAGAAAGTTGTGAAGGACTGTGCATGCTTTAATGATATGGTCTGTTCTGGCTGGTGATACGCATATAGGCCTGCGGAAAATTCTGAATCGAGATACCATAATGCCAAAGGCATTCTCCACAACCCTACGAGCTCTCGAGAGGCGATAGTTGAAAATACGGGACCTTCTTGATAATCCGGTACCTGGAAAAGGACGCATCAAATTGGTTTTTAAGGGAAAAGCCTCGTCACCAAGAAAAACGTGTGGTAGTGGCTCCATCATCCCTTCCAATATGGTGCTTTTTGGCAGGTCTAATGAACCATCCAGGAGTTTTTTTCCAAAAGATGATGAAGCAAAAACATTCCCATCACTCTGCCGTCCATACGCTCCAACATCCACGTAAATAAATCTGTACTTTGCATCTGAAACTGCAAGCAGTACCAGACTGAAAGTTTTTTTATAGTTGAAAAATGATGAACCACTGTTTGCAGGAGCTTGTATGACAACATGTTTCCCATCAATACTTCCAACACAGTTTGGAAATTGCCATAATTGTTTAAAATCGTTTGCAATAATCTTCCACTGATTTTCACTTGGGACTGCCATGAACACAGGCTGCAGGGAATCCCATATTGCAGCGCAGGTTTCTGGAATAATTCGCGATATGGTCGTTTTATGAATCCTGTAAGAGAACCCGATGGTCTGATATGAATCCCCCGTCACCAAATATCTGAAAAATATATAATGTTGTATTTAGCGATAAACTACCATATGTAGACTAACGTTAGGTACTGTTCATTTATATTTTAATCAATCAATCACGATTTCACTCATACTGTGGGTTAAAACCCTATTTCAAAATACCTCAAAGTGACTGCAAGTCGTTCCTCAGGCGGAATTGGTTCACGCATATTTGTAGTTTGTTTCACAATCTTGCTCTCTATCATATTCAAAAGACGGTCAAATGTAGATGGTGTCATGTGGAAGTACTGTTTAAAATAGGCTTCTCTTTCCATTCTCATCTCCCTAACCAATCTGTAGTATTCTCCTGAAATTAGAGGCAAAGAAGGTGAGTATAGGCTTCGTGAGACTGAGACGTATGCATTTAGTGTATTGTGAAAAAAAATTACCATGTTCCTTTCGTCTGCAAAGTATTGGGTGCATCCACAATCTCTTGCCGACACAGCGCTCATCCTCTTTTAATCTAATACAGAGAACCACAAACAATAACTTCAGCTGATGTCGGTACAAGTACTGCTTGTAGCGCCGTGACCGAAAACGACTTATTCTTCTTCGCGATACGATACCCATTTTAATAAAATTAATCTTGCAACGATCCCCAAAATATCCAAAACAGAAATAATACAAAAGACGAAGGACAAGTCCGTTTCCCGCCTGACCTCACGTCACAGTACACTGCGCAGAACTGTGGTTCCGTGCACACTGCACAGTGCGGAGAGTCGCTGTGCGGTGAGTATTACTACTGCCGTGTATACCGGCCTTTAGGATGACGCGAGTCTCGTGATTTATGGGAATTACTGCTCACTTGCTCTTTATGCCCACTTTTTTCTATTGGAATGTTTATTATATTGTTCATTTCTAGATTTATTGGAAAGAGCTCTGCAAGGAACAATGATTGATCCAACTCTGCTGCATTATAGTTTTGCATTTTGTGCAAGTCATATTCATGGAAACAGGTGAGAGAGTATGCTACAAGACCAAGTCCATGCATTCGAAACTATTACCGGGTTAAACATCCCCAAGGCCGATGTTTTCTAGTAACTGGACGAACGGTTTTGGCCTTCATGATTGAGCCATCTTATGGATTTTCTTGTCCTGTGTGAAAATTCTACTTTTACCCTATCCTCATTTTTTAAATGGAAGGGCATACATCTTGGAAGGACTTTGTTTGCACAATTCTAAGTTGAAGATAATTAAAAAACATAAATTTTTTGAATTTATTTCAATTACAAATTCCACTTAATTCAGACCTGATGGTATTGGAACTGTGACAATGGATGAGAAGCAAAGATTTGGTGAAGTTCAAGAAAGATTGAAGAATCATCTGATGTATCAAATAACACATTTTCGATATTGTTTTCCATTTGGAAGACCAGAGGGGGCATTGAAAGCAACGTTGTCTTTACTGGAACGGGTACAACTAGTTTCATTTTTGGCATGTATGCTTGATGACATCTGCAGTTGTCTTATTGACCACAAAGTGGACCTATTGGTCGTTTTGCTGAGTTGTTGTTCCTGTAGCGTGGTATTGAGATTTTGAAAAGTCTCTTTTCTCCACAACTAATGGACTAAATCGACCATCCTACTACTTTGAAATGAAAAAAGTTTCTAGGAGGCTATTGCTTCTAATATTTAACAATTTTCACAAGTACTGCTAACATGGTGAATCCCCCTTCCCTGGCAATGAAAAATAGGAAAATTTAGTTAAGTTTTTAACTTCTGTTTGTGTATGATTCTGTTTTTGGGCCATGTATCTAGCGTATAATGATTTCATCCATAGTGTGAGAAGTGTCTATTTGTCCATATGTTTAAGCATTGTTTTCTCATTGTTTTTGGCATTATATTCAGGTTATGATGAAAGATATTGTGACTCCAGTTCCACAGGACGAAGTTCGTTCAATCATTATCAGTAGTTTAGAGAAAGCAGCTCTTGTCAATTACAGCAGAGTTTCAGAATATGGAAAAATTGAAGGTAACTTTTGGTATTCCACGTTTTTCTGTTTGTGTATGATTGTACCCAAAAATTTCAGTAATTCATGACGCTCAGTAATTTATGTTCCAAATTATCTGGTTATGTATTTTTCGTCACCCTGTGTTTAGGATTTTCGGGATACATTTTAATTCAATATAGCAACGTTGAAATATGAAATATAGCACTGGATTAAATATAAAATTGCCATTTTGAAGGCTGCATCTAATCAGGTTCGAGTGGCTATTTCAAACTTTATTGTAACTAGATTCCTACACTTACGAAAGAATAGGACAAAAATTCTAACTTTGAGCTAAAAATTGTTTGTTATCGATCTTTCTGCCATATAAATAATACTATTGCTGAATAATTACCTTTTTTATTGTTTCTGTACTAATTTCCAACACTTTTTCAGAAAATCTTGATCAGAACAGTGTGTCACCATCTCGTAAATTAGAAGTTGTAATGCATCTTGCTGAATTATGTATTGATGTTGTCCAACAGAATGAAGAACACCATTCTGAGGTTTGCTTCTTGAGTTAATATCTCTTTTTTCAAAATGAAACTGAACTTCATTAACCTTAACCCTAACTTGACAAATTTTTAGTTAATTTTTTAAATTAACGCAAAGATGAATATAGCCATCACAGTCACAGATCGTTAGAAGTTTGTAGTTTTAGGTTTGAAATTGGTAGTTAACTGCTAGCGCATATTTTTTTTCATAAGAAACCAAGTTGAGTAGTGACGGGCAATATAAAATAATTCACTATTCTAGAATATTCTAGAATAGTTAAATCTAATCCAGAATACCGAGTCCTATTCTATTTTCATACTTATTCAAATAGTGGGAATTTCCACATTGCTGGATTGCAAATGTATTACCGGTACTATAAATGTATTATTTATTTGGAAATGTCCTGGACATTGGATTTTATTTGATAATAAACATGCATATCCCAGGGCAATAAAATTTAGGAATATTACAATATATTTTGCCTTCAATTGTTCCAAATGTATGTTATCCCTAAATACTGGTATGCTAATTTAAGACACGCTTTACACACTTTAATAGTAAGCAGTTAAATACAAAAATAGATATGAACGGTGTTAAATCATTTTTTTATTATTAATGTTAGTCGGTCGAGCGTACTAGAACTGACCCGCTGAGAATTAATTAGATGCACGACCAGCGTGTGGCCACTGCAACCTATGCGGCCGTTGTAAAATATTAAAATTAACCACTATCAATTGAAATCAACTTTTTATTTTGTGCGAGCAAGACTCGTAAATCCAAGTTCCTGTAAACGCGATTTCGTACTTAGGTATTAGGTAATGACATCTAAAGAAGATATATGGTTTAAAATCATTTTGTTCTGTTTTAAAACCCTAAGGACACTACTTCTCTCAAGATATATTGAACATGCTACTCTGTACTGTAAATTTTTTTACTAGGAAAAATTCCTTTTTTAGTTTAGTTATTTCTTCTTATCCACATCTCTACGACCGTGACTACTTTGTAAAGGAATATGATTTGATTCTATCAGTCTTCAATAATAAATAAACCTTTTTTGAATTTAGCTTATATTTCTTGAGCCTTTGAGTGATGGCACAGGCTATGTGCCGACAACTGGTCGAAAAAAAAGTATTTCGGTAACTTGAGCTCTGTGTAAAACAATAATCGATTCAATTTATCTCTCTGATTTGAGTAAAACACAATATTTGTGTTTTCGAGATGCAAAAAAAATTGTTCTTGGTGTTTCATTGAGTTATCATGCTTGAATAGTATGATGCTTGGAAAAATATTTTCCCCCTATATTTTTCTGTATTTCTTCCCTAAAAACAACAAAATTCCTTCCTTTTTGACAACACATATATATGGAAATATATATATTTATTACTTTCTCCTACATTGATCTTTTTTGCCTTTCAAACAATAACAATTTTCTGTTGATTTGCATTAAAAAAATTTCAAATGATGATCGATTTAAATTAGAGATTGTCAACTGGTCAATCACTTTCTGGCGGACTTGAATCGAATCTAATGGGGGATAAATATGTGCGATAGGATTGCTGGACTTCTCATTGTCGTGGGGTGGTTCACGTAACCGCTGGTTGGTTAAGCCTTCCTCCATTATCAAGTCCATGCATCTGAAACAAATAACTGACTAACTTATCTCAAACCCGAAACGGACTGGTAACCGGACGAGTGGTTGTGATACACCATATTATTGAGCCATCTTATCGGCCTTCCTCCTGTCGGGATAAATATGAAAATCCTATCCTCGACAATTTTATGAAACAAAGGGGTCTATGAAGTTGAATGGCACATTAGATCCAATTTAAAATCTGCTTCCTGTATGTTTGTTTTATCCAGTTGGCCATTTCTGTTTTGAATCATCATTTCTATATCTTTATACTACTGTTATATCATCTCTCATTTGATATACAGTTATGTATCCATACATTATCTTTTCAGAATATTTATTTTTTAAATACAACAATGCTTTTACAAATGATTATCAATATTTCATTTATATTGATGTTTTCACAAATCAATGTTGTGTTTTTATTTTTAATGCTGCTTTATGATGCATTAGGGAAGAGAGGTAAGTTCTTATGTGTGTATTTACTGATGTGGGAAATTGATTTTATGGTGGTTTTAATTATTAAGGTGACTAGGGTGGTGTTGGATTCAATTTATTGGCTCTTCTTCAGTGTTACTGTTATCTAGTTATTTATCTATTTGATATATTGGTTATTACGACAACCACATTTTTTATACATTCATATTATATTAAAGTATGATGCTGATCTTTTTCAATTATATTTAATTCTAATTAATTAATCTTTTGGCAAGCATAGGCGACCGTGGGCTACCATTTTTAGTAACCATTTTTTAGACCGAGTAATCTCCATCTTAATTAGTTTCTGATATAATATTATCAAATTTCCCACTTATTGTGCAGTAAAAACGGTGGGGTTTTCTTAAACTAGAATTGTGGCAGAGTTTATATTTGTTATCCAGTGAATACATTTTTGGTGTTGTTAGCAAGCACTATTAAGTAATATTTGAAACAACACAAAACTGAAAGTGGTTTTACAGTTAAACTTTTAGTAAGTAATTGGCCACCAATTCTTGCTATAATCTGTTTCATATTGTATTTACATTATTTATGCGAACCTTCATAGGTAATCAACGACGTCATTTTAGTATTGGAATTAATTACTATTACTGGTACAAATTTGATGTTCAACTGTATTATTGGATGATATTGTTTTTATTAATAAAAATATTTCCACTTTATTTATATGTATCCCGCTTAGCATAGTGGATTTTTTTTGACCTATTAACTATTTGCAACTGATGCACGAACAAACATCTTTTTCTTATACCAGGCCTTCGCATGGTTCAGTGACATCATGATCGAACATTCAGAAATATTTTGGTCGTTGTTTGCAGTGGATATGGATTCGGTAATAGAGCAACAACCTCCTGATACATGGGATAGCTTCCCATTGTTCCAACTTTTAAATGATTATCTCCGAAGCCATGGTACAAAAATATTCCTTTTTTTTTTAATCACCTTTTTTTTTTCAAAAAAATAATTGTTGTTGTAAATAGGTATGCATAGGTTTTTGTTCCTATCTGTTTGTTCCTGTTAGCTATTGACATGTACATTGAGAAAAATCAAAATATGTGTTTTGTGAAAATGGAGGATAAAATAGTTTGGTCCAATTACTTTGTGGTTTGACCTTCCAGAGATGTATTCGTTATATTCTATGTAAGAAATCTTGAAGATTCCCGCTATTGTCTAAGTTGATTTTGCGAATAAGTCTGCATATGTTGTCACCCATTGATTGCCTATTGCACTATTATTGGTAACATATGTTTACAATCAAATATGATGCAATATGTTGTAGGGTCCCATATCACAAAACCAGTATTGAAAAAAAAATAATGTTATTTTCTTTAATTTTGGGCATAACCAATTCAAAAATAATAATTGGAAGCCAGAAACAGGTGTTACAGTGTAATCCATACTATGAATCATAATTATTAGCCCGTGTTATGATTTATATTCTTCGACATTATTGGTAAACTCAATGTGTGGATTTCTTGGTATTTGAATATACTTATCATTGTTATAATATCTTTCAGAAACTTTAGGGAATGGTCGATTTCATCTTCATTTACAAAACATGTTTGCACCTCTCGTCATCAGATACGTTGATTTAATGGAATCATCTGTCGCTCAGTCTATTCATAATGGATTTGGAAAAGACGCATGGCTATCACAAAAGTTAGTCTCAGCAATCATTCTATTTTTTGCCAACCAGCGTTACAGCTGTATTCTTAAAAAAAGCATGTTCTTTATGCTAAATCTATTTTAGGTTCAAATGGCTGGATTGATATATGTGTTATAGTTTTTCATAAAAGAATTCCTAATTTTAACAAAAGCTGCTTTTTTATGGGGCCAAAAACGATTTTTATTTTCCAAGAATTATCGAGTGCGGTTACTATTTTTAAATCAATAGGAGGCAGGCAGGATAGGATGAACTCACAAGTTGACCCATCAAAAAAACATAAATTTTTCAATTATTTTCATGAAAATGAAGAAAACTTATTTAACACTAAAACACAAACTTTTGTTTTTTACGATTGTATTCAAAAGTTTCAGTAATCTAGGAGTAGAACGCTTCGCATCAAAGTTGTGATTTCCTCTAGAAATTGTTTCGAATGACCTGCGTTCTGTTTTGGGTCACTCTGTATATATTCAATTCTGTTTAGCTGCCCAATACACTATTATTCGTTTCAAGTAGACTTTTTAGGCCCCTTGTTTTCATCAAACCTTTTGTTCATTTGTGTAAAGAAAACAAATTTAAGATACACAAACCTAAAAAATAGATCATCTTATTTTGCTGATAACACTTCCTACATTTTCATCCCTTGCAGTACTGTCAGACCTTCATGGACAAATGCATAAAATTTTCCATGTCTTAATTTTCATGAAATTGTCATGAAATTTGTCTAAATCACATTAATACTAAATGAGTTAAAAATATTAGCAATACACAAAAATACAAAATAAAATATCTCCCCAAAAACTAATAAAATTCCTCCCGGAATGCAAAACTCTGATCTATCATATAAATATAAATGAAATATTTCTTTTTACAGTGATTTTGGCTTCAGTGCTATTCTGCAGTCATCACAAGCATTGAATGTGAATATGAATCGAGATGGCGATAACATGTCAACTGCTACCAAGGTTTTATGGAAGCTTGAAGCTTTACAATCATTTATAAAAGAACTACATTGGCCTGATACTGTATTTGCTTGCCATCTTGAACATAGATTAAAATTAATGGCAGCAGACATGATTCAAAGTATGGTTACAAGGTAAGTCAGAGGTTTTTAAGTGTAATTCTGTGTAAAATATTTTTCAATCAGTGAATATAGCTTTTTTTTGATCACAAAGTTATTTGAAAAATTATTGTTCTTGTTGGAACATTCAGGGTTGTTGCTGAGAAAAATCGCATTCGAACCAAACAATTTCAAATTTTCAGTATTTAGAGATATAGGAATTCATTATGAGACCAACACAAAGACACCCCATGGTAGGCTATTACATCGGGAAAGTCCGCCCTCTTTTCAGCTAACCTGGTACTGGTGTGTGAATTGCTATGGCTTTATATTTATGTTTAGGATGGGATACCGTGGTTATTTCTTTATGTTCATATATTTGAGCATTGCTTGCCTGTAAGACCAATTTAAATGCCTGTCTATCTTTGATGTACTTTGATACATTTACAATGTTTTTATTCAAATTGAATTGCGATCCAGAATGCTAAGTTTTTGGGCATTTCCCATCATAACTACATTTAATATATTCATTTTCAATTTCTAGATCATTACTGCGATTTGAAGAAATATTACAGAGAATACGAGTGACATTAAACCTTGAGTTAACTCCTAACTCGTGCATTTTGATAAATATTGTTCTGGAATGCCGGTAAGTGATCACTCGGCGGTAAAGAATATTTAATATGCCATATTCATTAATTCCATTGTTTTAAATACATCTTGAAATTATATCAAATCCATGACGAACAAAAAAATTTTATTGTATTGTATAATTAAAAAGCAACAAATATTACCAAAACAACTTATGCCAAAAGGAGTATCTCCAATGTATCATTGACTGATTGCAAGGCTTGTCAACTTTGTCAGAAATCATATTATACTTGAATAACTACAATATGTTCCAATATGTTTTTTTGATCCCCTGTTTATTTATTACTAGTAGTGTGGAATCAGAAGTTAACAAAAATAGAACTTCAAAGCGCTGCACGCCTGCACAGAATAATATAGACATTAGACAGTGTTGCTAGTAACTGAAAAACGTTTCTAGTCACCAACATGCAATATTAGGACATTCTTGTGTCATACTTTGCTCACATCATCAGTCGTTTTCTGTATATAAACTACTTTCATAACTGCTCATCATCTTTCCAACAGGAAACAATCATCAAAACTGTGTGAGTCAGGAAAAGACGCTTCAGGTCAACACCATGTTTATCATACAACTGTTGAAGAATTGATGGAGAAAACTTTTGAAACAATTGAAAAATTACTTGTCGAAAAGGTTTGTATAGAAGAGGGCATTTTCATATTTATCCTAGGGGAGAGGAAAGGTGAAAAGACTTAGTCATATGGTCAGGCACAGCCTCTCATCCTGTTACCATGTTGAGTATGGAAATAGTTATTCATTTCAAATGTATGGACTGGATGGTGGGGGAAGCCATACTCCCTGAGTGGTTATGTGAATCACCATGGAGCAGCAGGGTTTCCCAAACTGGGGTTCGCGAGGACTGCACAGGGTGTTCGCAGCGAAACATACAAATAGATCATAATCTTATCGAATTGCCGTTAGCCTATCAATATTCAACATTAATATGTATTGATTAACCCACATGAGTTTTCTTTGTCAAAGAAAACATTATCCTTCTTCGTTGGTTAGGCCCAGAAATTGAAACAAGACTCACAAATAGGGTCCAGCAGCCCAAAAAGTTTGGGAACTCTGATTTACAGGATTCAAACATGCAAACACGCGGCCCATCATTCCGAACGAGGCTCAGTACAAGTATCCACGGATATGTAAGACTTTACTATTTTGAGAATGCCCAGAGTCTTTCTGATTTGACAATGTGTACCCAATTTATTACCTGGGTGAGGTAAAGGCCATCAATATCTTTAACAGGCGATGCCAACATGTTCATTTCTCATATTTCAGTTTGTAAAAGTGCTTGATATTGTTCTCTCCAAACTATCAAGATTTGATGAAGGTTCTTTTACTGCTTCTCTATTTTCATTATCAGTAAGTACTTATTTGTCTTTTTCATCATTATCATACGTTGATGAATTATTTTAATGACTGCAATCTACTTGGTTCTGCATCACCTACCCAATTCACTACATTAGGGCGAGGTGGTACACCATAGGACTTGAGCCAAGATCTGAAACTAGCGTAGTGAGTTTAACACGCTATAATAGGCTATTTTTTATTACTGAATATTCTGTTTACTAGTTTGGTTAGGTCGAAGTATTTTTGGGCAATCATCTCATCTTTTGATATTTCAATAGAAACAATGCATTATAAAATCATGATTTATGCATAATTTAGTAACATAAAATGTGTTTTCATTGCAAAATAAAGATTTCCCAAATACTTGAAAAACCGATAGTCATTTTCAATGTATTATTAAGCATGCTATTAATTCTCAGATTTATTAAAAATTTTTCCATTTTTTAGAAACCTGGAATGGAATTAGCAGAAGGCTTCATTGATTTCATTCGCATCAATCAAGAAATTTTGCGAGAAAAAATTGTCGATGAATATTTTATTGAAAATCTCTTTACGGTAACTAATAAGTATTAATTATGAATATTTTCATTTAGTCTCAATTTTCATGATTCCGATTCGGACAAGGTTGATGAAAAGATACTCCCATACAATCCAGTTTGTCATAATTTATACATTTGTAAAAATATTTTATCAGATAAATATATTTATGTATGATTCATTTAAATCTAATACTCAATATACACTTTTTAAACTTTCGTCGTTTAATGCGTCTATGAGGGAAATAAGCAAGATGGCATAGTGCTCAGAACATCAGGCAGTACTTTGTTGACATCACTAGTCAGAAATAGCTGGTTCAACTCTTGACTCAGGCTGTTGGAATAGCTTGGTCCGGCCTTCCAAAAATCGTAGTTCCGTACATATTAGGCTGTTTGTACAAACCCTGGTTCAGAGTGAAATAGGCAAATATAAAAGATATTCGAGCTGATCCTTTAACCTTCCTGACCTTCCTTGACCTATGTATTTATATAATGTGAGAAAAGTATACAATTCGAACAACCTCTTGTTGGATACGAAATGTACATATAGATCGTTTGGTTGTTGATCTTGGGCTTCTAATAGACCATTCAAGTAACTGAGGATGGTTGAGCTAATGGAAGTCTTTTACTTTTATTTCCTCTAAGGTCATAATTATGGAACCCAACTCAATTTGAATTAATGGTAACACTTTTATATGACATTTGATCTACGAGTCCATACATTTTAGTATTGCTTTCTTGTAAATTTAATTTTAAAATTTTTAGCGCTGGTACAATTCAAATGTGCAACTGATGAGAGACTGGTTACATGCTCGTTCTGAACTTCAACTCAACGTTTATCAATTAAAAATTCTGATCAGAATATTTAAAAAACTTTACAAAGATTTTGAATTGCAAGGAGTGATGAACGTACGAAATATTCAATATAGTGAAATACACAAACGATTAACGGTAAGTCTATTTTTAGTATTTTGGTATGGATAACCTGAATAGATTAGTAAATGTGTTGCGACCCAACTTTGGTAGCATCCAGTGGTGGGATTCAGGGGGTTCGTGGAAACCCATGCATGGAATGCCTTGCTATTCAACAAATCCTTTTTGTTAACTGGTAGCGTGCACTGCAACTGGCGAATAGTGTTATATTTGGCATTTTAAAAAATTATGTATTAGACTTGTGGTGTAAAGCATGTCATGTTAATGTAGCTTGCATAGTGACATACATTAGTAAATATGATATCAAGTTCTTCTTATGCAACCCTATGTTACGTTCTTGTATTATCATAGGGCTATAAGTTCGGCGTGCTTTTTTTAAAATGAGGGAACCTGTTGTTAGTGAGTTTGATACAAAATGGAACCTGTTCTCAAATTTAAACCCATCACTGGTAGGGTCACATTTAGCATATCACTATGTAAGCTACATTAACATGACATGCTTTACATATATCCAATATTTAACATTCAAGAACCACATATTACTCCAGTCGTCAGCTGCAGTACACATTTCCCATTTTCTGTTGTCGTCTAATGTGTAAAATAAGAACAGCGTCGTTAATAGGACATTTCGAGAACAGTCTCGTGCGAAACAGCTGAATTGCATCACTCAGAACATAGTAACGTCGTCCACATAATCATATATTTATCAATTTCACTGTTGTTTCTTATTTAAGGTTGAAGAAGCTACAGCATCAGTAACAACAGGAGCATTGGGACATAGTATCACTATGAAAGAATCAGATGATGAATATGAAGAAGGCGATTAAATACTACTTTTATATTACATCATTATATTGTCATAATTATATGATATTTTCATCATAATTCATCAGGTTATAATCAAGCCATATATATTATTACTCATTTTTTAAAATTTACTAATTCGCTTTGGGTTGTGTACATGTAGGGATACATCATACATTTTATTGGAGTGTTTTTGAACCAAGTTATGGCTGGTGGCTGTACATATAACTGACTAGACAAATTTTATAATTCATTTTCTAACAAGATCCAAGTTGCAATGATGTAGAACATTGAAGCAATATTTACATTTCAACCAATTAGCTGTGTGATGAATCAGCATCTAATATTTAAAATGATTTAGCATAATTCGAACCACTTTTACCGCAATGGCCTAGCGTGTGAAATGTTTGACTTAACTGTGTTGGCATCGCAGATTACACATTTTGCGTCCCCATGTCACCCAGGGTGTGAAAAATTGGTAGATAATGACGAACTGGATCATAATTAGATATTTGTGCCTGCTTGTATTAGGGTCTTGTACCAACTATAGGTTTGTATATGCATCGTACATAAAAAAAAAATTTAAAAGCAAAATGTCAAATTTTCAAATTGTTTACATGAAAAATATACATGTGTGTTACGAAAGCGCATTCCCTGCTATCTCACAAACTTGCCAAGATGTTAACTATGATTCTGCCTAATTAATAATATTTGTTGTGTTTTTCATATTGTGACAAGCTGTTACTTTTCAAACGATTGTATATTCACAGTAAATCCAGTAGTTAGCAAAGATGTACCAACCCATTCAGTAATATTTTCAATATAGCAGGTTAAAGCAATAAATAATGGTATCTTAATGAAACACTCTTCGAATGCCAACTGAGACTATTCTTTGCTATTGATTAACCGGGGATGGACCTTACGGATTATCTTTGAGTCATTCAAAACTTTGTATAGGTATCAAATAATTCTTGTCTGCTTTTGATTTTAAGTGATATGGCTTGGTGATAAGTTTGCAATGTTACATACTTTATTTAATTCCTACATATCAAAATATTATTTTTATATATTCAATCATGACAATAACATAAATGTGTCTGAATTTCTTCAATTAAGAATTGCATATTTATAACTATACCACTATAAAGTACTAATAGCTATAAAATATTAAAAACTATTTAGTCAAAATCAGTATTTTTTCTTAACGTATTTTGCACAAAATAGTATTTGTACTGAAACTAACACAGCATTATTTCTTCTTTTCAGATTTTATTGTAAATTCTCAAAATTCAAATCTCAGCATTTACCGTAAGATGGTGTATTTTCGGACCTCCAGAAGTATGTGCACCAAGATGGCGCACAACCTGAATATAGTAAGCGTACCACGTTAGATTTAGGTTGTGGGCCATCTTGGAGCACATACTTCGGGAGTGCCCTATTTTACGTCATCTTTCAAATAGTCATCAATATGGTTATCGTAATATTGAATATGTCACTAAATCTTCCAGCTGTTTCAGCGGTTTCCAACCGATGTTCCGCGGCACCCTAGGTTACACCAGTGCAGTCCAAGGGTTCCGCAAGTTTTTATTCAAATCTGAGAATCAATATATGTATATTGTTTAAATATAATCAAATACTATTCGTATTAGGTTTCCAGTTGTACCTTGAAGATCATTTTGTTTTGTCGTATTAGACTTTTACTAGACTATAATTTGAACAATTTAGATTATTAAACGACAAAAGATAATTTAACTATTGCACAGGGGTTCCATAAGCGCCTGGAATGTTTCACTGGGGTTCTGCGCTACCAAATAGATTGAAAACCATTGAACCATTGAATTTTCTCAATAACTTTGTTGATTTTACGCCAGAATCATGAGAATGCTTGTAATTTTACCCATTTTTCAACATATCTTATTCTTTATTGTTATATATATTTTTTGTATTATTACTATATAATGGGCTTTGTGCAACAATCTCATAATAATATGGTAAAAAATATTTTCTATTGGTATTGGTGTTATATTAAATGTTTATCTGCTGTATTTGTACTATATTTTCGAAATTTTGTATTCATGACCTAATTTGCTGCTAATTTTTTTGCATTTGTGTGGGATTGTGGAATAATATAATTTTTATTCATTCCTTTGTGTTGCAATATCGTATCTTTCCGCTCTATCAACTTTTGACCAAATTTGAAATCTCACGATTTGAAGTGAATATGAGAAGCATTTAACATCTTCATTCGGTACTCCCAAAGTATGTGAACCAAGATGGCGGATACCAGAACGTAGTATGTGTACCAGGTGTGAGTTAGGCCATAATATCAGGTACAAATACTACAGAGGTCACTTGGCTAGTCCCCAAATTCGTAATAGAACTAAAATATTGAAAATTGGAATAAAATTATGGCCTAACCCTAACCTGGTACACATACTACGTTCCGGTGTCCGCCATCTTGGTTCACATACTTCAGGATTTCTCTTGATTCTAATGTAGAAACTAATATTTTCTAATGCTATTGATTTGAGCATCAATCATTCAATTCACTCTTGAGTATTCAAATAATTTGACTGTGACGCTATGAAGTCTGCAAATTATAAAATACATCCTAAATTATTATGTACGAAACAAACAGTTTTCTTAGTAAAAGAGTTGAACTAGCTGTTGATGAATTGAGCTGTTGAATTGATTCATCAACCGAGTCCTAGATAGGAATGCGCTTATGCAAATTTCAACCATGACTAATATTCTGTACCAAAAATTTGATGTAAATTTCATTTCTTGTAACCTGCATTTAAATGTTGGAATTATGTGCAGTGAAATTTGTTAATGAGTATACTTACTATTATTACTCTGCATAATAATTTTTTCCTTATTTTTCAAAATCATTTTCATTCATTCAATTCTAAAGTTGGATATTTATGATATGAGAAACGTAATCTATTCTATTGAACTGTTGTTATAGAAATTCCCTCACTGTTTTAGAAATTTCCAAGCTACAGTCTCTGAATGAGCCTAAACAAGTTCCAAACAACAAGAGTGCAAAATATACTTACGGCTGGTCGTAATCAAATTATTATTTCAACACCCTCGACTTATTTTGTGAAAGGTTTTAAGACAGATAGGCACGCGTTGAAATTTTGAAAAAGGTTCAATTTGGAAATATTTCAAAAATATAGGTGTTTATGAATCTGCTATCTGCATAGTTTGGAGCAATATTCACCAGAAAAAGTTTTAAAATAAAAAATATATGTATTCATGTATTAATAATTTTCTCAAAACAGCGTTCCCCAGTTTGCCTTTTTGGGTTAAAATCCTCAAAGTACGATTTGTTTAATCTCTTGGCCAGTCCTAAGTATGATATCCTGATTTTTGCACAATCTGTAATCATTTTATTTTTATATTAAAAATAATATACTAAATGTAATCTATACTGAAATCAAACTTGATCATGTATGAGATCAACTATGGTTTGAATTACTGCAATTGCCTTATAGTTCATACATGATCGAGTATGATATTTTGTTGAATTGTACTTGTCGTCTGCATTCCTACTAAATTATAATCTGGATGTTGTCATTATTTTAATCACTGTAAATGCTGGCACTCAGAACTAATAAAAGTATTCTGTATACCTACTTGCGAGTCTATTTAGTGAAGGTCGGAAACAACAATGAGAAAATCAATTTATAACTCTCGACTGTGCTAAAAACTACGCTGCAGAAGTATGTGTACCAATATGAAGATAGCTAATTTTGTTCGCCTACTTTACATCATGTTGTGTAAAGGGTATATTCACTTGGCTAACACAGACGGTCACCGAACTCGTAATAGAACTAAAATAAGTAAAATCGGAATAAAATTATGCCCTAACCTGGTACACACACCACGACAGTACCTAAACTACAGATTAACTTGAGTGTATTCGCAGGTTCTAATCCTTTGGGCCGTATTATTGGTTATTTAATTAATAGCATTGGTGTGCGATTGCGTCTCCCGTTTGAAGTTCAGGTTTAAAGAACAATTTAGTCACCATGTCCGATATTGACTGGTAAACGGATAAGTAACCATGGTTAATCAAATTCTACGACCGAATGGACATTTCTTTTTTATATAATCTTTTTCGTTATACTTAACCACTTCGATAACTCGTATGCATTGCGATGATTAGGGCTACGGAGGTACCGATAATATATTTTCGCCGATAATATATGTAATTATCGCCTTAAGTTGACGGCTCGGAGTGGATAAAGCAGTTGTCTGTGAGCAATATTTACAGTGCATGTCATCATGAAAAACAGGTGTTTCAGTACATGGAGAATCGATGTTCGTGATCCAGATGCATTAATGGCTTGTCGAGGGACTTTTTGCTAAAGGTTTATGAAAATACTTGAATTTTGACTGCATCGTGAATTGCTTTACAACTTATGCAAAAATGTGTCTCAACACTTTCGAAAAGAATAAAATAAAATATGGTCATTTCGGCAGACGTTTCGTTGTTAAACTAATACATTGAGTTGCGTACGCAGGATTTTGTGTGAGTGTTATGTCATATTTTGTATTTTACACATTGGAAATCATCTAATATTAGATTGATATTTTCTTCATAAACACCACGTATTATTCAAAATGTTAATATAAAATTTTGGTAGCGAAATTAGTTAAGATAGTTTGACAGATAATTAGCTAAAACAGGTAAGAATTTCGTTACCGTTTCTACTCGGAAGAGTAGGGGTTGAATATATCTGTCTACATTTAGCCCACACCGATACCGATAAAAGGGTCGATATTGCCGATACCGATACATCTCAAATTAGAATGTGATCATCTTACAAAATACTTAAGAAATTGTCGCCAATCTGGAAACACTTAACTTGAGACCAGGGACCAAGGCAAAATTATTGCTTCACTCAAAAACAAATCCGCGTAAGATGATACTGTAGTACATTTCGACCACAAGCAGCATTGTCTCATATTTTACTCCAGTCAAGGGACACAATATATATTTAGCACTATTTTCCAAGCGTCCATTTATTAATATTTGAAGATAAGTTTGAAAAAACGAATTCAAATATTAGAGTTCGGCAAATATGCTCAGAAATCTGAAGTACAGAATTCATAATCAAATAAATATATATTTCATCTCCGGTTTTCTTTAAAATGAATGAATAAATAAGTGACCAGAAAATTACAAGATAAAAGTGTCAATACTTCCAAATAAATCTAATATTCTTTCACGATTCACGATTAGAAGAAAATGATTGTTGGCCGCGGCACAGAGTAGGATTCAGTCGTTCTCTGTTTAATGATCCTGCAAACAAAATTTCTGTTCTTTCTCCCGCACGTAAATTGTTAGATCCTTGTAGAATGATGCCTCTGTCGTCTATGAATCTATTTCCGATCGTGATCGGAACTTCAAAGTCGTTTTTCAATATCTAGAATGATTTGGAAAATTCATTTACAATGTGTCGAAAGGAATGGGATTTCATGTTTATCCCAGAGAGTATTAAATCGTCAAGCAAGATGGAAGCATGGCACAATCATTATTACAAAGTTGGTATCGAGGTTTCGAAAATATATTGAGGGCAGGGCGTAGAATCAACGCCAGAACTTGACGTTATTGGTCTTGGTGCTGGAGTCGTATTTTCAAATTATCCGGCTTAACCAATCAATGCTTTGAAATCGGAAAGTCGATAAAAGATCGGCTTCAAAGTTAATAAATCATAACTGAAAACTAAAATACGCAAGCCGGAATTGAAGTCTGTGTCGAATTGGTGCTTTTTATTGTACTTTAAGTACTGACCGGATGTAATTTTCTACCAATACATAGCCAGCATTAAAATGGCGCTGGGGAGAATCATCAACCCAGATACCCAAATACAGATATAAATTGACGAAACTACAAATACATTCCCATTTATTCCGGCAACAGAAAATGGCACAGTAGCCTTTATATTATAAAATTAAGTTGAATAGTATAAATATATATTTAAAATAACAAATAACGCGACTCACACAAAACGGGCCGGGCAATCGTTCTGTAAATGTTAAATAAGCCATCCATCCACGACGATAATGTGCAGGACTTTGAAAATTCGCAATTCCATACATTATCGAACCTTGTCTTAAAAATATCTGACAAGTCTCAGTCCGAACATTCCTTGCTGATAAATATCATTGGAAACGTAAATGAATAATTAAATGAAATTCCAAGGATATAATTCCGCAACATGAATGCAATCCTTTGCTCGAGCTGTGTCATTTCATATGACACAAGTCTTCTCTTAGATCTTCGCGTCACTAATTTGTTGTTACAGGTCAAGATTTCGAATTACCAATTAAATGTGTGAAATTGAATCCATGAATGAATTCATTTTTAACTTAGTGTGACTGGTATATCCAAAAGTATTTTCAATTTGTGTTTGTTGCACCTTATTACATACTTTTTTTCGATTTCTTATAATATATAAAACACAATCGCTTCAATTTGCGCATAAAAACGGACAACTTGACTTGTTACGTTACAATCATACAGCATTTTTGCATAAACTTTTTCCGTCGGTGCTCAAAATTTCCCTGCCTCGTACTTCGTTTGCAAAGGAGATGCAAGTCGATTAGCGGTGTTAGGTTGATTGAACACCGCAAAATTGATTCGTTGTTATTATGAATGTGTCGTATAAAAAGTACTACCACATGTAATAACAGATATTTAACGACTCAAATTAATTAGTATCGTTCACCATAAACCCATAAAAAAATAAGCGACTGTGCGGTAGACGTACCATGTAATATCAGTCCTGGTAATGGCCAAATAGGAAAACAGAAAATTATTGTAAAATGTAGAGAAGCAAATTATTGACTTACCAACAGTTTGATAACAAATTCTAAAACTGTGATGCCAACAACATCCCGCATCGCTACATTGTTTACGATTGCTTCCAAATAACGATACTCTGGCACAGCCTGTCATTTGCTGGAAATCTGAAGTCAACCGGCACCTATCTAAAACTGAAAATAAAATATTCACATTGATCTGCATCAGAATCGTTCGAAGAAAAGCGATAAATATGATTTGTCCAAAACTGTATTGTCTTTTAACTTAAACAAGAGAGCTACGCCCAATATATGGACACGTTTGTTCGCATTACAGTACGGTTTACCGTACCTTCAGATCACAGATCTACAAATATATTCACACCAAGCGAAGCAGTACAGTAGGACACAAAATGGCGTCCGATGTCCGCAGAACGTTCGATGACGTCATAGCAAACAAAAACAAATCTCACAGAGCTAACAGAAATATTTGGAATAAATAAAAGTAATAACCTTCTGAAGAAAATTTCATCTTTAACCACTAAAAATTTCAAAGCAATTGGTCCAGTGATCAAAGAGAAAAGCGGTTTTTTAATATTTCCACTAGGTGTCCAAAAACTGTCAAAGAACAACAAGAACAAGAACAAGACACAACATAACAACAAAACGATCGTTATGTCCACTAAACGTGTCCAAAAATCATTCACAATGTCTCAATGTAGTTTTACGTCAAGACATGTATTTAAATTTTATTTATGATATTTTCATATACTTACTCATTGCGTCAAAGGTGCAGTCAAACGTATCTAAAAATAAGGTAAGTTATAATATTGTATATATTGAAAGCTAAAAAGAGCATTCTCGGTGGTTCTGAGATTACCATACTCTGTCAATCTTCTGTAATTAAAGGTATCCTATATTATATCTCATATTAATAGGCTCAGCATGAGTCCTACCGTGTCTACACTTCGAGTTCGTTCAAGATATACGAGCAAATTCGACAAAGAAAACAAACTTACCTGATCGAATACTACTCTTATTTTTGGGTATAAAGCACTCATTCATACAATGGTCTTTAGTAAAAAATCTATTCTCGTTCCCGTCACTTCCAGCGTATACGAATAATTCACATTGTTCAGATGTTTTGTTGTAAAAATATCGAAAAATATTTGCCCTCCCAAAACCTTTATCCACTGGAAGTGAGCACCGTTCTGGCAGGTAGAATGAAGCTGCAAAAATAAATATTTATTGTCATAAAACATATGGTTAATCTATATTTTAGCAATTATGCCCCCTTATTATATTTGCCAACTGCCATTTTGATGAACAATTGAACTTCAAACAAAATCGCGATTCCGATACAAACAATCATCCGGCATTTATAGCGAATCTCCTTCATCACAGCAATTATTAAAATATGGCATTCATCACCAGAAGCCAAACTCAAAATTTATACTTTGTACGCTTCTTCCTCCCCCAACTAAAATCCTTAGTGAATGCTTCCCAAGATTCGGACAATTAGCAAGATTGCCCTGTACCATGGTAATTTCTGTCGTCTGTGTTAGCCGATACTTTTAGAATAGGCTAACCTTTACCAACGGTAGCTTCTGTGCCGTTTTGCACCCCTGCCACAGTCATGTTTTCACTTGGTGTGATTTCTGTTGGTGTTGATGTAACGTTTGTTGTTTTTGAAGCCATTGTGGCAGCTTCAGATGAAGGTCCAGAAGTTCCAGCTGTGACCGTGTTGGCCAACGGTGCGGGTGCCGAAAGATCCCGTATATCGTAAATTTCGTCGTCTATTAAAATAATACTCTCCAAAATAGTATTTGCCTTCGAAAACGTAGCGAGGCGAAGAAAAACGAAAGCGAAAATAACGTTCGTGTAGGCTGAGGTGTTCATCACGTCAGTTGCCTATCACTAATTTAAAATAATCTGTAAACACATGCGACAGTAAGTTTAGTATTCATCTGATTCATATACTTTCAGTTATCTATTAAACACTATCAGTATCCATCTATCCATCATCAAAACACCGATTATATATATTCTACAATCTTCTACTTTTTATATAGGTCAGGTTTAAAAATATACTTCGCACTAAAGCACATCCTTTTTTTCACTATAAATAATTGTGTACAGCACCATTTTATTAGATTTGGATTAAGTTTTCTACTTTATTCGAACTTCTAATCTTATTACTGTATGAATTAAATAAAAAAGAAGTTGAAGTTTTGGACTTTCCGAATTCTATTCAAAATAGACTAGAAGGGAAAAAATATTCAAATTAGGTCACAATACGCATATCTTGCAATATATCATCAGTAGCAAGATATAATTTGTTTTGAAATTTTTTTCGCGAATATCTCGCATTTATGAGTCTGGCGTTATGTACGTCAAGGACATGAAATGAGGTGAGAAAAATGATTCTCATATTTAAAATAGTAGCCCAAACTAGCTAATTATCGATTGAAATCTTGGACTGGGAGAAAAGACAAAATTACGCAATAATTCTGAAATAAATACAGTATGTGTTTATCATCGCGTAGATTGTTAAAAAACATTTAGACAAAATCAGTTAGCTCTTGTACACTACCGTGTTTTCCCGAAAATAGGACCTAGCCTGAATTTTGAAAATGATTTTAATATAAGCCCTCCCCTCAAAATAAGACCTAGTCGATAGCGCGAAATGTTTTTTGACCTATTTGAAATCTCTCCTACACGTTTCAAATGACTAATCATCTATATTTGGCCGTTATTTCAAATAAAAACGTGTTATTTATAAGTAAATGGATATCGGTTTTCATATTTTGTAAATTTGAAAATCTCGTAATTCTCTTCTTTGTAATTTTGTTTTTGATAAATAAAAATAAAAGACATCTCCCAAAATAAGCCCTAGTGTTATTTTTCGGAAAAAAGAAGAAAAGGGACCTTATTTTCGGAGAAACGCGGTATATATTTTGTTAGAAAAGTTGAAAGTGAATGATACAGCAGCCATTACTAAGCTTATTTAACAAAACATAGCACCAGGCACAAGTAATTATTTGAAAGCTAACATAACACGATTACTTATCCCACAAAAATTTTGTCAACCTTTTCGATTACAGATTCATAGCAATGACATTGTAATTTAGCATTAGGTAATTGTCCGATGAGTCATACATCGTGGTTTTAAAATTGTAATCGAAAACGGAATATGTGTTTTCGGTATCACAGGAAGTCGATGCACTTGCGATGTGACGTTGTGGCCGTGGACATTATGTGGCATTTCAAGCATTACGTCGGTATTTTTTTGCTTATTATTTCATGAACCTGACAAACTATTGTGATTCTAAAACTTGTATTTGACTGATATTTATTAAATTTTCAAACTTTCGCAATTAAGAATTATTGTATTATGGGAACTACAAACAAAAATACTAACAAGTCGACTAAACAAACCACTTGATGCTTAAATGAAAATACTCGATTGCGAAAAAACAGAAATCTTTCCCTTTCGTCATGGCTTACATGGTATTTTAAACTCTGCGAGTAATGACAAACTTAAACTGAAGTGTCCTGACCGCAGTATGACATCTTTGCTGCGATACTTACCTAGCCAGTTAGAACATTGCTTCAATTAAGACTTTATTGTGGCAACTTCTGTTAATATTATTGTATTTATCGCAACAAGATGCTTTTTGTTCGCGTGACAAATAAACGAAACTCAGTATCTGACTCTAAAAATTGAATATAATTGACATATTTTCATGAATATGCAAAACAAGAAATCTATTTTCTCACATATCATAACCTATCATAACCTATTTTCTCACATCGAGCTCTTTTAAACAGTCTAATTTGAATACTCAAAGGATTAGAGAAATCTCAACAAGAACGGCATAGAACCCATTAATGTAACTAGTATTCAGAGAAGGTTCACCGAAATCTTTAAAATCTACTAATTGACCATTTCATTTTCTATTAAAATATTTTAAATTGTAATGTAAAGGTTGATATCATGATAAAGTTGATAAAAGAATTTTTGTTTTAGGTTAACCGAAACGTTACAAATGTTCCCGATAGGAAAATATCATTTACGGACACACAATTAAAGTGAAGCTGTCATGAGTGAATAATATCTTTGATAATTTTCTTTGAACATTCCACTCGATTGAATAGTGAACTATCTGGTATACCTCTAACAATTTTTTTAATCAAAAATCTTTAATTACTTTCTCTGGCTTCGTACTTTGGATTTTGAAATATAAGTTCTGAGAACAATAAATTTATATACATCTTCCGAATATATATATACTCAAACTCTAGTACTTAATCCTAATTTTTAAGATATGTTAGAATGAAAACTATTACGCCGTGGGCTAAATTTGAGTCACAAATTTCTGTTTTCGATGTTTCAGTTGTCGTCAATCCAAAGCATTCGAAGCACCGAAAGTTCTACAGTCATTTGTATAATATCTTGTTACACTCAGTGAAATGTAACAATGACGTAAAATATGTTTGGTCATCAGTTGTTTACGTCTAAATTTAAGTAGAATTTGTTCCTTTTCTTCGACCAATGATAATATCATCGAAATGGACATTACGTTTTCAATTTCAGTTCGATGCGCGTCGTTGTTTTGACTTAGGCTATATGAATTTCGCAATACAGCCGACTTACACGGTATCGAAAATTACTCAATTTATTTGTCCAAGAAAATACAAACGCGTTTGGTGGATAGAAACTATCATTATGATGAACCCTTTTACAGTATCATTTGTGGTTTAATGGAAGTATTAGGAGATAGGTGAATACTAGATATTTTGAAAAATTGCTACGATAATTGTGACAAAACGATCGCGCTAATTGTACAGTTAAATCTCTAAAACTCTATTTTACCTGGAAAAGGGGATTTCTGGAGCGGTCAAACTGTAAAGAACCAGGCGTTTTTGGGTTGTTGTGAGATCTTCCAGATACACTAAGATATTTGCTTTCCCTTATTCATAGCTCGATAAAGAGATTTCGTAACAATCTCATAACGCACACTTATGCGCTATGTTATGAGCTAAACTTCTTCGTTCACATAATAACAAAACTTAACATATTGAAATTACAGTCAGCGCAAAATCCAACCAAATTGGCAAAACCACGTAGAAGCATAAATTATCGTCAGAAACGAATTTATTCATTGTACAGTATATATATATTCTCAAACAAAGTAGCATTGCAAGTCGAATATAGATGTTTTTAATATTTATACGTTTGTAAGTAGGTGAAATCACTGCTGCTACGAATGATATTTTCTAAAATGCATACATGGACACGTGTTTTTCATATTATATATTTGAAGTTCTGGGAACTTTGAAATTATACTGATGGTTGCTTTGGTAGAATCTCACTCATTCACATTCACAGCACGATAGTCCCATACACAAGAAAGGAATAGTATATATAAGATTTTCGTATTTTCCCCCGGTGAGAGAGAGAGGCCGATAAAATTGATTGATTATTAAATGACAAACCACGACATCGACACAGCTAACGTGGGGAGCGCACCCGTCTGTAATGCTTAAAACGTGGCGGGGATGTTTTCCCCAAATTTCACATTTTTGCATTATGGCGGCAGCTTTATACAAAAGATTCATGAGAGAATTATCTGCAATATATATATATTATCATGTTTTGGTACGTTAATTTAATTTTTCATTAAGTTAATAATATAACGACACTGGCTCGACTTGTCTATCAAATCTTATCATTCAGATTTGTCCACGTGCCCCTAAATTTCTCAATGAAACATTTCTTGAGTTCGCAAATGGATACGAAAGACAAATATTAGAACAGCGATCCCGCGAATTGTAATAAAACAGCAAAATTTTTCTTTCAAAATCGGATCTCATAGGACCCAGAGAGAAAAATAAGAAGTAAAAGTATATAATAGTCTTCTGGGGTCTTCCTATAGAAAGTAAAAGTATATATTAGTCTTCTGGGGTCCGCCTATGTTTTCAACTAGGCCCATTGAAAATTTAAAATCGATTGGTTTATTAGTTACGGAGAGAGCAAATATTCTTCAAACAAGAAAGTTGCCCCAACAACAAGACTAGCGATAGCAACACCAACAGCGATTTAGCAAAATAATTCACGTGAACATGATTAAATACTTTATTGTACTAAATACGGGAAGGGGGCTGTTTAATATCCGGAGTTTTTACACACGTGTGTCATGGTAAAGAGTTCCAGTAGGATACTCATTAGAACTTTAGGAGCATTGTGAAATTTTTGAAAGAAATTCAGGCATATGGATGCATCTTCATTGACCGCAAAGTTCAATATTGTTAATATTCAATTTGTAATTTATTGTATATTGCGTCATGCTAAGCATATTGATGAATATTTCTTGGATTGGAAGAGTTTTGGTTTGTAAACGACGAGACAAGTAGTTTCACACACTATCCATCACACCAACTGTGACAAGTCGATCAATTAAGCATTTTCGATATAATGAAGAATCAACAATCCATAAATGATCACTCGCAAAGATTTACGACAAGTCACATTTTAGTGATATATTGTGTATTTGAATATCGAACAATAGTGTTTGTACTGGACTTGTAAAATTTGCATTATTAATAACGATGTAACCGTAAATATATACTACTACGATGTAACCTATATTTTACCTAATATCTTACTACATATAGATATATCGAATAGCATGGATATACTGTAGTTGTATACGTATTACCATGATTGTGCATTACAGTAGTCGTTGATTTTGATTGACGATCGACAACGACATCCGTGCCAGCTGCAACTTTCGAACTGGAACGTCGGCCAGTTTACCATCACACAGACTCATATTCAACCATTTGCAGAAGGCGGCGGCATTGGGCTGTTTTCGTTGTTTGTTGGTTTCATTCACGCTAGTATTCTGTCTTGTTGTTGGATTTGGTCATGCCGTCCGTGTTGTTGGGAATTTTTAAAACATTGTTCGAGTGGAAATATGCAATATGAGTTTTGTGGGATATACCTGTTTGCTTTGGGTTGTGTTCTTCTCTTACTCAGCAACTCAAGAAGCCGGTCATAACATCGAAAGGCAGTTGAGGTGGGTACTTCAGTACATTCTGACAGCGCTGCTGCAGAACATAACGTTCGGCAATACATTTATTCTGTTATTAGTGCAGTACTGTATTATTCTATAATATATCCTGATGTTTTTATATTAGTCCATATTGCAGGAGGTAATATCAGATTGTATTCTTCACACTGTTATTGATGAGTTCAAACTGGTAGAATACTGGTATATGTACAGTAATAAAAAAAAAAGATAAAGTAAAACACTTCAAAATCAGATGTAACTTATAATGCCTGAATGTATAGACCAGTGGTTCCCAAACTTTTTCAAAAAAATTCCATGACGGACCCATTACTTGTGTCTAGCAGATTAGATAGGATAGGATAGAATTTACATATTTATCCCGGGGGGAGAGGAAAGCCGATAAGATGGCTTATCCATATGGCGAACCACGGCCTGTCGTCCGGTTACCATTCCAAGTCGGGTATGGGATTAGTTTTTACTGTATTGTTTGTTTTCGGAAGCATGGACTTGGTGGTGGAGGAAGCCGTAACCGACCAGCGGTTACGTGAACCACCCAACGACGGCGAGGAGTCCAGCAATCCTCTCGCACATATCCATCCCTGCATGGGATTCGAACCTGCGAACCCACGCAGAGTAATTAGAGGTGCGGTGGCGAGCGTATTCCTAACGCTTAGCCCGTTGAGCCACACCGCTGCGTGAGAATACTTGTAGGTTTTTAAGTAGATACATCCATGCCAGTGTATCTATAATAAATAGCTAGATAGCTATTACCCCCGAATATTACCCTGGATGAAAAGTTGTTGTTTGTAATATAATTTTTTATAATCTTTCTTTTCAAAAATAAATATAAAAACAGTTTTTTATCTTGTAATTTTTATTTTATGTATCATTCATACAGAGGGTTTTATTTTTCATAATATATGGTTTTAAGTTTCAATAAAATATTTATTCCTTAATATTTCAGAATCAAAGTATTTGCTGGTGAAGTGAGTCATATTTTGGTCAATAAATTACTGGGTGAATTTACAGGAATTTCTTACTTAGAAGAGGTATGTCTTTGTTATTGTTCTCAAGCCATATTTCAGTACTATTAAATCTCAGTGTGTTTGAACTAAAGTAGGAATATTTATGGGGTCTCGTGTAGTTTCGTACCTCAAGTACTTCTAGTGGGTGTAGCATAACTATTTTAGAACATGTCAATCCTAACCCCCACCTGACTACGCCATCCAAAAATGACGTCACTACGACGCCACAATCACTTCATGGAGTTTGCCAAAGTATACCTACGATGGCCCAAAATGGCATCTGCGCCAACGATAAGGAAATCACTAATGACATCGATCTCTCTCATATCGGGATCGTTGTGACTAGAATTTTTGGAATTTTTGGATGACGCAGTCAGGTAGGGGTTAGGATTGACATATGCAAAAATTGTTTTGCTAAGCCCACTGGAGTACTTGAGGTACGAAACTACACTAAACCCTTTTCATGCATGTGTTTGTAATCATTTCAAAATCCCTCATAATTTTATCTTTTGTGTATTGCATTTTTAATATTTCCATAATATTGATCATTTGCATAAATATTTGTATTGAAAATATAAGATGGTTTTCTATACTCATATCATTACAATTTACAATACAGACACTAAATTTTTTTCCAAGAATTGATATTCTAGTAGATAATTTGAGCATAATTAGAAACTAGGTTTTGTCAATGCTGCATTACGGTAATTCAGTATTTTTATTGATTTCTGTAAAATGTTTGAAAATTCTGAATATATTGTATGTTGGTTAACAACTGGACATACTTATCCAATGCCCGACATGCTCTGGTGACCGGGCGAGAGGCCATGGTTCGCCATATGATTGAGCCCTGTTATCGACTATCATCTTCTGCTGGATAAATATGTAAATCCTATTCCATCCTGGTATATTTGAATAAGTAATAGCCTACTTATACAGGTTGCAACCTTGATCAACATCTTTGTAACATTTGGATATTCACATATTTTTAGCTATGTTTCAAGCATCCTACTTAATTTTTCTAAATATATATGTATTGAAATTTTGTTTTAGTGGTTTTATATAGGCCTTTTCTGATAACGAGAAAAATGGATTGCCACTTGCGTTTAGTTGTTTCGGTTTTCAAATTCATCTTCAATGTATCCATCAAAATCATGATTTTTCATAGCTTATTACCCACTACATTTTGTATTGCTTTATAGTTTAAATATGTCTTAGTGCTCTGTACAAACATCTGAAATATTAATTAGTTAGGTTATGGAATGTCTAACTGTGGGTTATGAGGCCAATTTTGTACTGATTTAGGCATGCATAATTGATTAGTTGCTGTAATAGCTTGTTTATTTTGAGTGTGTAATTTCATTTTGTTATTAATAAAAATCTTTACTTCATCTAATCTTGTGACTGTTATGCAACGAAAAATTTAAAAGAATTATTTTTGTTCAAATTGGTAATCTCTGGAGAAATTAGTTTGAATGGGTTTCTACATTTATGCATAATTAATAATCAAGAATGCATATAAGAGAAAAATACAATTTTCATGGATATTCACGCATAACACTCATTTTGGTCTATTTATCATGTATATTGATTTTATTGAAAGCCTGTATATGTTTATTAGTCATAATTAAATTATATTACAAATCAGGACTCTGATATCTGTGGTTTGTATGAAATTGAGAAAAACCATTTTTCTTTCCAAAAGATATATTTACAATTTGCCTTTGAAAATCTACTCTCAAAAGATATCTACTCACCAATTAAATCCGTATAAACTTTCTTTGAGCTGATAATTATGTATTTGCCTATTATTCTAGAAATACAGCAATCTGAATTTGGCAAGTGTTGACCTGGATTCAAAACAGCTTGTTAGTGAAAAAGTTGAAATATTGCAGAAGATTTTCAAGGACAGAGAAGACTTAATTAAAGTTTGTATATGTTTAATAATGAGGAAGATCTCTCTTCTTAATAACGTTGTTATATTTTTTTTTCAAAAAGTTTCGATATGATTTCACTCCTTACCTCAAAAATAACTGTATACTAGATTTTTAAATTTCAACGGAAGTCTTCGTAAATTAACTTATTAAGATCTGCCATTATCCATTGCCTCAATATTATTGACTTAGATTTGTAATATCCATATTGGTCTAAAATTGATCTTTGCTATATGGGAGTCATAGCATTAATAGCAATTTTATTTTGGCCTCAACAATTCATTTGCAAAAAAACTTCCCTCACTTTTGTTTGTGTACATCTGCTTACTGATTGTCTGGTTATCATTTAGCATGGTGTTGGAGGGTGGTGTAGAAAACAAATGTGCAAATATTCGCTAACAATTTTTTTTATTTTTAAATTTCTAGAGAATAGCACAAGAAGCTGAAACACTGAGATCTGGGGCAAATACAAGTTCTCTTACTGTAAGTAATATGGTAAAATATAGAGATTAGGTATCTGTTCTACAATTCAGTTTGTAATGTTTGTATAAGAGTTGCTACAAATGGGACAAGTTTCATACATTAATCAGTGATATATTTTTTTTTTCACTTTTTGTCACAAACTAAGCTTTGAGTCAAATCAAGTTTTATTTTATTAAAATTCCCAAGTTGTCCAAGTTTTAGTGTTATTTTTATAAAAATATCTTACTCGATAATAACATAATATATCTCGATTGAATAATAAATAAACTGCTAATTGTAAACTCATTTCACTCTCAAAAAGTGTTAGTGGATTTTCACTTATAGCCGTCAGTTTTAAGACCTCATTAGGATTAGAGTAGGAATGGGGTATCATTCTAAGTTCAGAATGTATTTTGTAATCATTTAGAATTATATAACAAAAACCCATTTTTGAAGATGTACCTTTGGGGTATAACCATACACAAACAGGATTTCAAGTGTTAAAAACTTCTTCCTCATTTTCATAGAAGAAATGTATGGTTTCTGTTTTTTGTTTTTGATTTTTTTGGTCAATTAAAAAAATTCAAAATCAAAACTACAGAAAAATCCAGAACGTATTTCCAACTATTCAGATATAGTCATATTCATAGTTAAATAGATTTTTCATTTTATTTTTTCTTCATATTTGATATTCATTAAGGGAGATTTTAGAATTGATGATATTTATGAAATTGTTTTTAATATTATAGGCTGGAAATGTCACTTTTTATTCGACACCAAGCTCAGAATCGAATGAAACAGATGCTGAAATCCCAACAGAATCGGAAATGGGTCCTAATATAATTTATAGGAATGCGAAATGTGATTGTGGGCATCAAATTCCATCAGATGTGGAAGAGGACAGCGTGGAATGTGTGCAATCACCAAGCGGATATAAACTCAATAAACAATTCGGCAAGATGCCCGTTGCGTTTGATATGAGTTCTGTTCATATACCAACAGAAATTTTCAACGAAGGTGACATAATTTTCAAATGTGATGAGAAATTTTTTTTTGTAAATTTTACCTATGTTATTTTTCCTCTTAAACACGAAATTAAAATATGAATCGGTTTGCTAAATTGTTGTTGTTGTTGTGAAAAATTCTTTTTTATGCAACTACTCGACCAATCAATTTCTCGTTTTCAGTACTTGAAGAGGGAAGGAGTTGCCAGAATGCCTTTACTTTTATTTCTTTTCGAAATTTTTTCTTAATCTTGCGAGGCCTGATAATTCAAATTTTGCTGTTTATTGTTAACTCCTGAGAATGCTTTCGTATAACTAATGGGAACACTTATTTGGCTTTGACTTTTGTGTCCGTATATTTTATTATTGCTTTCTTGTTTTTGTTATGCAATAAACTGATATTTGGAGAATAGGCACGATACCAAAATTCTTAGATAACAATGATATGATTTAAAAAAGGAAAATATTTTATAATCAAATTAGTATAACTTCCAAGAACTACATTTTCAAATTGTGTCAATGTTGAAATTTGTTTAGTAAACTAATTGGCGCTTCAAAGTGATAATGGTGTTTAAGTAAATAAGATTTATACTTTGGCATTACACTTAATTAAAATCCATATTCAAATCCATGACCATATTCATATTGAAACAATTATGTATGCTCAAATTTTGTCTCGTAATTTAGCTTCCAAATATTGTGAATTTTGCTTGAGAATTTTTATATTGAAAAAAAAGTGGTATTTTTGTTTACCTAATCTAAATTCTTTATATACATGAAGACCAGTCAATTTGAAAATTAATATGGAAAATTAAATTTTTTTTTTCATACTCAAATTCATGCCCACTCACTCAAAAGTAAATTAGACTGGTCTCTGTGAGTGAAGCGACCACTCAAGTAAGGTCTGAGAGCTGAAACTATAATGAATTACGCTGTGAATTATGCTTTTGTGAAACGGATTGGTGTGAGACTTGTACCGGTTTTAACGTTAATACAACTAGTCAGTAAAACTACCTTAAAGGTAGTGAATTTCACACAGCTAAGATTCTAGGAAAATTCCTATATCCACATTTCACAAACACCTTGCAGTTCAACATCTTGTAACTGAATCATTGTCATGATGGATATATGGTCATTTCTGCATTTCAGATCCTGATGTTTTGTCTGATATCTACATGAGCGATGGAATCGATTCAATAATGCAAAGAGAAGTTTGTGTGAATAACTTCTATTCTCACTTAACAAGATGGGTTTATTATGCCACACATACAGGAGTAATGAGGTTTTTTCCTGATCGTGTATGGTCTGATGATTGCGAAACACCAGATATTTTTGATAGCAGGATATCACCTTGGTTTTTGCAGGTATGTGTAATCAAATACTGTAAAGATAGAGTATTTAAATTAATTATTTATTGGTAAGGAAAGGAGGAACCTTCGGCGGAAGGTTATATGAATTAATTTGAATTTGTATCGGAATATCTATCCTAGATTTGCTTCTAAAGACAAGTTTAGACTGATTTTAAAATTGTCAGTATACTGAGCATTTACCAGACATCCATCTGGTCACTATCTAATAATATATCGTTATTAATAGTCTTATAAGTAGTAAATTGGAGTTGGGTTGCGCGAGACTAACTTCCTATCTTTTCTCTATGCCTTTATGCTAGTGGATCCGTATGCGTATACTGCAAGGATGCTGTAGCTGGAATAAACATGACTATTCTATCCAATTAAAGAGGCCAGCTGCACACTAACACAAATGTATTTCTGTATTACATTTGTGTTAGTGTGCAGCTGGACTCTTATAAGTAGTGTTGCTTTATTTAAATAATTCAATCAAATACTTCCAATGCCTTGCCTTTCAGGGCTCGAATTGGGTCAACTTCACCTCCATTGGGGTTAAATTTGGCAAGCAAGAAAGTATTTGACATTGTTAGGGTTGCAACGTCCTCTGTTGCTAAATAAATATTGTTGCACCCTTTGCTATAAAGACACTGTCTAGCTCAGCACCACCTTTCTGTTTTTCATTTATGGAACACTTTTGAAATTTAGCAAGGAGTAAACAATAGAATATAGATTGAAATCCTGTTTTAGTGTATTCTGATCGTGCATTTTTAAAACTCTTAATCGTGGTTTTCCTTTTTACAGAGTGTGTCATCGCCAAAAGATGTCATAATTTTGATAGACAACAGTGGAAGTGTAGAAGGATTGACATTGAATTTATTTAAAAGATTAGTTCGTGATTTTCTTGACACTTTGACAACCAACGATTTTGTTAACGTGGTATTATACAATGAAGAATACAAATTCATCAATGAGAAATGTACTGGGTTACTTCAAGCTACTCCGAGGAATAAACAGGTAGAGGTTTCAAGATGCCTAAATTCTAAAGTTTTTTAATTTCAATGAAGAAAAACTTCCTCATGATTCGAAGTTTATTTTCTAATTCAGTGGTTCCCAACCTTTTTTGATAAATTCCTCTCGCTATCAATTTGGAACACTTCTTTATTCTCCCTCTCGATGGATAAAAAACTGTTTCTATTCGTTGTTCATTTTCAATAGATTCCTAGCTATTAGCTAGCCATATGCGCACATATTCTGACTTTTGTAAAATTTAAATTATTACAATAATACTAAATTGGAGAAAATATTACCAACACTACACCCAAATACAAAATAAAATTTCCGCTCATAAATTAAATAAAATTCTTTCCTGGGAAGAGAATTTTGTTCATACAAATAGTCCAATTAAGAAAAACTACTTTTTTTTTTAATATAAAAACTCTAAATCCCTAAATTTACATGCCAAATATGATTAGCGCAGTTTTAATGTGTGACAGTATCGTTAAACCAAGTAAGAACTCAACTGGATTGTATTGAATTACTGTTAAATGAATGTAACTGTACTGGTTTTTTATCAATTCACATCTTTTGGGACCAATATTTGAAGAGTTGTTTATTTGGAGCAGAAATTTCATATGAATTTTAATAGCCTAATCTACATTGTTTGTGTAAAATAAGCTTGATGCGAGATTCCAGAATTGAAGAAATATTTTTGATTTGCCAGATAAAACTTTCAAAAACCTCAATTTGGATTACCGCTTACCGGTAAATTTTTTTTTTCATTTTTTTTATTTAAATGACTCAATATATATTTTGGGCGTTTCTGTAGCTGTCTTATTTATATCATTATAATGCTTGTTGATCTTTTTTATTTACAGCTGCTACAAAATTGGGTCGAAACAATCTCAATTCATAACAAATCGAATATTGAACGAGGATTCAATGTTGCTCTTAAAACATTAGAACTCACTACACATGTAGATGTTTATTCAGCTAAATGCAATCCTATGGTTATGTTTTTTACTGATGGTGATGCTATCTATCCAAGTGAGGCGATGCGGGCATGGAATTCAAACGAAAATGTGAGATGATATTTGGTTCTTGTATTGGCATTTTTAGTGATTGCTGACTGGAAATTTTCAATCATTTATTTATTTTTTTTATATTAATCTGTAGTGGTTATAATCTGGAAAATTTCACGACGAAATTGCTAAGAAAAAGCAGCTTTTTGAGCAGGTTTTTTAATCAGAGTTTGAAGCAATATACACCATAGTATTTCAGTGGAAAGTTGTAGATGTTTAAAAGTCAAAAATTAATATGTTTTCCTCATTTTCGCAAAACAGATTTTTTTTAAGTTTCTCTTTTTAGCTAAAATCCCCCTTTTCATTGTGTTTCATATTTACTGTTCATAGGTATTTTGACATTTTTTTTTCAAGTTTTATCAAGATCTTTTTAGTGTTAGTCTTTAGTGAGTTTCTAACCTTACTAGATTATAATGTATGACTTTGCTTTGAGCAATCTTTACAGAATTAATAGACACCGAACCTCTAGAATGCTATTGTTAGATTCAGTTCTCCAAACAACGAACTTGAATGTGAAATTAGATACTTTTACATTCCACAAATGTTGATTGGTGTAACATAACCAAATGTTTATTGGTGTAACATAACCAAATGTTTAAACCAAATGTTTCCTCTTTCAGAAACGAATATTCTCTTTTACTGTCGGGAAACATTTTTACGGAACCGAGACGACAAAAGAAATAGCTTGCAAAAATAGAGGAAATTATTACATTGTTCCATCTTATACAGCCACTAAATCAAATGTACAAAATTATTTGGTGAAAATCAGTGAGGTTGTTTCTGCTGAAGAGTAAGATATCTGTTATTTGTTTTGTTCGTGAAAATATATGTTATAAAAACGTGATTATTTTTTAGAAATGATTATTTTTTAACATCAATGTATATACAATTTTCTTGAGTGCATAGGATAGGCAAGTTGAAGTATTTGTCTGTTTGGCATAATTTTTAACCATCATATTGGTTCTCAATGGGGGGGGGGGGGGGGGGTCCACGGAGCGATTTGGGGGGACCGATGAGCACTTTGACTGTGACACAGAAGCAATGCTGAGATGGCTTTAACTAGGAAAACAGTTTTAGTATTAAGCAAAAAGTGAAACATGATGGTCACTGATGTTGCACTACTCAATATTAAAACAAAATTTCCAAACATGATGAAAATTCTCCCCATCGCACGAGAATATCGATTTTGCTCGATATCTGATTCTGTTACAATGGTACATCTCTAGACTTGTCCCAATTGTCACTGTTACTTGGAACATGTTTATTACAGTTACATTTGAACTATCACTGCAACGAGTTCATACATTTATGAATTTTTAATTCTACACTTTTGACATGAAAATTTTGGAAGTTCAACCATGAGTCACCAATCATCTAAAATGATTCAGGAATTCAATTTAAAGTCACCTTGAGTTTTACTGGCAGGGATTTGTTTTGAGTATGCAAGCTAACTCCCTATCAACATTGGAGTCTGGGACTACTATTCAAATTATGAGAACATCATAAAACATTTTATATTGCCATTCATCAAAACGAGAAAACATTTCTGCCAGTCAGAATATTGACTTCCCAATCATTTCTTTTATTATTAAAACTCAATCACTTGTGATTTGCTCGACCCTATTTCTTTCAGGATCTTTATTAATATTTAATGTTAATCTGCCTGCTCAGTTAGAAAATCTGTCCAAATAACAGCACAAATCATCATTACTGATATTCAAAACTATGTAACTAATTCAGTCAATTCGAAAACCTTTTAATTTAAATAAAAGCAATGCAGGGTTGTTTTTGGCTAATGATTAGGACTAAATATGTTGATAAATTTAGGTAATTTTATACAATGGTATAATTTGACTGACACCTTATGGATGCTGGTGAATCAGAGCATGTTTGAATATATTGAGATATTCAATGCAATTGTTTTTCCTTTTAAGCAATAGTTTTAAATATTTTTTATATGAAAAATTGTCCCTTTTCCTGGTCTCAAATGCTTGTTCAACTTTTAGTATCTCTAGAAAAGGGAAGTCGAACAAAAAAGTTCCATTCTTTATCATTTTTAAATTTACTTATTACAAAATCTTTATAAATTTACAATGATTTATTTAAAAAAAACTTCTCCACTGAACATAACAAACATAGTACCAATATTCCATAATAAACACGATTTTTAATATTCATTAGCTTTGGTCATTTTTGGCCAGTTTTCATGCTAATTTAGTGTATATATGCATTGTTTTTGTTTTTTAGTATGAATAAAATTTTTAATTATCTTGATTCTTGGAGGATGTCCCCGTAATTCATGTTGTTTCTTGGATTGATCCAAAAGTTTCCAATTATGGAATTATGCATTTACATATCAATATTCAATTTCCGAATTGATTTCTTAAAAACATAATTGGACAAAAGTGATAATATGTGGTTATGTGCCAGTATAATTCGGTTTTGTGGCAAAATGTTATACATAAATGTCTTTTGCTCTTGCTGATTCAAGTTTGCAATTTGCATACTTCCTAAATCCTGTTTTCCGTAAATCTACATTTATTCAATTGTTTGTTAGCAATTACTTATACATTTGCTTACAATATAATATATTCGAACCATAATTGTTACACATAAAACATGCCTATTAAAAGCAAACCGGTATGTATCTCAGTAAAGGGAATCTATTCAACACCTGATATCTATACTCGAGTAAAACTATTGCTAAAAGCGCTGTCTGCTCTCTTAGCGAGACTTCAAAAATTACATACAGGGTGGCCAAAAAAGAAAGGTATCCATAAATTCATAGAAAATTTATTTAACCCTTGAACTTCTGTTTGTGCATGATTGTATCTAAAAGTTTCAGTAATTAAGACTGATGTTCACTCTAGAAGATGTTCCAAAAAACTTATGTTCACTCTAGAATATGTTCCAAATGACCTGGACTCTGATTTTTGGGTCATTCTGTAACTACGGAATTGAAAATATGTGTACATTCTACATATGTAGTACAATTTTACATTTTCGACAAAAGATCACAATTTCCTTTATTTATGTATATTAAACATGTAATCCTTTTTTATTACTGGAATATACCAAGTATGTTTAGTGTGTGTGAAATAACTTTAATCATGTTTGTTATGCTTTGTTTTCTTACTTTCTCCATGTTCAATCATATTCAACAAATTAAGTCAATTCAACTTTGAGAAAACTGCATATGTAGATAAAGGCTTTCTTGTTTTTGTTCAGTTTGACGGGTCACGGTCAATTTCAAAGTTATTCTTTCATGGCAGTCTCGCTTCAATCAATTTGAAAACAACATGAAAACTACTCCCTCTTTAGTCGGCAATCGATAGCGTTGAGTCTCATTCAATGTTTCTAATGTAACTTATCCTTACGTACTGCCAATGCAAATTCATTTAATTAGTTTGCCTGTAATTCAACTGAAAGACCGTTATTTATTTTTGGAAATCAAATTGCTATGGAAAAACTTTTTATTTTAATGTAAAATAAAGAATTTGAAGCAACACTTTTTCTATTTAAACGCTACCCACATAAATTTTGAAAAGGGGCACTATGACATGATGGTTAATAATTCGACATAATTATATTTCTTTTAGAAAAAAAGTCAGATGGAGTCTTCCATATGGAGATAAACTTGGCCTTGGTTTTATATTATCTGGATCAACACCAGTGCATGATGAGAACAAATTAGTTGGAGTCGTTGGAATGGATGTTGTATTGAAAGATCTTAAAGATGCTATCACAGATCCGAATGTATGTTATTTTCTCTTCTGTAGGCTTCTTCTCTTCATTGTAGAAAACACTCTGTTGCCTTTCCAAATTTTAAATTCCACCATTATTTTTGTTCATATATTTTAATTGTTTGAACAGAATCATAATATGATCTTGTCACAAAAAAGTAATTTGCAACTTTGTGAAATGGAATTATTTCTGTATTTTATTCAAAAGTCTAAATTTTAATAAAAGTTGTTTTAATGTACCTTGCTCCAGACATCGCTGGTTGGCCGCAGTTTATCAGCACTAAGGATCATTCAATATTTAATTTATCTTCTTCCGTATTCCTGTAAAGTTAATGATAATTCTAATTACCATGCATAATTAAGTGTTTTTGACTTACGAATATTACCACTGCTTTGACAAATTAGCAAATAGACGTTTGCATATTTTGGTATTTTATTTTGAAAAAAAATGAAACTTGAAAATATTACGAGTCTGTATTATGACATTGATTTCATAAATTCAACATTATTCTTTTCTAATAAATTTCAGATGGGAAATGACTATTACCCTTTTGCGATTGACAACAATGGATTTGCCATCATGCATCCAAATTTAATAGAGGTAAGGAAAATGAATGACAAGCAACACAACTGATGTATTACATCATATTAACATTATAACACTCTCTGATCAAGCATGACACGAATATTATTCGGGGCGCTTGAAAAGATACTTAGATGACTATACTTTATAAACACTGGTAATTGTTGATGACATCTCCTCTGGGAATGGGTTGAGATTATAATGACAAATTCAGCAAGATTTTTATTAAAATGTTAATGCATTAATTATGCAACGAAATATAAATGTGGTTATATTAAAATCATTAATGATTTTGCATGGTATTCGCAACGCTATTTCAGTAATAATTTCTAAAAATCATCATTTTTTGTTTCTTGTCAAAACTCTGCTTGGGATAGTGAAATAATTAATTTATGACACTAATTAAAAAATTTAACAATCAAAAGTCGTTGTTTCCTGTCCTATGTCTTTTCCAATTGTTTACTGAATTATTCATAATAACCATTAAAGCTTTAAATCCTATAATTCCCTGCTGTTTGTCAGTCAATTTGAATCAATCTTATGTGAGGTTTTGTCAAGTCTTCTACGTTTTCCATTTTTTTCAGCGAGCTCGTTTTATTCTTACTGGTCATATTCAACTTTATTTCTTTATATTTCAGGAAAATCATGATGATGTAATGTCCGTTGATTTTGCTGATTTGGAACATCCTAATATCGCTAAAGTAAGATTGATTGTATTTTGCACAATATTGTGAATAATTTACTAGCTAACATTTTGCTCAATTGTTGTTGTTGTTTTGAAAAAAAAGTTTTTTTTGCAACAAGTGCCCCAATTTAAAAAATGTAGTACTTTAATATTGAAAAAATCTCCTTTTTCAAAGATTTTTTAGCCCACTCAGGTGTGTATTTAATGTTCAGCTTTGTAACGTCAGGTCGGGAATCTGTTTTTCTCATCTGCTTGGAAGAAAGTTTAAAAGTCGTTTTCCATGGACCTTTCCCCACCCTTTGACCCCAGAGAAATTATTCCCATACTTTATCATTGTAAAAAAAAAAAGTTCCGGTAAAGAATTTTAGCCTAGTCTGTCACAGCTATTTCTACACCTACTTTTTGATTATTGCAATTAAACTGAAACTTCTAGGCAGACAAAGTGATCATTGAATTATTTGATTTATATGTCCGAAACACAACTGAAAATTAACTAATAGAATTCAAAAATGCGAAAACGAGGCATTGTTCACGACCACGCTTAAAAATCTGTCTGAGCGAGCGCATGCGTTGTTAGGTCACTTTTTGCATTTTGCTGATTGGCCAATGTCACGAAGTAAACAAGGAAGTCGATGCTTGGGGAAACATCTATTATTCAAGCTTTGTTTATCAATTGTACAATGGGCAAAACTTATAATTGTAATTCTCTTATGTTTTAGATTAGACAAGACATTATTAATGATCTGAGTAGCACCGGTACTTCATCATTGATAAAACCTTTCGTTTTGGGTAGAAAATATCTGATAACTTCATCTTATAGATATGAATATGCTTCAATATCTGGAACTGTATTCAAGTATGTATATAGCCTATACTTTTCTGGCATATATCTTCAGCAGAGTTTGAAAGCTTGCTTGGTTGGTAGACATTTTTTTTGCAAGAGACAACAAGTGAGGCTTGAGTGTTTCTCCATTGCATTGCTGAAAGTGCCCTATTGACTATGTTTGTGTTGGCAAAAAAAAATTCAGATGACCCATTTGTGGTTGGAAGATATCTAGCTTGTTTTTTGGCGTGACGAGTTGCCAGACGATAACAGTAGCATATTTGCTACGTCGTTCACTCATATTGTGAGAGAATGAATTCACACATTTGGAATAAGTTCTTTTTAATACTACGTTACAGGTTCGGTCTCGGTATTCATTCATCAAAGTTGAAATACCTTGATACCACGGATGCTATTTCGACTTCTTATCCAGATTTAACTTTGGAAAAATTAATGGCTGATCAATCATCCGATACAACAACTCTCCTATATTCAACACCTTGTGCCAAAAAGTAAGTCATCAATGTTTGGTGGAGTTCTTAAATATTGATGAGATATGGATTTTGTAATTGTCTCTGATTACAACTAAGTGATTTCTGTAATGAGCTAGCTACTTTTAAACAATTTGGGGTTTTAATATTTATCAATACGACACATGATTATTCAGACTAATCTATTATTTATTTTGTTTGGAATTAGGTAACAGAAGATAGTTATTATAAATAATGTTTTGATTAGTGCACTATTTTCCACAGTTTTTTCAAATATTAAATTTTCATAATAAAAGACTGTCTTATCATGAAATTATTTACGCAAAATGCCAATTTTCTGAATCAAATAGTGCTAAATTATATCAAAAATTAAGGATTTTGAAGTAGGTTCGGTGGCCTATTGGTTAAAGCGTTAAGATTTATGAACTATAGTGACATGGCAGGTTGAAATCTCAAATCCCATTGCCATAACCTTACCCAGTAAGTAATAAAGGAGAATATTGGTCAGAGACCGAAGACTTATCAATCGAAAGTTAGGGGATCCCCCAAAACAGCGCTCTTACTCTGTAGTGACACCTTGTGTCCCATCACTAATTAATCAATAACTCGCTAATTATACGACATAATTCGCCCAAAATCAATAGGCTTCTAGTCTGAGATGTGATGAATGCACATGCAAAATCTGGAATAGATTCAATCTCGCTTTCGTGAGATGTTGCGTGCATCTAACAGACATACAGACAGACAGACAGACAAATACCTATCAACATACTTACCGATTAAAATCGATGAGTAATAAAACTAAAAAAGTAGCTTGCTGCTTCTACAGGGCCTTGTCTGGAACGATAATCGTATAATATGCCCTACAAAAAATCTCGACTATTAAAAAATTAATGATCTGAGACATTAGATAATTAACATCATAAAATTTGACGATATTATGGATTTTAATGCAAACAGCTAAGACGATTATGTTGATGTGTAATATACTTTTTGATTGTTGATAAATTAAATTTGAATTTTAAACCTTGTGTGGGGTGGGATCACTAACCCAACTACACCACATATTCGTAATCTGCAATGCCAACATAGACAAGTTAATGCATGCTAAAAAGATATTGTTCAATGTCAAATTATCTTAAAAAACCATTCCTGGCGATTTTTTTGCAGAGAAGCTGTCAGTTTCAATCCATGTGAACTGAAAGAGAACAGTACCGATGCCACTGATGCCGATCTAAATTTTAATGAAGGTGTTCCCATTGAAAGTCTGTCCAAAATATCCTGTGAGTTGTGTTTTTTATTACCGTATTCATTTTCATTAATAATTACTGGGGATATTTAATGTGTTTGAATTTTATATATTTGAAATAATTTTTTTTGTTTTTATTATTATTTCTATATGCATGAAAAGCATTATGATTTATCAAGAATTTTGTTTACGCAAATTTTCATTGTAAGAAGCAAGGCTGTGGGGTCTGAGTTTGACAGGATATATGGATATTGAAGTTGTATCCAGAACTGCTTTTTAAACTTGGGTTGGGAGTCGCATCCAAAATAGAAATTTCAATAATTTATTCTTCTAGTTCTAACTTCTAATGGCAGTAATCCTAGTTAAAATTATTGTTGACTACTAAGAAAGTTGATTGAAAATTCCCAACAGACAATCAAACAAGCCTTGCATACGTCAAAGTTTTTTGTTAAAAATTTTGTGGAGATGGGAACTGGACTTTAGAGTCAATATTGCGTGTAAAAAGTCGTGTCAGCCCAGATTCATATGTTAGATCTAGAATTGTACTTGCATGTCTCAGAATTTTAGAGTCAGACAGAGTCTGGTGTAAATTGTCCCTGACACCACAGCCCATATTAAAAAAAAAACAATACCAGGAATTATTTTCTCTTTTTGCACTATCAAAATATTTTAAATATTAGTGATTTTACAATTGAATATTATTTCATAATGTTTGAAGTATTGAAATGATACAGGGTATCTCAAAAAACAGAACCCAGGTCATTTGGAATATATTCTAGAAAGAGCATAACTTTTTGTGCGAAGCTTCCTGGATTACTGAAACCTTTGTATACAATTATACACAAACAGAAGTGTTGAATAAATTATTTTTATTTTCATACAAGTAGATGCAAAATTTATGGGCTCTGTTTTTCAGGTTAACCTGTACAAGTTTGTTAACCTTTTCCACCCGACCAACATATTTTTGACTCAACTCAATATTTTCTTTTGCAGGCAATATGTCTTCCCAGATTTATTCCGGCCTTCTGCTGCATTCATATGTTAGTGATGATATGGCATCTAATTCTTGGGATTCCAATTCTTCAATCAAATATGGAGATGGTGTCCTTGCTCTATACACTGCTCTAGAAACTCCGTCTTTCATAAGAACAAAGTATTTGAATTTTACTGATCAGACTGATGGTGATATTGAAAGTTTGAGTGATGACCGAATTAAAAAGGTTTGTTTATTTTATTTGATATCTGGGGGATGTCCTATTCATATTTGAAATTGGTTATATTCAATATGGTTACTTCTTGATTTTTGGAAGCCTTCGAAAGACATGAAAAAATTGTACAAAAGGAAATATTGGTCATAATAACTACTTTATCATTCAAACATTCTGTGTTACTAAATTTAATTGCCATGAATTTACAATGATGAGTCAATTTCTCATTCAACATTGCCCCACGCGATTGGGGCATATTTACAATTATTTCATTGTTTTTTTTTATTCACAGGAAATACAGGCTGTTTTATCTAATCCTCGTGACAGCATGTATCTTCGACATGCAATCCATAAACCACAATGGACAATATATACTTTCGTCGATGCCCCTGCTATAGAATCACCTGAAACTATTGAACCCACAACACCTAACAATACGGAAACTACAACAACCACACAATATCAAACCACAACATCTCCATATGAATCTACTACCACTAGCGACTCTACAACCACTACTCCACCTACCGCTAGTACACCTAAAAGAGGGTATATCGTGGCAAGCAAAGTTGTCAGGGTTTCTGGTGATGAACCAACTATCTCTCCTGTGGTAACTGGAGTCGTTTTACATCCAGATACATTTCAAAAAAATATGTTTAGTCTCGCCTACAGGGTATGTATTATGAAAAAGTATTTGTAATTTGTTTATTCGTTATTGTAATAAAGAGGATCAATATTACCAATAAGGGTTCTTTTTGCCAAATTTTATTTACTGTAGATACCATTGTTATGCGTGAAGTAGTGAATTGTTTTGCTGAATTGTTATTCTGTATTCTTTATTATTTTTAAATTGGTATCAAATACTGAACCAGTTAATTTTAAATTTTTTGTACTCGGAGAATTAGCTGGAAGGCTATTAGAATAGGATCAAATTTTTGTATTAATCCAAGTGGAGATGAAAGTTGATAAGGCGGCTCAATCAGATGGGGGCACCACGGCCTCTTTTCTTTTTAACAGTCTGACTGGAATGGGATTTGTTAGCCTTTTTCTTGTTTGAGATACATGGACTTGATGGGGAAGAAAGCTGTAACCAACCAGCGCTTACATGAACCACGTTACGGCAATCCTCTGGACCTAATTATCTTCCACAGACCACACAAATTTTTTTTCTGAGTCCTATATTTAATCCATAATTTTGCTGTTTTATTGTAATTCACTTTTACATGACATATATTTATGTGACGTTTGACATTTGTGTCCATATATTTCAGCATTATTCTCTTGTTTTTAGTGTAACAATACTGTCAATTGTAGTACAGAAGGAATGGATATGCTTTGCAATGACACTGAGGTATATTTTTATTGTAGTTTTATTGTAAGTTTTTATGAATTGCTTTAGACATTTGCCACCATTAATTAAGGCTGCTATCTGAAATATATTTCGCAAGCCGAAATGTGATCTCATATAGTCTTGGTTGAATATGCTAGACCTCATAAAACTGAATTGTTGTTGATAATTTTGTAGTTTTGTTCAATCAAATTTTTTCCGCTGATGTCCAACAGTTATGTATTCATTACTCTCTGTTAGAGGTCGGTGAAAACAAGATTCGAATATCACATTCTTAAGAATATAGAATAAGGCCCTTAGGAATATAGTTTTACATCAGAGTCATACTACTGCATAACAGAGTCATACATGCACCCAATAAGTTACTGGGAAAAATTTTGGTTCGTTATCAATTATCATCGAATACTGTACTTGTTTTTACTTTCAGAATACTGAATGTTTGATTCTGGATGATGGTGGATTCCTGATTGCTTCAAATCAAGAAAAATATTATGATGATGTAAGTGTTTATTACGTGGAGTAAATCTACTTTTAGATGCTTGGTACGCTCATTTCAACTAAAATATAATAAACACCAATTTTTTAGTGATGGAATTTAGTGAGATTTTACTATTATCAAAAATTTTAATTCGTTTTAGATTCATGTCTGTGTTTTTTCGAATAATGGCATAAGAAGCATTTGGTTTGAGTATTGAACTAAGCTTAAATATTTTGTTATACCATTTTGCTAGCTGATTCCAGTATTATTTCTTCAGTTATAGAATACGTTCTCACCATGGGGAGTAGAATATAATTATTTAACAAAATATCTTATATTACTGATTCACTTACTATGCCAGTTCTAATGACCATACAAGTAATAATAATGAATAAATTGATATCACATAAATTTTGCTGTATGATATATTTTTGAAACTTATTTGGCCAAATTTTCAAGGGGTGGTTTTAAAGACATGAATGAGGTATCCAGACAGTCCATTATTCACACTTTTCCAAATATGCATTATGGAAAGGATGTTCTTTTTTATTAAAAATATGAAGTTTCTATTTAAAGAATTTGATTATTGTAATTTCTATCAGGTGAGCAAATTTTTTGGTCTCGTTGATGGTGAATTTATGAGGAGTCTCGTGAATAAGAAAATATACGATGTATATCATATGTATGATTATCAAGCTGTTTGCGAAAGACCAATAAATGATAATTCTGCTGGAATTCCGAGATGCTTTGTACCTACAATTACTGATCTACTATCGTTCGGTAAATTTTGTACTTATTTTATAGGATTCTATAAATAGTTATTCGCATCTCGGGATGGTTTTATTTATTTTCCCTCCTGTCTCCCTTTTTTTATCATTAACCCACTTCACTTTGAAATATCATTTTAGAATGTTGGCATTCATAAGTTTAATGAAGAAAGTTAGATACTGAAATGAGAGTTTGGTTCAGGCCAATTGAATTACTATTGTTTCGGCAATATCAATTTAAAATTTTGGAATATTAGAAATTCTTTTTTTCGTGAACTCAGTCATGATTATGATTTTCACTTGATTAGATTTGCTTGAATATAATGCTTCACAACATACCTTTTATACTATTTAAGGGGGACATACCTATGTATGTCTGAAGAAGTCTGACCTTGGTCAGATGAAACGTTACAGAAATATATTTGTGTTAGTGTGCAGCAAGACTCTTGAATCACTTAGCAGAGTTATATCCATGTTTCAATTTTATAGCGTACAGCGTCTAACTAAAACTTACATTCTTAGGTTGGTGGTTGTCATCTTGTGCGAGGATGTTCTTTTATACATTAGCACAATCTGCTGTATTCGGAATTCATTCATTGTTTGAGTTTGGATATTCTCATTCTTCAGCACCTACGGGTTCAATTATACCAACAAAGCGAGAACATTGTGTTGAGAAAACTCCGATTTTACATTTTGGACCGAACAGTCCTATGTTATTTGGACAGTTTGACTGTACATATTTTTGTGAAAGGTACATTCTGTAATAATCTTCCAAGATAGCCATCTTTACACAATTTACTATTCTGTACACATTCTGAAAAATATTTTGGGGGTATTAATATTGAAGATATTGGGTCAAGGGCATTTTATTTAATTTAAAATTCTGAATATTCTGAAGTCAAGAATCCATTGTGTCAAATAATTATAACCGATTTCAAACTTTTTTAGTTAAGATTTTGAAAATAATTGAAAATATTTTCGTTTCAAATATTATCAGTGCCAGCTATTGAAGTCTGTAACCAAAAACACCTGTTCATTTCTGAAGATGAGAAATTAAAAAATTTAAATCGTTTATCATAGCTATCCCACATTTGCAAATTCAAATCATTGAATATATCTTTACTTCTATTTGATCCTTGTTGAATATGACCAAATATAGGATATATTCTATATTACTTTAGAAATGATATGGACGGGCATAATCCGGCCCGTTGGGTGATACAATCTGGCCCGTCTGATGCTGCCACAATCAATTTTAATGTTTTAGTTTAAAATATCTTAAGGAATTTGTTGAGATTTCGATTAAATTTAGTTTTGGCCCGTGGCTCATTGTTTTCCACTTTTGCTTTTGTGACAATATATATATTGTTCATAAAATGTAACTTTTTATGTCACACTTACATAGCCCGCCAGTCTAGGTGGGCCCAATTTATGGCCCCTGGTCCAAAAACCTTGCCAATCCCTATGTTAGAATATATTCGAAATAGGAAATTCTTTGGGTTTAGTCATTCCTGTATGTAACCAATTCTTCGTCTCGTTAACTATTGTATTTATTTGTTAGGTCATTTACTTCAATTTATATTGAAAATACAAATTTACTTTTTATCGTGAGAGATACTGAAGCAATATGCCAAGAAGATTGTTCAATAGTAAAACCTTATTATAATACTCCTGTTGATGTTACAATCGATGAAACATGTGCTAATGACACAATCAGGTAAGTTTATGTTAGGTTGAATAGCTTTATCATTTTCAAAGATTTTATTTAGGGTAGTTCGTAGGGAGTTCAATTTTTTTCCATTGGTAATGCCATGCTATCGATGAATACTTTTCCCAGTTTAGGCTCTTTTTAACAGAATGAGTTTGAAATCAAATTTGTTGATGCTTTATTACATATTTTGCGTTATCAGACAGAGATAATGATATTTTCCGAATACCCTAAAACAGGGATGGCGAACCACTGACCCGCGGGTCACAAAGTGACCCACCGCGTTTTATTTGTGACCTGCCAAGCGAAGGCACGAATGAAATAAAATAAAAAATGCTAACATATCAGTGATAAAAATTGATAAAACCGACTTTAAATTAATCTAACAATTACTAAACTATTATAATGTACCGTCAGTTGGACAGTCAGGGAGGGCTGCGATCGCTCATGTTCAAAATGTTGATTTTCGGGCCGGTATGGTGATTTTCAAAACCCCCAATCTTGTACGCATGTATGCACCGCTGTGTACCGTTATTCAGCAATTGGGCCTGACATCGTTTATGACATATCAATGCAATTGATCTGTTCATTTCTCGCAACGCCTGTCTTTTTTGAAAGTGCATCTGCAGACTGTTTTAGGGGTTATACGAGAACTAGATGCTACTTTGCATTTTATTAGTTTCTCGCCTACAATGCCGTTGTGAAAACAAACTTTCAGACTTGAAATAAAAATCTAGAAATCCGATATAACAATGGGGCAGTGTAAAAGTGGCTTAATGTGGTTGGAAGCTGATCGAAAATTATAACACTATCAAAACGGAATTACCTCCAAACACGTTTTTGGTAATTCATATGCGTTATTTTCGTACTCTAATATCATAAAACCGAGTGCCATAAAAAGTCCCTGATAGAAGTGCTGCATAAGTTAAGCCCAAAACTACAGCAACACCAGCTTATAAGATTCGTTTCAGAAGATTCTTATAGATACAAATGTGAATTAAATATCTGTGACCCACTCTCTTCTGTTCCACTCATTGGAAGAAGTTGATATTGATAAATAAATGTCTTAATGTCAGTAAAAAGTGTTAGATAGCTTGAAATCATTTCACGGCACTTCTTCATGAATTATGAATAAATTGTTCTCAAGCCAAAATGTCATTTTTTGAAGGTATCGGAAACCTCCAGATGACAAATGTTACGACGTAAGATCATATGGATCTAAGGTAAGCAGTACATTTCAAAAAATCCTTCAGCTGATGATATGATACTTATTCTAATCTTTACTTCACAGCAATAAATGTGTTTTATTGGCAATATAGCCTGATTGTTAGAGCATTTGACCCAACTATGTTTGTCCTCTTGTCCAAACCATGTGTCCACAGCCTATGACAGGCAGCTATAAATTGGAGGCTCAGTCAATGCTAGACTGAAGAGATTTCAGACCTTCCAAAAATATAAGCTCCTTCCTTACTGTTTAGTGGATAATAATTTTGTGTTTTATTTTTCACAGGACAAAGATAGTCCATGCAGTTCAGCTTCTATTGAACTTCCATATTTTTATGTTATTTTATCTTTTGCGTTATTACATCCTGTTTTATCACATTTTTTCACATAATAGTTGAAGTCTGTACTTGCGAAGTTAAGGTCTGCACTTGCGAAGTTTTATTGCAAAATAAGTGCCTAGTGGGACATTGTAAATTCATTCTAATTTTTCACAAACCACCAAAGATAGATATGGTAGTTGGTGCGGTGTTTGACTTATTTTGTTAACATATTGAAGTACGGTACTCTATAGCGCCAAGTGTTGTATGCTATTTCTTATAATGAGTGTATGTTCTAATCACAAAAATTCAATTATTTGAGTGATCCATATGTTAAAATTTTTGATTAAATAAATGGTTTTTGCATTTAAAATCTTTTCAGATTTGATAGATTTTATTCTAACAATCAATGTTAAATTGCATGTATGGATACTCTCTATACAACAGGTTCTATTTTTTTTTCCAAATTTCTCGTATATACGTAACCATGTCTACTAGCATTGCCATGCTAAATAGTACAAAATATTTCTTCGGACCATTTTTGTTTTTCAAAATGTCATATATGACTGAATTTAAAATGAATAAATTTGTTTAATACTCATACTTTCAATATACTAGTACCAACCTTTTTAGACTTATGATAAGAAATACGTCACTACAGCCCAGCTACCATTTTGATCACAGTGAAATTATGGTAATGTACACCACTTTTTATCTGCTGTGTATTTTTGTTTTATAGCTTATACATACACTATTGCTATTTGTGATTAGCTTAGTTTTATAAATTCATTTTCCTATTGTTTTATTAACGGTTCAGAATAGCCTGAATATGTGATGATTTACCTATCCTTATACATATACTTGCCCTACAATGTAAGTTTGCCTACATGCTACTCATTGCATATTTATTTCCATATTTAACTCCCTAAGGGTACCTTTTATATTATAATAATCATTGCCTCCAAATCAGTCATATTGCAAACGGTGATATACTTTTGCCATTCAAAATCTGGATTTCTCTTGTTTCTGTCTCTATGTGGTACAAAAATATATTCATACCGAACTACCAAAAGCATGCTGTGAATGGTACACATTTTTATTCTTAGTGTTGCAACAAAATATTTCGAGGGTATTTTGTTTTTTGATATTTTATTTTTTAAATCATATAGCTTTAGTTTCATTATTACATAAACCCATTGAGTGCCTTTATATTTACTTCTTTAGTTTGGAATATTCATGTAATATTTGTTTTTATCATTCATACTGCAGTTGGGATTAGGTTATCTGTGCCTTCGTCAACGCTATTATCTTATCGCTAGTAGTGTTATTTCTTTAGTATTTTCCATTGCATGTTTTTTTTGCATTTGTTACTTTTATTTTTTTAAATTTAGAAATGCACTATAGTTATATGGTATTTTGCAATTTTGAGCATTTAAGAAGGCTGTTTTAGCTGCAATATAGTTAGCTGACTATTATATTTCAAACTTTAAATTATCACTAGAGGATTGCAATTCGTGTTTTGTTTGAACTAATGTCTATTGATGACACTAAGTGTTGATTTGTATTGGAGTGTTGGAAAATAATGGCACCAATTATTATGATCTTACATATTACAAAGTTACTTTTCCAGATACAGGCTATATATAAACTATGCGATTGGAATGTTTTTTTGTAATGGACTATAAGTCTTCTATTCAGACGGCAGATTTGATTTTAAGTTGACTAGCTAATTGAATGAAGTCTAAGGCGTTATCAATATCCCTCCATTCTAGTTGCACTATTTTATTAATTTTGAAGTAATCATGGGACGTCCAGCAATGTAAAATAAAATTATGTTATTCTGCTCTTTTACTTAGTGTTCTTTTTATGTTAACTGAGAAAAAATTCTTTTGAAATAGTGTTTCTAAGAATGGACTTCCACAAGGCTCAGTTATCGGGCTTTATTTTATCAGTTTAGAACAAATCATTCTATCGTCTTCCTTTGTGATCTGTTCTGCCACCATCAGGTACTTGTACTTTTTGTCTTTAATTTTCCAGGATGACAGTCAGAATTGGTGGATTGCGTCATGATTCCATCCATACCTAAACTATACCTGTTTATTCATTGAAAAGTACTATTGCACTTTCAATTGCATTTTTACATCTTTTCGTTATTGTTGCGCTTGCTTTATTTTAGTATTTTTAAGCTCAATTGCACTATGTTATATAAATTATTTGTTAACACAGTTACTTGTCACTAATACTGTTGAACATTGTGAAAGTCACATGCGTTCACTCCAGATAATTGTGAGCCGTCTGTGGAATGCTTCAAATGCATAAGCATTTAGGCTGATTATACCGGTATTTTCATATAAGCTTGAAAATTGCTGCATGCTTTTTCTTCATTTATTCATAAATTTCATTACATATTTACGGAATGTTTTAAGAATAAATTGATAAAATTGTTGATTTTTGTGTTTTTTTCCCCCTATAAATGCACACAAGTCTTACTGACATGCAAGCTAGGTAGGGATCTGCCTTATTTATTCCACCCACTGGTCAATCAGTTTATGAATTTTCAAACTAACTTGTTTGCTTTTCATCATTATTCAAATGCGTCATCATATATACATGAAGCAAAAGGTTACTAGAATGTTCAAGTACTCATGAACTATATTATTATATACTTGACAGTCGTCTTCGTCTTTTTTTCGGGGCTTAATGGGGCGGTCCCATGCTGGGAACGCTTCATAGTTGTTTGGTTCTTGTTATAACCCACTTTTTTCTTTTACCACGAACCTTCGTTGAGAGGCTGCTATAAATTGTAGTATTGGGACAAAGGCTCGATTTTCCCCTTAAAAATGCTCCAGTTTTCATCATGATAATGATGCCATGGGCAAGTCGTAAAACAAGTCGAAGAAGGCCCAATCTAGTGCCGCAATAAGTAACAATGGAGATAGTTCTCTGTTTCACACTGTTTGTTGATGCTTCAATGTAGCTAATTAGAGACTTTACCATACATGATGGTGTTCTCATACTCGAGTGGAGTCAAATACCTTCCTCAAATCCTAGATTGCTATTTCCAACAGAGTGTGTTGTTGTCTATTTATTATGTATCTGTCTGTTGGCCGAATTGCCTGTTAGACTGGTTTAGGAAGAAAGCATTATCTAATCCACTTTTTCGGGATCTTATGATGGATTGGGGTTATCACAGGGCCTTTTGAGATTGGTCTGCTTCTAGGAATGTACTTCCACATACAAATGAGTTTTGTCAATCTCTCAATGGATGGTTTTTGTGAAGACATATGCAGTTCTTTTAGGGTGGTCGATGATCGTTGGCTCTAAAGCTGTGGCTAGGAGCTGAATTCAAGTAAACACATGTGTGAGACCTTCAGTCATGGAATGTGAAATCAGTTGCTCATTCGAGTCCCATTATACAGGACATCACGTTACATTATAGACTGCATTCCGCACTGTAGCCTTGCATGGGCTCTAACATTCGAATTACTGGTTCAACTCTAGTAAACCTTAGCAGGCACCGCTCATTAAGCCCATTTTGCAGACAAAGGCCAAGTCAATATTATCAAACAAAACTTTATTTTTTTCAAACTATAACAAATTACAGTGTTACAAAAATTTATCCTAAGTAAAAGTAATAAAACCTACATAAAAAAATGGAACAGTGTTCTGCTTAAACTTATATGAAGAGTTTAAAATATTATTAGTACGCTACAAAATCAGTTGTCTAAAGTCTTCTCTCAATAATACATTGCTATGCAAAATGTATTTTGATGGCAAAATTTAGTCAACAAGGGTATGGTAAAGGGTGAATTGGTGGGGGAAGAGGGAGCACGCAGCTACTTTACTTAAATTCTGCTAACGGGGCTAGCGTCGCGCGTTTATTCGCGAAAAAATATACAGGAGGTTAATACACTACAATCACTCATGCTTTGTCAAGAATTTTCTTCCCAGATTATACCTTGCCTAGCATAATTTATATATTATAGTCATCATTAACTAGTTTATCTATAAATCATGCTTGGACAGATAAAATTTGATAGAAAATAACTGACAAAGCCTACACACACGCATGCGCTATGATAATAAACTTAACTCTTTAAAAGTATCTGTAATATATTCATATAATGCAGTTTATATTAAACTAATTAAAAATAATAAACCATTCTATATTAGAAAAAATGCTTAGGAGTAGGATTTTAAGCATTTACTTATAATATAACAAAATTAACATTGCCCGTATAACAAATTTCCGAAACGTCAGAGACCGTTACAAAAATTTATATTTTAAATTATTTTCAAACAATAAATAAACTAATAAGCATTTTTCTAATATAGGTGGTCTTGATTATTTTGCGCTGTATATTAAATTTTTACAACAATATAAAAAAAATGAAAACTCAACTACTATAAACCTAGCACTTAAAATTTATCAAAACCTAATTTATAAATACACTCCAAAAAACCTAAAAAATCGAACTTATCCAAAAAAAAAATATCTGAAAAAAGATGACACATGCATACACAAACATACTTGTGAGGGGGAGGAAAAAAGTGTAACGCATTTGAGGAAAAAACCTAATCATCTAGTTGGCACAAAATGGCCGCTCCACGTTTTATCCAGTGACTTTGTGGTTTCTTTGTCGGAAGCTTGATGGCGATGACATAGTTGGTCGAGTGACCGGTAGTGGATAGTGTTCCCTTTCTCTCGCTCGTTTTGTAAACTGGACACTCGTAATCGTGCTGTTCCTTAATGTTTTCAACTTTGTCTGGTTTGAACCAGATAATTGGCATTGGATCGAACAGAATTTTTGGATGTTGCTCTGATAGTAGACCACTGAAATATTGGAAGTAGTTTGTAAATAAGATGCAAAACTGGTTTAAATACGATTAAATCAAAAGTCAAAACTGCAGCAGCCTTACTCAAATTTTTCAACAACATTAAAGACACATTATGATATTTTGACAACCATTTGAAGTAATGGTTAAATTAAAACCTGAAATACAGAATTATTTCAGAATGCAGCAACTCAAGCTGAATAATTTGCCATAAACCAGTACCTGGCCGAAATGAGTACTTTTATGTTGTAACATCCTAGTAAATACTAGCATTACTTACGTTGTTCTGTCCCATCTTGCACCATCAAGAAAAACTCCGATCACATAAACGCCATCCGTAGGAGCACCATCCGAAGTTTCATCCTTTGGTAAAACTTGATATGAGAAAGCAAGTTTATCAATTGGGATTGTATATTTACGAGCAAAGTTCTGTCGAGCGCCAGTCAAGAAAGCTTGAGTGAAATAAAAGCCAGAAATCCAGAAGACATCTGGTTTACCCTCATCAAACCAATCCTGTGAATAGAAATTATATTTTCTCCGATGACTTTTATAATAGAAGTCAAGATGTTGAGAGCAGCCCTGTTACTATACATAATAAACTGATTTAATTGCTTGTACATAGCAGAGAGATAGATTTAAATTATAAATATGAAGCAGTGTTTTCAAACTTAGATATACTGCAACCCAATAGTCCACCAAATTTCACATAAGTAGTGAGTGAAATACCGTTGCATTATGTTCTCATGTATAATAGATAGTATAACATAGATTAAACTTAAAGAAATCTACGTCATACAAGCGTTTAGTAATACAATGTACAGTGTTTAGGAATGTAGTGCACTGATATCAAAGCATGACTGACACTTTGCGTCATAATCAATAATGTCCATGATACCATATGTGATAGACTTACAAAGTATTTTGCTCAGTTCAAAGGAGTTATGGAAAAAGCATAAGGGGACAATTTATTCCATGATATTTATAACTGATTCTATATATTTAAACTTGGGGGGTATTTCATGAGGCTATGTAGCAACATTTTTTGATAGACCAGCAATTAAAAAAAATTGTGGTCTTAATCAGTGGTGGGATTCAGGGAGTTCAAATGGGGTCACAAAAATAAAATATAAATTAGCTTTGAACAAAAATTTTAACAAACCTGTAAGAACTTGAGTCTTGCCAAGAAATCATTGATGTAGCTTCCAAGTGGTTTCAAACTTGGATAAGATCGTTTTGCCCAAAGTTCTGGTACTTTACCGATCAGTAAGCTACTAGCAACACCTTCAAGTTCTGCATTCATCACTACAAGACCTTTGATTGCTTTACGTAGATTGACAAGAGTTATTCGAATGGTCTGAAGGAGACTAAAAAGCAAATGAAAAACAAAATGGTTATATTTTATTATATTACACCCTGGGTAAAGTGGGGCTGGAGGCGGGAGAAGGGTGGCATTGGATTTGAACCAGAGATGTGTTATTTGCATTGCCAAGACAATGTAACTTAATGCTTAAACCACTATGCCATCGATTACGTTAAAATTGTTGCTCTAAAACTATAAATGTGACAAATACATAATTTCATATGATATAAGAATATTTTAAATAATGAACAGCTAGTTTGAATATTCAAAATCCACTTTTTGAGACATGTTCAGATTTGGTTTTCCCTCATACTCAAAGCTTTTGTCATAACTAGCTAGACGGCACGACATATATTAACATGCACATGGAGTAAATAGATTTATGCATACTCATGTGTCATCCACCAATTAGATTGCAAATATAAATCTACTCGGAATTTAGATGCACATTGTCTTTGAATTCGAAATGAGTAGGTGAATTAAACTTTTAAAATCAACCCACACCAAGCTATGCGCAATATATTTTTCATACTTCGAAAAAAGAAAGAAATTTCGGCACTCCAGGTGTGTGTGTACCAATATGGAATAAAATTATGGCCTAACCCTAACCTGGTAAACACACTATGCGAGTACAAACATTTCTAACTATACTCAAGCATGCATATGATTCGGTTAAATCTTCTAGATTTCCTTCAACTTACTTGTTAAATCTCTCCATCTCTTGCACCAACACTGTATTCATGCTTTCTTCATATAGTACTGGATATTTCTCTGAAGCTTTTTCAAGATCAAAGTTGGGTGGGAGTTTATCTAGAATATCTGTGGCAATTTCGTTAAGTGCGTTATCTGTTTTTCCTCCTCCTCCTCCTGCAGACGAGCCCATAGCCAGCAGGACTGAGTCAAATAGCTGACGAGTCTCCTGGAGTTCCCGGGATATGTCAACGTTCTCGTGCATCCCAAACACTTCAGGTAGTTGGGTGGTTGGGAATGCCTGAACAAAATTGAAAAGATTAGAGGGTAGAGTAACACTTGGATTTGAATATCATCACCTAAGCCAAGTTCTTTTTTTCTTTGTTGAACTTGAAAATGTATAAAGTGGAGAAATAGTGTCTTGCTTTCCATGAGTGGTTTCTTGTAAGAACTACGCTTGACTGTAACAGGAAATCATTAATTCTGAAGGTTTGAATCCCATGCCCTCCCACCTTACCCAGGGTGTAATAAATTGGGTATGCAATGCAGAACTGGAATAATTTCGGTTTCTCCAAACAAAAGTAACTCGTTAAATATTGTGGGATATCAATGTCTGCTTGTACAGGGCCTTGTTCAAAGCAAAAGATGTAAAAAAGCATCTTATATATAATGAAGGTTTAAACCAGGTACGTACCAGCTCATTCAAGAATACATGTTTTTGCAATTAATGTCATTTTTGAGAAGCCAATTTCTATGAAAAAAGGTTACATTATTAACAACATAATAAATTAAAAACTGACCTTGATGAAGTCGATATAGCCCTGGTATTCCATTTTCGGCGGAACGTAATAATTTCCGCTCGGCGACAACTTGTATTTATGTTCTGTTACAACGTTAATATTATAAAAATCAACAAGATTTGTTCGTAGTAATCTTCTGTCCCAATCATCAGTAACACGACCTCCATAGTTACATTCTCCAGTTAAATATGAGACGGCACTGAGAGGGGTTTCTTCATATTCATTGATGAAAATCTGAATAATACAAAGAAAGAAGTTAGAACACGAGTTTTAATAGAAACCAGTAATTTAACATACCCTTTTATTGATTTATAGATTGTTTGCTATTGCTATTATAGAATACAATTTACATAAAGACTAGCGAATAATTCAACAGAATTCAACAGAAAAACAGGTTTTTAGGTTGTGTAATAAAAAATCGTTATTGCCCACTAATTCCAATATTTCACACTTTTCAACAAGGAATACTTACTGCATCTAACATGCAACTAACTCCTCTGTAATCAATATAATTGCTTATAGACTGGTTCAAGCAACGTTTATTTGAGAAAATTGAAAAAATGTCAATACTACTACAGCAATTACCGAAAAGAGCGTTTTGCACAAATTTATATCTATCTTGTCTAAAAAAAAAACAAAGATCACAAAACTAAATACGAAGATCATTTTATTTCATAACAATTGAATCAATTTATTTTTATTTACTTTTCACTAAATACACATGTATACAAAATAGGCAAAAAGAATACTTAAGGTATACTCTTAATATTCATAAATGACGCAACCAAATTCAATCTTTTTTCTACCTGTAATTGTCTGACACTGATCCTCAGATCAGATTCATTGAATCCATAAGGTATATTCCATCCAAGTGGTCCAAATTTTCTTCTTTCTTGCACTAAGGCGTGGAAGAAACATAGACCGAAGAGAAGTTTTTCAAATACCTGAAATATTTATATAAAAAGAAAATGTATTTTATACACAATTATATACCATATGTCCATTTAAATGGTTTCAACAAAAAAAGTATATATATTACAGGGCGATCCAAAATTAAAATCAAAACCAATAACTTTCTTAATTACTTCTACATAAAGAAGGAAAAACTTTAACTTGAAACTTGAACTTCTTTTTATGTGTGATTGTACCCAAACGTGTCTGTTCTCCAGGGCACTCTAAAATGGGTTCTGTTTTTTGGGGTCACACTGTAGGGATGTTTTTGCAAACATCTTGTTTTTTATCCTACTACTGGTTAGCATTCACGTTAACATTATTATCTTCTTGTTATCACGCTACTGATTACTCTTTGTGGGTTCACAGGCTTGAATCCTGTAAAGCTGTGTTTCGCCATATGATTAAGCTGTTTCGTAAGCTTTTCTTTCCTCTGGGAGAAATATGAAAATTCTACTGCCCTATATATATAAAGTTCAAGTTAAATCAGATACAAAATTGATAAAATATTCACCGATTCTTTTTCTGGACATCCCGCGAAAAACTCAGGATCAGAAATAGGATCAGTAAGATAAGATTGTAGAATATTTTGTCGAAGTCCAGTGGGAGGTTCATTTGTCATTTTCACACCATTTTGAAGAACGGTGACAGGAAACTGAAAAGAAATAAAATTGGGATATTAAAAAATTGTCACCTTCATTGCCTGAATCAGGGGTATAAGCACACAACTGGAAAACAAAAGCCAGTGGCAAAGAATGCATGCTCCATCTCCTAAGCAATTAAATCATTAACTTTTGTTTTTGCATGATATATGAGACTGTATTATTAACTCAATCCACGTCTCTCTCTACACAGGAGATGCCATTTAAAAATATTTAGTGAGTATGACCTAGTGCAGAGGTGCGCAACCTGTGGGCAGCGGGTCAATTGTGGCCCACAAGGAAAAATTGTGCGACCAGAGAAAAGTGCCAATTCTAGAAATGAGTTTTTGATTTAGGTAAATCTGGCATGTGCGAGTAATTCCAATCCCCTTGTGTTGCAAAGCCTATACCTGAGTCAATTTATTTATTATCTATACCCATGCTGTTACAATGCCCTAATTCGTATCTGGCCTTCTGTATAAAAAGGTTGCACATTGTTAGAGCATTGGTCTTAACCATGATAGCAACACAAGTTGAGAATCTCGAGTTCAAAGTGTGTAAACTGGAAATCAAGATACAAAAAAACATTAGTTATGAGTGGTAACAAAAATCTGGACTAACTTTATCAGATGGATAAGATGTCAACCACAATCTGAAGTTTGGATTAATATTTTCTGCATTGAATTCTTCACAAATTTTTTCCATGGCAGGCATCCATGACACGGCCAAATGACAATTTTGTAATGCCACCCAAGTACCGTCCTGGATGGCAGCCGTTATCATACTGGCAGCAATAGGACCCTGACCTTGGCCCAATGAAATAGCATTGAACTTGTCACCATCATATCCTTTGTCTGCCGCAAACTTCAAGAGAGCTAAAGTGAAAAATCATCATTCAGTTTTACTTTCATTTAAAATAATTTGCACCAAAATAAATGAGATGGTATATTCAAATATAGGATTAACATATTTATCCCAGGAGAGGAAAGTCAATAATAAGGCTCAATTAACAAGCTATTTTATTTGGATTCATGGATATATCCCATGCTATACAATGTGAAAAATATAAGAGACTGAGAGTGCTATTGAGTTTCAACCAAGGGATGTGACAGAAGGTGCCGCCTACACACTAGAATATGGCCCAATAGAGTTGATTGAAATATCATTTAAAAAATGTGAATGGGTCAAATTTTAAATATGATGCAATTTTGAGGAACTTATACATGCAGCGATGTTTTTAGGAAACAAGATGGACCAACAGCTTAGAATAGGATTTTCATATTTATCCCACATTCCCAGGGGAGAGGAATACATGTTGGGTATAAAAGAGTTGACTAGTTATTTTTTGAATGCATAGACTTATTGATGACAATATACTTATTATATTGAAAACTAGAATCCTAATTTTGTAATCGCATATCTAAGATGCTGGCATTCCAAAGTCACGTCACATTCATTCATCGGATAGAACACACAAAAAAATAATTCAGAACTGTTGTTGTTCATGTGTATACACTAACCTGCCATAGGATCAGCTCCAGGTGACAACACAAAGATAAGAGGCATTGTTGCATTTGAATCAGCAAAACTTTTAGCCAAATCAAAAGGCGGTGGTTCCACAAATTTATGACCCAATTTTTCTTGAACGTATTGACGCACCATGGGCACGACCTGAAAATAAATGGATGATTATGCAATCGTATTGTTATCTACTCCAAAAAAGGCTTTTAACAATCAGACACTCATTTAATGTACCAGTCGTTGTTAAAAGAACTAAAATTTTCCATTAGGCATTACAAATGTAATTTTTTATATTATTTTAATATTATAATTAATACTTCTTATGCAACAAAATTGAAATATATGCCAAATTTTATAAAGTAAATAATGAATTATTATTTCTCTTATAAAGCCTTCGTTTCGTTTTATGAAATTCGAAATATAGTAACATTTTTTAAATAATTCAAATTTGGGTTCAAATTTCATGAAACTTGATAAAAATTATGATATCGTAGCACACCGATTCAAACTAATGACATAATACTCTTTTTGATTATGTAAATCCCAAAAAATGCGCATTTCCAAATTCTCAAACTTTTTTTCTAATTCACCCATTGAGAACATCTATTCAACATTTGCCAAAAAAATAAAAGATAATTATTAATTGAATTACCGTAAATACATGAATTAAAATAATCGTGATAGTTTCTAACTCACAAGGAACATCCAAAATTTCATGAAGAAAAATTTACCTTGTCCGGTCTCAAACACCTGATAGCAGTAATACGTTGGAAGTCATTTAATCTTTTATCCCAGGGAGCTGGTAGATGTGCATTCTGTGGATCTTTCAAATCATAAACCTTTCTCCATTGCAGAATATTATCATGGAAGCTGTCACTGTAAAAAAAAAAACTAAAGTTAAGTGGACTTGATTTGTAATTTAAAGTTGAACCATTTGAATCATCAGAAAACGGTTTTCATTTAATCCAGCATACAACTGATGTACTAGATCTTTGAGCATTGCTTTCATGTTTTAAACTCTCTCGTCAAGCCAAAATGATAAACCAAAGTTAATAAATCTTACATAAATCCTTTGAAAGGAGGAAAATCCTTCATTCTGCACAATTCATCCCATGATTTATCGCTCAGCCATGAAGAGTCAGGATTAGCAAGTTTGTTTTCTAGTCCAACACCACCAGTCAAAAAGAACATGAATTCTTCTTTACCAAGTTCTCCTTTGGCCCTGAGAATAAACAGATGGTACATTTTATAAAAAAAAAAATTATTCGAAGCAAGGTAATGCATACCCACTTATAAGTAAAAGAGACTGATCTAATTATAGGTGACAATTGAATTTCCAATACTCACCGAAACTATATAAAATTATGGCAGTGGTTTTATGTGTTAGTGAATACTTTTTGATGTATGCATTGAAAAAGTAATAATCAATACAATTAAAAATATACAGGTATATATATATATATATATATTAAGGTGTTACGAAAAGCAATGAGATGGAAAAACTAAAGCCTGTACTTACATGGTGATATTGGCACACAGAATGAGTGAGAACAACAATTTATCTTTCTCAAACAAGGATCGACAAACATTGCAATATAAATTGTAGGTGAAATGATCTGATAAATATCTCAAACGTTTATCCAAGATCTTCGACTTGTTACTGAAATAAAAAAAAATATTTTGTCAATTCATTTGTTTGATTGAAGTAGATTGTTCATGTATTACAAGCCCTTGTTGTATGAGAGATGAACCTAATTAGGTGGGCAATGCAACTCAAAAATCTCACATTAAAACCCCATGGTGCTTACTCAAGGTGAAATGAATGGGTTGGCATTGCTGAACCAAAAAACACCTGATCCAACCAATAAATTATACCTGAGAATCAGCTCATCATGCACAGCCCTGCTCAGACTGAAGATGTACAAATGTGTCATAAAAACTGTAAAGCATTTTTGGATAATTTATAGCTCCTTATTGACCACAGTATGCCAGTCAGTTAACTTACCTTTCATGGATAGAGTTGAGATACAAGTTGACGAACCAAGTGAGAGAATATTGATACATTGGATCGATGTTTGGAAGATCAGTGATACTGAAGAACAGAATGGATGAATGTTTAGCAATAGGACGATATCCTTCTCTTGATTCTGCAATCTTTTGTTCTGTTATATCAGCAATCTGTGAATCAAATATTATTATTTGAAAAGTTTTTACAATTGAATTATGCGGGAGAGATGTTAAGTAGGGATGGGCAATGTAGAATAATTTACTATTCTAGAATATTCTAGAATAGTTAAATCGAATCCAGAATACCGAATCCTATTCTATTTTCATACTTATTCAAATAGTGGGAATTTCCACATTGCTAGATTTAGAAGTTAAAAAATTGTAACTGTATTACTATGAATGTATTATTTATTGGGAAATGTGCTGAACATTGGATTTCATTTGATACTTAACAGGCATTTCCCAGGACAATAAAATTTAGGAATATTACAATATTTTTTGCCTTTAATTGTTCCAAATGTATGGAATCCCTAAATACTGAAATGCTATATTAAGACACGGTTTACACACTTTAATAATGAGCGGTAGGCTTGCACGTAATTTACGGAATTATTTCGAGTTATGGAAGCGAAGTTACGAATTATGTAGTAAAGTCGTAATTATTGTTCGAGCGCTTTCGCGATAGAAACGAGCTCTCTTCAAAGCAGTCAATTCCGTCGATTGTAAAGAATGAAAGTTTAATAAGTAGAAGAAGTTATTTCTCTCTCTTGTTACGCAGGTAGGGGAAGGCATTCTGTGCGTTATCACCGTAACGCAATTGACACAGCCAGACTTTTTTGTCTTCACGATATGGTATCTTTTTAATTCGGCGCTAATGTGTGATTGTTGATTGCAATTCCGGAAGGCGTATTTTTCTTTCTCTCCATGAAACAGACATGAAACGAATTTTACCGCCGCTATGGACGCTCAAAAAGAGAGAAGGTGACTTTTTCCCCCTACTCAATCACTTTTATTAATACAAATCACAGCGCATTGGAAAACAAATTAGAATTTATCAACATTAATTTACAGCGAGTTACGGGTAATAATTTACCGACGGCTATCGCTAACTGGTAGCAACGATAATTGTGAAAAAAAACGCCTTTTTAAATATTTATTTTCTGTTATTTGTGTTAATATAACTTTTATGTATTATTATTTTTATAGTTGCCCGTATTTAAATAGTGGGAATTCCCCACCAAGTGTTGATTAGAAATGCTTACCATTCTTTATTGTTAATATAAACACTTGATATATGAACCATAGAATATCATACTGTTTTTGGCTGTTTTATTTCGACTTGGTGAATAAACAGGAAAATATTCATAACCTTTCAACACGACTGCCGATTTTTAGGTTTCTCGAGCATGCGAAATTTAACGAAGCGCTTTCGCGATGAATCGGAAGCGAAAAGAGCGATTGATTACTCGACGCCGATACGTCATCGCCGTGATAATTAATGTCGGGCTTATCAAACAGCAATATGACGACGGAAGAGAAATTGCCTTATGAACCAACGCAACTTCGCTTTTTCGGCATCGGTAAAGCGATTGAAACGGCCGAGAAACAACAAAAGAACGGGATTTCCCGCGGACCGCTAAAAATTCATTTGTATTTCGGAAAATGGTGTAATAAAATGATTCGTTAATAATATAAGTAATGTTATAACATTTAACTCCTGGGTTTACATGCATCATTTTTTGGAAAAACTCGCAGGTCGCGAAAAATCATTTAACGTAAATGAAGCAAGGCACCTGTAAACAGTTAAAGATTGTTTCATTCAGATTATTGGAATATCGCCAGTAAGTTGGCACAAATAGTTCTTATTATTACACGCTAGCTAGATAGCAAAGCAGGAATACACAAAAATGGCACAATAACGAGTCTTCACCGTGAGGTATACCGTACTTCGGCGACTTCATGTCCTGAATATGCCGATTGAGATTACCGTCTTTGATGTTTAACGATTTTACGGGTTCCTTGCGAACAGGCGCAAGTTTAATTAAACGTGATGAGATTTCCACGCGAGAAAAAAAGGCTCGTCTGTAGTTGATAAATTAGAAACCCGAAATACAAAAATTGACGCAAGGCGCCGGAGAGGCGGAAACCGAATCCTGTTATCGGATCCCGTTGGATTCGAATACTTTGGGATTCGAATCCTCCGGATTCGGTATTCTATATTGCCCATCCCTAATGTTAAGATATAGGGACACGAAGGCCAATAAACCGGATCCTAGTATAGTTTATGTATGGTTCATCAATTATTATAATTAATTATTAATAATTATTAATTAAGTATAAGTTCCGCATTATTATCAGAGGTGCAATGGCAGGCAAGTTTCTAATGCTTAGCACAATGTACCAAGCGCTGAGCTGATGTTCAAAACTTGACAACAATGAAACATTTATAGCATATTTGTGAATCTACATAAATTAAAGCAAAAAGTATTCTGTACTGTAAATTGTTAATGGTTACAATATAAAAGAAATCTAGTTTTACCTTGTAACCTGGCTAACTGCAGATTTTATATGGATATGACATGGATTTTTGAAGCTAGTGCAAAGCCAACTGCAAGCTAATAAATATAAAGAGATTACCTAGATTCCCAGTAGAATTGATAAGAAACACTTAGATATGAGAAGTCAAAATCCAGCAGAAATATCAACCTTTTGTTTCTTTTGAATTTCATCTGATAGAACTTTTGACGAATCCAATATTTTGATGGCACTTTCATCTTCCAGAATATTTCCTTCCGATGCAGATAATGTGTACAAAATCTTGTCTTCAATTTCTTTTAATTGTTTCTTATTGGAAGCACTTTGCAAGATCAAAACATTCCTTTCCTCTTCCAGTTCAGGTCTTAAATGTTTTATTATCAAAATCAGTTAAAATAAAACATTAGGTACACACTTATTCCTAGCATGGTAAGAAGAATGTGGAGTCAGCAATGGCTAAGTTAAAATAGAAGATGTTATTAATTTCAAGAAGATTCCTGATATCATTGTTATTGTGCAGCAAGATTCTAAAATCCCTTATAATTGAGTAAGCATGACGCAAGACTTTTGAATCATCAATATTGATTTTAAGATTTAATTTTTTATGAAATTCTCATTTAAAAAAAAATTAATATTGGTGAATCTAATTCGTTGAATCTGGTATACAAACTAGAACTTGAATACGCTTGTAACATCCAAGCTATATTAAACAAAGACAAAATATTGTAATAGTACTATCTATAATAAAAAAGCAAGATATTATGTTTTCCAATATATAGGCCTACTACTAACCTCTCCTTTGCAACTACAATTCCAAGCAACTGATCTTCCAGACCTTCTGGCGTAATCATGAAATTGAGCAAAGATACCTTTGTTGCAAGTTCAGGTAGATAATGTGGATTTCTCAATTTTGTTGTGATGTAAAATCGAAACTCATTGCTGTATTCAATCACATTTTCTCCAAGACGAATGCAAAGTACACCACCTAGTATAGAACAGTAGTCAAATTTGAAAATCTTGTTGGATTGACTGAAACTCTGAGATTGACGATAGTGATAGTTTGGAATACAGAATCAAAAAATTGAGCAATGCCACATCAAAGATCATAGCAGGCAACTTCAATCATATTGAATAATTGTTAAATAAAAGGCTGATCTGAATGTACCAAGTTTGCATTGCGGCATGCAAGAACAGATATGATTTCAATTAACTCAGTAGTTGATGCATCACACCAATAATGACACTGCATGGGTTTGTGTGCTCGATTCTTGTGGAGGGTAGGCATGTAGAGGATTGCAGGACTATCGGCCTGTGGGTGTTCCATATGACCGCTCGGTTTTGGCTACCTCCAGGTTACCAAACTGGAGGCCATGATTTGCCAGATCATTGAGTTAATAAGAAAATCCTGACCTAATAACAAACATGTCTACTTGGCCCAGTAAATATGGTCATTTCCAGGGTCCCGAAAAACTTACATACATTACATGATTAAAACAGAACATAGTTAGTCTATCATGTTAGATCAAAACAATCCTAACCAAAAAGTATAAATGTTAAATGTTGCAAAAGTTGATCTGTTGCGTAAAAATAACAATTATGAGTCAAGTTCTTTCTTGATTCTTACCCTGCTTGAACGTTTGCTTCAACAACAAGGGTTCCAGTGAAGGGTCGAGTTCCTCTCCTACGTTTTCTAGAAGTACAGGAGTTCCAAACTGAATTGAATTCTCCATGACTCTCATGTAGTCAGCATCAGTCAATTTGATCACAGTGAGTTTGTTTTCTTTCTCCGAGTTGCGAACCCATTTATTAGCTTGTCCTTGAGGATCAATCATCAATGGCCTAAATAGAGCAAAGAACTTGTGCATTACTCATTGCAGATAGAACTATAAATATTTCAAGAATTTGGGTATGTAAGCTTGTCATCACATATCACACTGCTGATTACCATGCATTAGTTCATGGGGTCAAATTCCATGGGGCATATTAATGTTTGAGAAGAGTGCTGAGTGTTTCACATAGCCACTGGTCGCTTTGGACCCCTCTATCATTATGTCAGTGCAGCTTGAGGAAATAACTATTCAATTTCAATCCCAAAATGATGGTAATCAGTCAAGAGGGTCCTGGTTTGCCATAGGATTAAGTCATGTTATCCACTTTTCTTTCCATGAAATTAATATGAAAAATCTCATCCTATTATTTCTTATTTAACACTACACAATTGTTTATGAATTTTAGACCTTGACTGATTCAATAGAGTTACACAGAAGTAGCATCATGCCAAGCACAAACTGGTTATTTAGAAACCCAAAAGTATGAAGTTGCTACATATCAGGTAGAGAGTAGTACAGGAATAATCAAATTGAGGCCAACAAGCAATATTTTATCATAAATAATATAATAATCCAGATATTAGAAACTAATGTGTTCTGTGATAATGTAACCCATTTTTTTACCATCTTCGAGAATTGTCAACGATGACGCCATTGTCAATTGAGAAGCTATCAGTTGGTAGTCCTGCGATATTCCAAGCTCTTATTTTGATCAAATCACCGAGAGTTTTACTCAGTGAAAATGAGTCGGAACATGTTATATCTCGAGTCTGTAAAAAGATGAGGTAAATTAACAGAGGGTGATCATGATTTTTGTAAAAAATATCAGACAAGGATAATAAGTAACATAATTTATTCCCTATCTACCTACAGTACCAAGTCTATTTTCGGATAATAATGTTAAAAAGTAAACTACCTAAAATAGGTCAGTTTCGCCAGAAAATTACCGGTACCATTAACTAACTTGAAGTAATATACAAAAGAAAAAATTCAAACGACAAAGGGTAAGTTTGATTATGTGTATGAAAACCAAACTGATGAAGAAGAATTGGCGCACACACTCAGGTAGGTTGGACTAGGTGTATGAAAACTAAACTGATGAAGCGGCATTAGTGCCCGTAAGTGGATTTTTTTTGTCAAGTTAAGAAGCTTATTCTTCAACAGAAGTGGTAATGGGGTGTAGGAATAACGATGTTTTGCTATATTTATCCCAAAAAGTTTCGCTTTTTCGAAGATTTTGCTGTAAAAATGTGTTCTCATTTTACACTGCTTAGTAGTAACGTATCATTTGGTATCTTTGTGAATCAAATTTTTACGTCATTTTTTTAAGCACTTTGGGCACTGAATATGCTTTAGGCAAATCCATATAAAATATGATAGATGTAATACCTATTTAAGATAAGATAATAAGATATAAATACTACTGATGAAAGTTATAATATACCTTGCAAGCATTGGTCCAATCCTGAGTACAGATCTTTCTGAAACCAGCGGTAAACGCACCGAGGTAAGCAATCACTCCAGAAGATATCAGTACATCACCTGTTGGATAAAAACAAACATTTTAAACCAAGCATGGACAACTGATAAAGTGCACTTTGCAGTGCACTTTATCTGTTGTCCATGCTTGGTTATTATAATATTCACCAGTGAGATTGTCATAAATTTCTTGAAGATCTTTAGCTGCTTGTGTCCATCTTGATTTCTCACCACCTAAACCCCCAATGAGTTTTTGTGCACGATCCAATTTCTTGGCACATAAGTCGACCTATAAAAATATGATTCCAGATTCTTGTAATAAAGGCAAAAAATGCATGAAGAAAAAAGAATGGTTCAAAACAACAACGGGTACATAGATTTATACAAGAATTGTATTTTTTGGGTTATTTTCAACAAATAGGACATCTGCAACATGACAGATAGCTTGCGGTATTCAATTTCATCCAGAAGTAAAGTATACAGCAGGGGTTCAAACTTTTTTTTTTCGCGACCCCAATTTTCATAAAATATAAGACTACAGATACTTGCGACCACACAACCAGAAACGTTCAACAACCTGGCATTCAACTGACCCAACCCGGGGTCACGACCCACAGTTTGGGAACCACTGGTATACCCCGGGTGACCCAAAATAAACAGAACCCTGGTCGTTTGGAACATATTGTGGGGAAAACAAAATTTTCGAGCAAAGAAACCTAGATTACTGAAACTTTCGAGTACAATCATACACTAAAAGAAGTTCAAGTGTTCAAATGTTAAATATATTTTCTTCCCTCTAGTAGAAGTACCGGTAATAGAAAAGTTAAGGAGCCATTTTTGTCAAGTTTTTTTGTCATTTAAACACTTTTAAAAACATACTTGGTATTCAAGTTGTTCCTTCTTCTCTGTTGCTGCTTTAAAATTAGCTTGAAGTTCTGCCAATCTATCTTGTACTTCTTTCAATTCAGCTCGTTTCTCATTCAGTAGTTTCATTGTTGTTGATAACGATTCTTGAGCCTCGCCAAGTTTGATTTTTTTCGGTGCAACAACCTGGTATAATATAAAATTGCAGGTAGTTTATTGAGTGTGAATGAGTGAGGGTTTGAGTGTGAATTGTAATCTGAGTGAGTAAAATTTGTAAAAAATCATATACAATTGTAGCAAGTCCAGTCTGTTTCAGTACAACAACCTGGTATATCATGAAGTTTCGGTTAATTTTTGAGTGTGAATGAGTGAGTTTACTGAGTGGGTGTTTGAGTAAACTTTTTATTTATGTGAGTAGTATTTGTAGGAACGAGAGAATTGTAACAGCTTCCGCTAACCGATTCATTGATGCAATAAAGTTTCAAATAAGTTCTGAGTATGATCGATTTCCTGAGTAAGTGTTTGAGTATAATTTTTATTTGAGTGAGTAGGATTCGCGGAAAATATTAACAATGAAACATGCGTTTACAACATGGGAAAATTAATTATACTTCTCCACTTCTGATCCACTGATGATCCATTAAAGAAAGCAGTGATAAATGAAAATATATTGTTATTTCAAATACAAAACATTCTAGAAAACAGTAAATTTATCTTTGCAGCAGATTATAGTCAGCCAAATAAATGTGAGATTTATTAAAACACCAAATAGTGTTATAGAGGTACTTTGATATCTTCCGGCAAAAAATTATGCCATTTAAGTTTTATCATAGCCTTATTTTTTCAGAAAAATTGCATATGGAACCAAAATTTTCATATACAAAATCAAATTTTGCTGTCTCAGATATTACAAATTAGGTTTGCTGAAAAATTTGATATATTTAGCAGAAATAAGAACCATGCTAGATGATAGTAAATCGCCAAAATGACAATAACAAACTAACCACCTGTAAATATATCTGTATCAATGCAATGTAAACAATAGAATGGATGACACGGTCATTTCTATGAAGATAGAATAGTTTTAGAAATAGATAAATGGATAGAAGATATCTGTATATGATAAAAGTATGAGTAATGAGTCTAATCACAAAAATAACAATACATACATATGGTAAATTAAGAGTAAAAAATTCAAACCTTCGCGACTCTATCATACACTTCATGGCAAGAATCCATTTACATAAACCTTCTGCCGCAGAAGATGCTTTTGCTACTTAACTGGATCAAATTCAGGATTTGTAGCATATTCAGTTCTGATTTCTTCTATACAGGACTAAGTTATACAAGAGAGCGATGAAAATTATGGGTGATTCATAACGGGCCGTTGGTATTGAAAAATTAAAGTAATTGCCTTCTAAATAACAACTTCTTCATCTCCAAGTACTGAAAATTTGAATTAATTGGACTAGTATTTGCACAGAGAGTGATTTTTACAAAACAGCAACAACAAGCATCACAACAATTCAGCAAAACGATCCCATACGTTATACAGTTAAATCATTGCGCTTAGTATTAGGACCACTCATTATTAACTATGATATAATCGCATTCAAATGTAATGAAGTGGTTAGATGTGAAGAATCGCATCACTTCTGGAGATCTTTCACCAATTTGACCATGCTCATAATATAATAGACGATTACCTATTCCAGTAATTAATCAAGACTGGTGAATGCACAAAAGCTCTTCTAGCATTTATGATCAAGTCGTCATCTTAAAGACTCCATCGTGGCACAAGATACTGTGTAAACTATTTTTTTTATTTATAAATTTTTTTTTTACGTTTTCATTGATAATTTTGTAAAATACATCGTAAATTGCGAAGAAACTAATTTTGAAACCGTTTTGCATACAATAGCATGTTGTATCTGGTCATCAAATTGAATCAACAAAATATCTTACCGGGATATTATCTCTATCATATTCTCTCAGCATGTTGAGAAAATTCATATCCCCAAGTAATTTTTTACTTGGGCCCCAATAATCCAAAATCTTCTGTCCAGAACCTGATGGATCATGATTTTCTCTGGTTTGATGTCTTTCATCACACAAACTGCTGACATGACAAGCTTGACGCCAGCAGGTGGATTTTTCATTGACTTGACAATGGTAATATCAGCAGGCTGGAAAAATGGGAACAAAAAATTTGGATTTGGAATATTGTAAAATCTTGGTCCTAGGAGCAGAATGTAATTTCTTCAAAACTACATCATAGCGAAACTATAACACAAGAAATATTGGTAGCAATTTGAAAAAATACGTAGAAGCAAATAGAATTGTCAGAGCTTACATTACTATGTTAATATAGATTTGTGAACCCCATACTGAAGGAAAAGCTATTTGCTGAACATTTCAAAAGTATTTTGCTATTGGAATCACTAGAACACCAGAATAACACCTAAATAAAATCAAAAATGGTTAGATTACTGGGTATACCGCCACGAGTGAGAAAAGAACGGTAACACCATAATGACAAATGGAAATAGTGCTATCTTGACAAGCGAATAATCCACCAGCCAAATAAATATATTAAATTACCTTCAAAGTTTCAGAGCACTCAACGCTGCTTCAAGTGCAGGTAATGCCTCAGCTAAATCACTTTCACATTCATCTTTTAATGCTTGAGATACAGCTGCTTGTTCATTCGCGGCTGCTTCATCTGCCGATACAATTTTTGTTCTTTCTTCCACAATTACTGTCTCTTTAGTTAATGACCTGATAGAGGGATATAAAGTGCTAAATGAAGTGGTCTCAGTTGGCGATAAATAAAAGCTCTGCAAAGTCGTTATTTTAATTATATTCAAGTACATTGATAAAAATTGTCATTTGCATATTTTAATACCATCCCTATTATCAGTATATTTTAAATCAGTTAAAAATTGAAATTTATGTTATGATTATGTCATTTATGTAAATCATTCATAAGCATTGAAAACTGACATTATTTTGTATTTTGGAGAAAAACTTACCACCATCATTTTCTCATTCTCAGCTGCAGTTTCAACAAGTTGTGGTTGGAGTTCCTTCAATTCTTGTTGCATTTCAGCAACCTATTGTTGGAAAATAGAAAAAAAATGGAAAAATCAGAAAAGCAGAGGAAAGACAGCAAGATAACTAATCATATGACGAAACACGACCTCTCATCCAGTTACCAATCCATGTCTGTTATGACAGTAGTTAACCAACTATTCGATTCAGATGCATGGTCCCTAAGCAATTGAGTCTAATGTGATAATCAATGAAATTATAAACCTCAAGCATTCAGATAATAATTTTCATCTAACAAGCCTTAATCACAGATCACAGCGTAACTGAACTTTGGAAAAATTATTCAGAGAAGAACTTACCTGGGAAGATGCAAAAGCCAGTTTTTCCAAACCACCAACATATCTTTTCTTTGCCTTCATAACCGTATCTCTCTTCTGCATCAGCAATGTTTTAAATGCTGCGATCAACTCCAGATAAGACGTTGGTGTGACGTAATTATGGCGACCAAGTTCAAGCAGGTATCTGATATAGAAAATGAATATTTTTAAAAACATTAAAAATGGTTTGTTACAATACCAGACGTTCGTAGGGATTGTTCAAGGAATATGTGGTAATAAGTAAACCTGTTTTTGTTTTAGACATTAGACAACTGCGGCAAATGGGTAACATTTACAACCAACAATATATTTGGCGTTCCAAAATTTGATATTGGCGTGTCATGTTAATGTAGCTTATGTAGTGTAGTGGATACATAAGTAAATATGACGCTTTACAGAACGGGGGAAATCACCAAAAAATATTGAATTTTTCTAAATTGGTTCATGTTTAATAAAGAGCATATAGAAGTCAATGTTTTCTAATAACATTGAATTGGAAAATGGAGAAAAATTGAGATAATCAATGATTTGATTGGTTCTCTATTCTTACAGCTTTCAGAAATAAAATAAAGCACTTTTAACCTTTTCCATGCGATTTTTATTTTTTATTAAATAATCGTATTTGCTACGCCGATTTTATGCATTTGTACCCCCACAACTAATCGATCGACTAACGAAAAACTAATAATCCTCTGCTGCCCACTAACGGCTCGTTGGAAAGCTTATTTAAAGAGCTTGCAATTGGCGATTAAAAAAAATAGTTTTTTCAAAAGTGGTGGTCTGAGTCACAAACTGGATAGAAAAAAGACATTTTTTTTTCTTGGGAGTTGAAACTTCAAACCGTGATAAAAAATAGAAATATTCGCTGAATCCTTTACTGTTACCGTTCGTGGTTGGCAAACAATAGCATAATATTGCCTGTTAGCAAATTTCGTGATCTAACGCAAAATACTTTGGTAGATGGAAGGGATAATATGTCTTCTATTACCACCCAAAAAACACCGAAATTTGCATAAATTTCAAAAACACTCCCTCGTTCCGCCGCAAATAAAATTCCCGTCGTAAACGAAAGCGAGATTTACCGTTGCTTATGTTAATCTCGAAGAAGACTTCTTACCAATAAACTAAAACCCGGAAAAACTAGACCAACAGTTTGCGATCGATTGCTAAATAAAACAGTCGAGTACATCAACGTACCCGCCGCAATCTAGCGACTTTTGTCGTTGGTACGTATACGTGCCCACCGCACGGAAAGGGTTAATAAATATAATTTTTAAGTAAAACCATTCTGAATTATTCCTCCCAGAATTTATTAAAATATAAGAATATAGTATATCGAGAATGCAATCAATTCCAAATGGATTTAAATGTTTTATTTATTTTGGACTTCCGAGGATTGGAGAATTCTCATCTTCTATGCCTCTAAAAAGTTTTACTTTATGAACCTTATGTAAAAAAAAGAGGAAAATAATCATAAAAAGATCAACATTTTTTTGCTTCAATTAAATCAAATTTTTGGGTTATACAGGATGAACCCTTAATAAAATAGTACCAGTACCTAGGTCACTTGAAACATATTCTAGAGAGGACATACCGGTAGCTTTTGTGAAGAGCCTTCTAAATTACTGGAACTTATGGGTATAATCATACAATCATTCTCTTCATTTTCATAGGAATAATTAAATATTTTCTGGGTTCTGGTTTTGGAGGGCGTCCTGTATTGAAGAAATTAAGTTGAAAATTAAAATGAACTTACTTTTCAGACAAACTTCTTGAAGAAGTATGGAAATGTTTACATATTGGTACAATCTCTGTTCTTTCATGATCTGTCAATTCAACGGATTCAAGGAATCTATTTGCAACCATCTCCAATGCATCTTCTGGCCATGGCTAAGATAAATCACAAAACAAAATAAAATTGATAAATTTTGTGAAAAACATATTTTCACTTTGAAAGACTGGTAAGGTAAGAAACAAAGCAAAGAAATATATAAACAAATCTTTTTAAAAATAGATTGCATTCTAAAGTCAAAAAATAGCATGTTTGAGAACACACAAATTGTTTTCAAAATTGAAATATGTATGTTTTCACACGGCTTTCCATTTGAACATGCTTTGTACGAGCAGATACCGATCGATATATGGAGATGCTATTTATTGAAGACTAGAATATTTAGGTTTTGCATTGCCTAAATAATTTAATACACCCTAGGTAAGGTGGTGAACATGAAAAGGACTGCACATTCCCTAACAAGTGGAGGAGTCTCATCTCTAAGCATCAAAGATATGAGAAACCAAGTAAAGGCAAGAGATACTGAAACTATATTGATTCATTGTGGTCCATTACTTGCCGGCAAATGCCGATTGATAGTCATTATGTGTATCTTGTACCTGGAACCAATCGATTGTACAGCAGTTGATCAGAGATGGAAATTGTCGAAGCCTGTTTCTGAATGCATCACCGATAGGAGAGAAAGCAATGATAAGATGAAGATTGGTACGACAACGACTCACAAAGTAAGCAAACATAGCTAGAGGAGAGTAATCAGCATTTGGTCCAAGCTGTTGACTCATTGCTGGTCGAATACTCTGGAAAATATAGAACATAAATAGCAGGATATCTGGAGAATTGAAAATTGCGAGAGGAATTTGTAAATCGTTACCCACAGGATGTAAGACATTTAGCATTATTCAACTAGGTTGCTATGCAGCTTCATTTCCCAATATTATGCCTTTTTGTGAAAATAACAAGTATATTAATAACTAATTAAAGCTTAATAATAGAATAGCTATGCCAAGATGCTGAATAAAAAACACGGCATCATTGCAAGCTACTTCCAGTTCACATTGCCATTTCTTTGTTTTGTTTGGTGTTGATTATGGACCATGAAAAATCATAATACATTCGGATCCATTTCGTTTTTTTTCGAAGCTATGTCACACTTGTGAAAAAACTAATTAGAACTTCGAAAAGTCTTGAATACCTCGATAATTTCTTGTTTTTCATCAATAGCAAATAAATTCGGAACTTCGCCAGTGTTGAGTAAATTATCAACGTCCTCAAGGAATGACTCATCTTTAATTTGAACGTCAGTGAGTAAAAATACAGTCTTCTTCCCTGCAACTCCAGTATCTTTCAACACTCCCTGCATAATAAAAAATATGGATGCAAACAGAAAAAAAGGAAACAAATGCTGGGAAACCATTCAAAGCTGAAAAACAGTAATGTTAACTGAAATGTTATTGGTGATGGTAAGACATTATACCTTCACATCTTCTCTCCACTCAGTGACTCCATAACTTTTTGAAATTTCTGGTTGAAACAGGTGCATTCCAGCCATAGATGTAGCAAGTCTAGTTAGTGATTGTCTTCCACTGCCACCAACACCAACAAGCAAAGCATTACCACCCGGTGATTTTAGAACACGACAAATACGAGAAAGATGTTCAAGTACATATCTGTATCAAATAAAAAGTTTGGTTATTTTGAACATAGTTGTTTACATTTCAATTTCTTGTATGATTAATTATTCATGTTTAACACAACGAAATGTCCTAGTGTCTGGAGTGTAGACTAGTGCTCATGACATCAGCATTAGATATCAATACAAAAATATTGAGTCATACAAATATTGAGTCATACTGACAACTAGAAATTTTCACTTATGAGGAAATTTTCACCCATTAGCTCACATGTGAAGCAGATAGAGCTAAAACTGAAAGTCTGTACCACAAAATTAGTGCGTGACATATTTCAGCATGATGATGGACACAGAGCACCACAATTTTTTCACTTATAACAATGCCCATAACAATATAGGAATGACTAGAATCGTCTTTTTGGTTGAGCATTGCCAAACCAATTTATCACACCTTGAATGATGTGGCGTGAATTGGTGTGAACCTGATATGTTTATATTGTGATGCTGGCATAATTAAGTCTTTTCGTAATTATCACTGATTCTATGAATAGCATATCCATGAAATGATGCAGGGACTGTAATCAACCCTATGGTCACCCTATTCTTGTTGTAGCCAGTGTAATAATGATAGAACACCACCTCCATTTATACAAAATATTCAAATAGAATTTAAATATTTATCATGGGAAAAAAATAAAGCCGACAAGGCAGCCAATCATATTTCGTACCATGGCCTCTCATCCGTTTACCAGTTCTATACAAGGAATTGACAGTGGAGTAAGCCGTAACTGCCAAGAGGTTTCATGAACCACCTTTAGGCCAGCGAGGTTAGGCCAGTCCAGCAATCCTCTTGCACTTAATTATCTCCGACAGGATTCGAACTCAGTCACAGGACAATCTGTGAGTTGGTAAGCATATTCCTAACGACGGGACGCGACTATACTTCATGAAAACCCAGTTCCAGTCTTATTTGATTTAAGTCAAATGAACCCACTGGATCATGAATACCTGAATATGACGAGGTTCATTTGTGCTTTATGAGTTTGGTTATATTCTTCCAAACATTGTTCCACAATGGAATTGAAATCTTCCAACGATTTGACTTCCTCATACATGCGATCTTCATTTTCAGCATCAGGATTCAAATAATCACCAAACAACATTGATCTCATGTCATCTTCTTCCAACTTTAAAGAAAAAAAATATTATGCTAAAACAGAGACTTCTCCAGAATGCCAAAAGTAATTTTTCAACGAGAACTGACTGTATTGATTATGATTGAATTTACAATACAAGTCGAAGCCTAGTATGAGACAGCTAACTAATTATTTGTTCCAGATGCATGGACTCACTGGTGAAAATGGCAGTAACTGACCAGCAATTATGTGAACCCCTGCGGTCCAGTAATTCTCTCGCACATAATTATCCATCACAGGATTTGAACCTGTGAATCCAAGCCAGGGTAACCAGAGGTGCAATCGCAAGTGTGTTCCTAACCACTGAAATCTACTTAAATTATTCATCATTAAGACAAAATTTCAATGGAATACAAATACTACAACAATATTAGAATACAAAACTATTTCAGTATAGACTCCTATGATAAAAAAATCATTTAGAAAAAAATTAAACAAGAATATATAAGAAATGGTCAATAATAGCTACCGGTCTTCCAGGTTGTGCGAGGTGGTCAAACAAAGTGTCAAAATTTTCTTTGAAATGATCTTTCACTACTGTTTTCATTGATGAAAACAACCAATGCCTATCTTCATCATCAACCAGACGATCATAGAATACACGGAACACTTCATGCACAAATAATCTGTAAATAATAATAAGGATTATGACATTTTAATCCAGTTTGTCATATGTTTGATTATAAAACAATATGATGGCATAAAAGTATTCTATTAGTTTTTTTTACACTAATACAGAACGAAGCCTGTACAAGCGGCCACAGAAACCTACTACAGTTTAAAATGACTTCAATTGTTTGAATTGGTTTATGATAAACTAACCCAATTTAAAAAAACGCTATTTTACGTCTTTCATCTCCACAATGGCCCGTACAAACACGTACAGATAAACTAGCAGTGTTTGAAAGACCAGAATTTTTCTTGTTCTGCATTATCTACCAAATTTATTACATTCTGTGTAGGTTGGACGGCATGGGATTTGAATCTGTGACATGCTACCTGCAATGAACAACATATTGAATCCAGCAGTCTGACCACTAGGCCAATGTGTCCACAAAATGCTATCCCAAGATGTAGGACATTCATATTTCTCCCAGGGCAGAGGAAAGTTAATGAGATGGCTCAATCAAATGACGATCATGGCCTTCATAATGAAGGAAGCCGTAACCCAACAGTGGTTACGTGAACCCCCCTACGGAGGTGAAGAGGCCACTTATCTTCTTGCACCTAATTATCTTCCACAAGATTCGAACCTGCAAATCTATGCGGAATAATCCAAGATATAATGGCGAGTGTATTCCTACAGTTACCTGATCATTGTTTTCTTGTTTTCCACACTTTGTTTCTTGATCAGAAGACAACCCAGAATAACACGGGAGAAATCACGTAGGTTGAATGTATAGTGAGATTTAGCTGGCGTTGGAAGTAAATTATCCATTGCTTTCTTGTAAACCTATAATTCAAAATGATCATATTAATGGAAAAGTTACAAAATATTCTTGTGACAATAACACATTTAGTGCATTATATAGTCCATTTAGTCATTGTGAAAATAACAGGTAAGGCAAAAGTTACAGCAACTTTTATACTAATAAATAATAATAATAGAATTTTATAACTATGAAAATGATATGAACATGTTTGAGCAATAGAATCATAATAATAAAAAAAATTAATCAAAATTGGGAGAAGATAGTTTTTTAAACTCTGATTACACTTGTTAGATTTTTTTAAATTTACCTCCATTGTTGCAGTTACAATCTGGTTACAAGTCGCAAATAAGTCAGTAGGAAATTCATGAGCTTTAAGATGAACCGACATAATTGTACTGAAGATTTTAGTCATTGTTTCGTCATTGAATTCCAAAGTAGAAATGATGTTAAAATGACGTAGAAATCTTGTTGTCACTGGATTACGAGCACCACCAGGTGGTCCCATTGCCGCCAAAATGATGATGTCAATCAGACTTATTTTTGTTGTATCTTTGAGGTCGTACCTAAAAATAAAAAAATGTACAAGTTATGCAAAACATTCTTTTAAGATAGGGAATCGTGGTTATTGAATGTAAAGTTTGACAAAGTAAATACCGGTGATAATAAAATATCACTTCCATTAATAGCTCTACAATTATTCAAAACAACTATAAGTTTTCCCAACATCTTTCACCTGGCTCTGTATGATAGACATAGCTATGTAAAACGCTACTGTTTCTACGCTATTTCTGGGAGAATCAAAATCTAACTGGTTCAGCATCACATACCCATTTTATTACACATATGGTACGTACTTACGTACTTTCAAGCGATTATATTCATCTTTCACTGTTTCACAATTTAATAATCAACTTATTTTAAATCTTGAATCATCTTTTGGAGAAAATGTTTTTAAAAATTCGACTATTATTAACTCAAAACTGATTTACCAATTTCCGTGGTCAAAATATTGTCTTAGAAGTTCAATAGGTGGTTGTGCTCCATATTTTTCTCTGGCAGGCATATTCATGTCATCCACGAACACAACACATTGTTTTCCCATTGGTGGACCGTACACACCTGAAAAGATAATCAAAATTTGATTTTTCAATAAGAAAACACTGTTTCTTTTTAGACTTCAACTCCAGGTAAACAAAATTTTGATATTGAAAACTTACGCAATTCTACTTTATTTGTCTGCTGAGAATGCTTAGTAAGGCCCAAGCTTCAAATACTCACGTGAAGGAAATTACCAGCAGAAATTTTGGCTGTGACTCTGGATTAAAAAATTCTGCGATGTGCTTAAAACAGAAGGCAGGTGCAAAAAAGATAAAATAACATCACCAGCCCATTAAACTGTATAATTTCAAATGGTTGATGATCTTTACCTTTTCTCCTTTTGTCCAGTTTGGACATAATCAATCCCTGTGTCTGGTTTGCAGTTGTTTTTGCAGAAAAGTTCACAAAAGCAGGTAGGAAGTCATCTTTTGATAAGTTATTCATGAGTTTATCTTTCACATAAGCACTTTTTCCTGAAAACAAAATTGGACACATCAATTTATGGTGAGCGCAGCGCCGTTGGTAAATATTCTCAATATTGTTGTATTTTATTTGATAGTAAATTTCATTGTTTATTTTATATTTGGCATTGAAGTTTTGCTCAATAATAACTATCACAGATTTGAAACTTGGAAGCATCTATTCTGCTTTAAGTAATGCCATGTCATGATTTCAAAAACACGCTTATCACAAACAAGCGCATGTTTCTGACTCAGAAGTTATTTCTGGTAAAATCAATGTAAAAGTGATTATTTTATATTAGTTATTTAATTGCAGTCTAGTATATTCTTGCGATGCAATAATTTATTTTAGACATAGTTTACCCTGGGGGTTCACAGGTTCGAATCTCATAGAGAGCTTAAATATGTGAAATCCTCAGGGTGGTTCACGTACCGACTGGTAAATTGCGACTTCCTCCACCATCAAGTTCATAGGCATATGAAACATATAATAACTGGCTAATAAATAAGTTCATAATCAACATGGACCGTAATCGGCTTTTCTCTCCCCAGAGATAAACATGAAAATCCCATCCCATACTAAAAATAGTGTGTCAATATTAGACATACCAGTTCCAGTTGGTCCAACGAACAGAATAGGTCGTTTGTTTTTGATACAGACGTCCATGAGATATGTATATCTTGCAGTGTCCATGGTCGGAACAATAATATTTCCAACGTTTACTGATGGATCTGGAGTTATTTCTTGTCCTCTCAATAAATGAGTCCATGGACTCCAGTTGCCTCGTCCTTTAATCTAAAAAGAAAATTAATGTTAGGGTGTAAAGTGTTCTTTAAAATTCTTTCATTTAATATTCAATCATTTTTGACCATTCAACTTCATGTTATATTAAAATGGAGTTGATGTTTGATCGATTCAAACTAGTGATATCAATATAATTAGTTTCAACACCAGACAGAACGTTACAGAAATACATTTGTGTTAGTGTGCAGCAGGATTTTGAATTGCATAGTATGGTATTTTTATTCCTGCTACAGCATCCTTGCATTATACGCATATGGATCCACTAAAGCAGAGGCATTGAGGAAGGATTGGGGTTAGTCTTACGCAACCTCTACTAATAGTTAGACCAGAATACAGACTGTTAAAAATTCCAAATTTCAATGTCATCCAAATAGCAAGAAGAAATCTGTTCAGGCTACCCTATGAAGTCAAATTACCTCATAGTAGTAGTAATAAACCAATCCTTGTTCGGGAAAGGCAGTATCTAATTTTCCAATCGCTGATGGAATTGGATGTTCTTCGTTTTTCCCAGTTATGATTTCTCGAAGATAATCAGAAAATAAATTCCTGCCATCTTGATTGATTGTTGCTCCGATAGACCAAATCATTGAAAACAATAACACGCCCTAGAAATTAGATTTTGATTTAATGAAAGATAAATTGGATTCCTCGTTTTCTGGGCAGTCAGACCACGCTTTATTTAATAGTTGAACAATTACCTATGTACTATATTAGAACTTTCCAATTTAAGCTGGTTTGAGATCATGCTTCGAGCAAATAAAAAAAAAATTGGCATATTACTTTAGAAGTACTGAAGTTTTGACCAGTTTTGTCAGAAGCACAATGGAAGAAAATCAAAATATAAACCAAACCCTTGACAGAAGAATTGAAGTCATAAAAATGTACCTGAATATGTATTTTTATATTCTTGTGATCAGATTCACTCTCAGGTGCAACTTCTTCTTTCAACAACATTTCAAAGAAATACATCAATGATCGAATCAAGTTGTGATCTTGTGATCCAATGACCTTGAAAAAAATATTGTTTTTAAGAATGAAAGTCATATATCCAAAAATGAAATGAAAAACTGTGTTCATGCTTTTATCGATTTGATTCAGGAGTCTTGCTGCACACTAGCATAAATGTATTTTTGCCGTTTCGTCTAACTAAGATCAAATTTCTTCAGACAAGCATATTTCAAATTTCAAACAGAAATGTTTTAGTGTGCAGCAAGACTTGAATCAAATAAAATAGTCATCATTATTCTTGCTACGGCATCCTTGCTTTATATGCATACGGGTGCACTTGCGCAAGATCATATAGCAGAGAAAAGTACCTACCAGTAGTTAATCTCAGGTAACCCCAACTGATAGATAAGATACTTAATAGAAGCTTTATTCAAATAAAACAAAATCCCTCTGCTGTTTAACATATTAAAAACAATACCTCTCTGCATTTCTTTCTTACAATCCTGACGCTTGGTGGTACCAACCAATTGAATAATACTTCAATGTAAGATCTGTTGTCCGTAGATAATATAGGTGGAAGTTTGTCGAGCCATGATTGAAACATAGGTTGCCATCCAAGAGAACCAGGCTCCAGATATATCATACCACATCTGCTCACAGTTGCAGGCTGGAATTTAAAGTTTTGGTAATTAATGAACTTTCCAATTTTAGAAGTTGTTCAACTAGAAAACAAGTACCGGTATGTAAATTTATTTTAGAATTAAAAGAGCGAAAAAAGACTTTCATTGACTAGGCTATACAAGATAAACAGCATTTAAAATGCCAAACATATCGTATGTATTGTTCTGTGCAAAATTTGGAGAAAATTATATAACTACGCATCACCAAATGACTCTTATCGATCAAAATCCAACAAAAAAAATTAAAACCTGTTATTAGACTACATTTACCATTCATCGAACATGACAGAAAATTTGTTTCACACAAATGTCCTTTTTTGAACTGCTAGTACTGGTAAATTGAACCAGAAAAATCTTGGAATAATTTATCATTCAGAAGGACAATGTTTTATCAGTGACCAGACAGCAGGGTACCCAAAACTGAATGATCTAATACTCTTAATACATTCTGAATTCATTTTGAATACGAAATATAGAATATATTTCAAATTTGATCATGTTAAACAAGAACACACAAAAGACAATTTTCCAATGAATTTGGAATCGCAAAATAGGTAAAATACCTAAGTGTTTGTTTTTTTATTTTTCACCAGTTTCAGTAATGAAATTAATATATTTTTGATCACAATTCATTACATATTGAATAAAACTATACTAAAGCAATCCCAAAACACAGAATTTCAAATATCTAATACAGATAATTTTGAATCAATTGGAATATGCAATTATTATGTTTGAAGATCCCTGTAAGAAGAATTTGATATTCATAATGTGCGGCCCAATGCACGATCAAGGAGATTAATGTTGCATATAAATAGAAAAATAATTGTTGAATGCAGTGGATTAGACACAAACGAACAGTATTTTCCATAACAATAAAAAATTTTCAATTCATTCAAACACTCACAGAGGCTTGGGACAAATCTTGAGTTTCAAAGATCAAGCTCATTGCATTTGTCATCTGGATAATTTCACCAGACATCAGACATAATTTTTTGTTGTCGTCAAGTACTGTATTCATCGATTCGATCCACAATGTATCGATGGGTCCATCAAATATAACCCATTTCCTGTCAGGAGTGTCAGTGCTAGAGAATTTACGGAATGTGTTGGCAACGTTTCCATCTGTCCACTGGAAAAATAAATCAAAATAGTGAAAGGCGCCCAGTGGGGAGATGATGGCGTCACAGGTAAAAATATCGAATGCAAAACCCATGTTCACCACTTCACCCAGGGTGTAATAAATTGGGTGGGCAATGTCAAACCGGGAAGATTCCAGTTCTTCTCAAAATCGTTGCTCTTCGCATATGGTTAGGTATCAGTGACTGCTTGTATAAGGCCTTGCTCAGAGTGAAAAGGCATGAATAAGCAGCACCTTATGAAAAAGGTATACAAAGTATATACAACAATACTTCATGAAAACTGCACTCCAGAAGTATGTGTACCATTATGGAAGTAAATAATTTTGTTCGCCTATTTACATCAAGTTGTGAAAAGGGACGGAACGGAAGCCTATAGGCAGGAGGTATATTCACTTGGCTAACATAAACAGTCCCGAACTCGTAATAGAACTAAAATAAGGAAAATCGGAATAAAATTATGGCCTAATCCCAACCTGGTACACATACTATGGGAGTACCATGAAAACAAACACGATTCAAACTGTTTGTCAATGTTGAAAAATTTCACTTACTTCATGAGACACAGGATCAAATTGACCGAATAGTTGACCCATTGTAACAGCTTTAGGATTGATAGTTTTATACATGACTTTCTCTTCTTCATTTTGTCCACGTTCATTCATTAATGTTAATGCATCAGCAAGTACATGAAGACATTTGGTTTTCCCAGAAAATGAATCACCAACAAGCATGAAACTGAAAAAGGAGAGAAACAGACGAAAATGAGTGAATAGCGTCGTTCTATATCAATGATAAATTCTTGTATAAACTTGTTCAATATGGATTAACATTGAGCACTACTATGGAAAGTAATTTTTGAAGTACCGGTATATATTTAATAGGTCAAGTCAAATTTTTTTTTTCCAACCAGTAGAAGGGTCAGTTTTATACAAAATACAAAGACAAAAGATAATCACACATTTTACTGGGGAAGGGAAATCGCGAGGAACCAAAGCTGGTCATCAAAACTCAGAACAAACCATAGCTAACCATAATAAAAGTATTCACAATACAGATTAAAAAGGTATTTTTGATTGATTGTACAACAAAATCAGGATATTTGTTACATTCTACCGGTAGTTTTTAAATATTAAAAGGAATCAAGATTGATTGATTTCTCAAGTAAAATAAAAGTATTTGTCCATGCAAAATATAATTATTTAGTTCTTTAGATCTAAATTTCTGATTGGGTTTCAATGAGGCCGAGTACCTTCCTCCATGCTTTTGCGCCAATGGATTCGTATGCAAATAATGTAAGGATGCTGTAGCAAAAGGGAAGATACCTATTTCAAGTAATTCAAGAGTTTTGCTGCACACTAATTTTGTTGAAATTAATCATGTATATGTGAGGAAGTATGAAATGTTACAGAAATATATTTGTGTTGGTGCGCAGAAAGACTATTGAATCACTTAGGATATTCTTCAGAATAACTAAATATGCTAAAAGTACTTAATTTGCACCTGAGCAGATGAACAAACAAAAAATTAAACCAACTTACCCATGACGTACAATCATCATCTCGTATGTCTGAATAATTTTTTCTAAGAAAACAGGAACGGTTTTTATTTCATGTTTTAGTGCTACCTCTTTAATGGCAGCAAGGAATAGATCATAATCGGCTTCTGGAAGCGTAACACCCGGGAAAAGATCAGATGTGATTCCGCGGAACAGAGGAATGTCATGAGATAAAAATTTAGGAAGATTGACGTCTTGAATGGAACGTAAGAGCTGAAAAAGAGAAAAAAAATTTTGATCAAAATTTTTAGAACCTATACATGTTTGTGGCACTGGATTGAAGCCTGACACTTGCATCACATTTGATTACCCCACGCGGCTTCGAATTCCATGTGGGAAAATTATGTGTGAGAGGATTGCTTGCGGCATACGGTGATTCACACAAGTTATGACTTTCCCCATCATCAAATGCAGCATATGGATACGTCATCTTATTGGCTTTCTTCTCTCTCGGGATAAAAATTCCTATTCCATAGTAAAGTAGATACATCTAGTCTTTTTAACGTTTAGGTAATTAATCTCACAGAAACTTAATCGATATCATAATAATAACTTACCAAAATATCTTCATTTTCGTCAGGGTATTTCAGTTTTAAGTTTCCAGCCGCAACTAAGACAGCTTTTACAGCTCGCATTCCATAATCGTAGTGAAACTGACTTGACAATTGTTCAGAACAAAGTCGATAAGTCATGACAATCTTTACTGAGAGATTACGTGCATCCAAGAAACCGCAAGAGTACAATGAAATTTCTGCAATCAGTGCGTAGTCTGGTACCATCATTGCGACAGTACGGAAAAGTACCTAAATATTAAACATGGTATTTTTCAATAGGGTGGAGCAAGGGCATGGCACCAGTGTCTGAAATAAAAGTCGAGTTTTTTAAGCTAATATTGAGGTCAAAAACATGTCATGAACTCTTTGAGATAAGGAAATAAATTTATAAATACCCTAGATTCATTCTGAGTGATTCAAAAGTCTGTTTCACACTAACACAAATGTATTTCTATAACAGTGTGCTGCAAGACCTGACATGGGCATACGGCCCGCGGGCCAGTTTATTTTTGGCACAAGGCTCATTGTTTTCCACTTTTACTTTTGTAACACTGTATATATTGTTCATAAAATGTAAATTTTACGCCCCACTTACAATGGCCCGCCAGTCTAGGTGGGCAAAAATTTTGTATTGCGGGAAATTTCAAACTCAAAAACCAATATAAGTATTGAAAAAGCAAAGTTTTGTCAGCCCGGAAAGCAGATTGAAAGCTGGCTTCCCATTTTTAGTCGAAGATGAAGTCAAATTAAATGTTTTATGGTTTGACAGCAAATCTCCAAAATTGTACAATTGAAATTATTTTTATATTCATGATAATCTTCTCTCAGAAATAACAAATAACATAGATAATTAGATAATTCAAATATAATTTCCCTAAATACATACCGGTATATAATTAGTTCACTATGTAAAAATAAAAACTTATTTTATTGAAAGTGAAGAGAAAAGGAGTGTACCTTCAAATTGTCTGGCAATTCAGACCGTCCTGCGTATCCAGGATTCATGGTGATCGCCACAAAACAGTTAGGATTTAATCTAAGTTCAGAACCTTCAAATAGGAATGTTTCAACATGGGTCTGGATAGCCCGTTGAATGCACAACATCTGGAAAAAATTCATGTCGTTACATAGAATATTTTGCTACTTACTAACTAAGAATGTGCGATTTGGAAGGTTATTATAACATAAGAATTTATGAAGTAATTAAATTACTTAAAGCTGGCAGTAGGTATACTCTGATATAACAAAACTCTCATAATAATTTCAGAATAATAATAATAAGATAATATATCTGCAATCAACTTAGGATAGGATGGGATTTTAATATTTATCCAAGCAGAAAGATGATAAGATGGCTTGATCATATGGCAAACCACTGCCTTTCATTCGGATACATGGCAGGTATTCAATTAACATTAAATTAGGGGTAGCAAAGGATATATGGTGGGAATCGCCATTTGAATGGCCTTCTCTGCAGAGAGTATGTAATAAGCTGTCATAAAAATGACAAGTTTGATTTTAGGGATGCTACACAAGATGTGTACAGCATATAAAAAGTTGTGTGTTTTGTAAAGACTCGTTCCTGAGATATTATCAATTTCATCTCAGAAAATTGATAAATAACAAAATTACCTGCTGTGCAATGACACTCAGTACTTCAAGTTCAATTCTGTTAAATTCATCGAAGCAAGCCCAGGCTCCTGATGACGCCAGTCCTTTGAAAAATTTTCCCATAGCCAGATAATCAAGACCATCAGAACAATTGAAGACAACACACTGAAATAGAAATATAATTTGTTTTATTGGATGATACAACTATACTTAGATATATACATTGGATAGGATATGATTTCATATTTATCCCAGGGAGATGAAAGACGATAAGACAACTTAATCATATGGCGTACCACATCTCGTCCAATTACCAATCCAATTTTTAAAAGCTTGTTTTATATATGAAACATGCATCATATCAATACTTACTTGGACAGCCAATGCCTTTGCCAGATCTTTTGTTGTCTCTGTTTTTCCTGTTCCAGCAGGACCTTCAGGTGCCCCACCGAGATTGAGATAAAATGCCCCAACCAATGTACGATAGCATCTGTCTGTCAAGGGTGTGATGACAAGCCTTGAATGAAATATTTCAAGATTAATTCGAATTTCGTCAGGTAATAACAGAGTGAATTATATGGACGCCTTAAAGTTGGAAGCAAGATCAAGCATTTTTATGAACTCAAGGAATTCATTTTCAGTCATATTTGAAAATTCAGAAATACATACGGTAGTGCATAACTAATGACCAATACACTCACTTTTAAAAAACAACCCAGAAATGTGTTTGTTCCAGCTAATACCACACTAACGGTCTTACACCTTGCAAACGAAAGTATAAGACAAAATGAAAATTTTCACAGGGAAACTCTCTTGTAGTCAACGCTTGAAAAATTTTGGAATCGTGGAATTGAGACACAATTTTTAATGTTAAGTTCTCTATCCTTTTTATTTTTTTCACCCATTATCAGCTTACCAGTACTTCTCAACTTCTTGGCCATATCGAGGATGGGATAAGATTTACATATTTATCCCTGGGAGAAGAAAGCCAATAAGACGGCTTAACCATATGACAGACCATGGCCTCTCGCCCAGTTCTCACTCCATGTCAGATATGGGATTAGTTAGTTATTTGTTTTTGTAAGTGGACTTGATGGTGGAGGAAGCCATAACCTACCAGCGGTTACACGAACCACCTTACGGCGATGAGGAGTCCAGCAATCCACTCGCACATAACCATCCCTGCATGGGATTCAAACCTGCAAACCCATGCAGAGTAATTGGAGGTGCGGTGGCCAGCGCATCCCAAACGTTCAGCACGATAAACCAGACCGCCGAGCCGGGGTCATCACATAAGCGATTTGGTAGTTATTACAGAATTGATTTTGGTCGATCACATGTTAGCCTTCAAAGCAACATGATAAAACATGATAACATAGTCTGAACAACTGGTTGAAAATTTGTAAATAATAGCAATAATAGTGTAAATTACCTTGGAGAATTTCCGAGATATTCATATGCATATTTCACATTAGCATTAATAATACGAGCTCTTGCATTATCATTTTCCCAATAATATCGCAATTGAGCAAGCCAGTTAAAATCCTTTTCATTTTCAACATCTGAACAAAAAAGAATATATAAAAAATTTAAAGTACACCAATTATAAATCAGTGAATGTAATACTAACTTGAGAATGTAATGCATAACTTGGGAATGCTGCTTTGAGAAAATGGGTAGAAATATATTTTTGAATCCTGTACCTTTTCATTAAAATACTTGAATATTGATTAAAATCATGTTTAGATATCAGCCTGGAGCTCATCTATTTTTTGTGATATGTTTAACGTGATATGAATTTGATTTAGAGATGAAACAAAAATATTCTGGACTTTAAGTTGAAATTTTAAATATGAAACATTATTATGAAAAAACTTGAAATTCAAATTACAACAAACCTTTATCTATCATTTCTTGAATAACATCACGAGCATGCACATCAATAGTTACAAGAGCTCCAAGTGTGATACGGGTTTGTTTCAAAAGTTTTCCACGGACAAGGTTGACAATATCACCAAGCTGTGATGATAAAATGATATTTTCAAATGATGTTTATTAAAAGTAACGCAAAGATTAGCAATCGCTACTTTTGAAAACCTTTGTTTCATCTACATTATATTACGGTAAGCACATGGCAACAATATTTTATGATTTTTATATCTAATTACTGGTTGCAAAGCTGTGAGACGAGAGAGGACCGAAATGCATACATAAAAGCAGCTATGCATATAATACAAGGGTGTGCCAAAATATGTATTATTGAGTTATCGAGAGGCATGGTAAAACAATAAAAACTAAAAAAATCCTTATTCATACCTGAGTGACAAGAGCCTTATAATATTCCTTTAATCCATTATTTCCTCCCTTGTTCAATGCATCGTGTACTTCATACGTCCAATACATTGATGTCACATACAATACAATCTAAAAAAATTTTAAAAAGAATTATATGATTATTATTAAATCTGGTATAAACAGAAGCAAAATTGACTAGTAAAAATCCTGTTAATTTTTGAGCAAATTATCAACCTAGAAATGAAATTTAATGCTGGTATTCTGAATGAATCACTCTTCTGACAACATGGAATAATAAGTTTATTATATTTATGTGCAATATTTATTTAATTCAAGATACAATCAGTTTAACACAGCTGACTTAGAAAAACCAATAATGCTAGAAAACTCAACAGATTTTATATGTCTGTAGATTCGAGATGTGATTGGTCATACATCATATGCACAGTCAATCAAAATGTTGATTAATTGACACATTACAAAGTCGAAACCCATGACACTAATAATCAAATGTAAAATGTAAAAAATCCTAACTTACCTGCCCGGGCCATTCCTGCACCCATTTATCTCTTGGATTCTCAACATAAGCTTCTTTAGCTTTTATGATGACATCTCTCACTGATCTCAACATCACATCTTCAACCTGTTTGAATTTCAAATAGATCAAAAATATTGACATGGGTAGAGAAATATGTGATTGCTATTCATATAACATGTTTGATGCTGCTGTAAGTGGCATATTTATCAAAAACTGCAGCATACGTGAAGTAGAGAGTATAGTACACATAAAAGACCAATTTTGACACTAAATCAATAAAAATATATAATTAAATTACAAAACTATAAAATGGTAAAAATGAAATATAAATTTTAGGCCGACGTAAAGTGAATGAAAAAGGATTTCATTCTTCAAGACCTAGTCAGTGAATGGTTGGTTGCAAATAGCTTAAAAAACATTATTGCCAAGAAATGCTTTAGGTAACTCTACAAAGTTATTCGTATGCATTTCAAGCATAAGACCTTTTATATATTTAAAACTCCATGATTCCTTTTAAATTTGAATTCAACGACTCGGCAGAAAAAGCCCACATTAAAAATAATCAAAAACCATAATATATCCTTGAAGTCAATGTTTAGGTATTCTAAATGTGTAACCAGAATTTTTACACTTATGTTTGTATTGTACAGGGCGAACCAAAAAAACAGATCACAGGTCATTCAGAACACATTCTAGAGAGGACGGCCCGTGGGCCAAATCCGGCGCGTTGGGTAATTCAATCTGGCCAGCGTGATGGTGCAACAACCAAATTCTGATGCTCTAGTTAAAAATAGGCCAAATAATTTGTTGCGATTGCGATTAAACGATTTATTAGTTCTATTTGTTTTGAGTCACCTCGTACAAAATCATGAAATTCACTAATTCACTGAAAGATAAATTTAGTTAACAAAATACCGTACCTGAAGAAGCCATTTTTCCACGGCACCTCTGGCAGCTGATGTTGAGATTAACTCGACAAGTTGGACGACTTCACCTTCGCTACTCAACATGGATTTAATATCAAGATTTTCAAGAAATTCAAGTTTTGCAATCCCCTCAAAGCATTTTTTGAGATGAGGTTGCACTCGAGTCGGATCTTTAGTCTCAGATAAGATCTCAAGCATTTCATCATTGGACAAGAAGAAAAATCTGTGAAAGAAGACGATGGTATCCATCATTGAAAATTAATTCTTCAATAACTTAATTTTCTATATTGACTTGCATCACATTTTAATAATTTTATTCTGTAATATTGTGTCTGACCAGAACCAGAGACTATGTTTTTAAATATCTTAGGCTCAAACTTTATGTCTACCACCTCCCCCAGGGCATGGTTATGCAATGTCCAAATCAAAAAGATTCTCCAATCCTTACATATTAGTGATCGGAAAGGATTCAATTAGGAAATGAAATTTATAGTAATTCTTCTTTTAAGTCTTTTTATAACCCTGACCCAAGTAAAGGTAAGCTATTCAAAAAATTCCTAATTTTGATTTGAGTTAATTAAAATACCTAAAATAAATCTAACTTAAATCCTGCTTTCTCAGTCTCGATATGAGTTACTCTGTAAGCAAAATATTTGTGTGTAGTACCTTGGAAAGAACAATCTCTTCTTTTCCAAATAAGCATTGAGACCTTTCATAATTTTATCTAGTAGAACGTTGCTATCCAACAGTTTTTGTAGAAGGCCAGTCATCGATGTCGCAGCCAGAACCTGAAAATTAATAATTTGAAATCAACAATTCAAAATGAAGATAACCATTCAAAGAAAAACACGTATGCATGGGTGATGCTGTGATTAAAAGTACTGGAGATTAAGCTTAGAGTAAAAAGTTACTTTAATGCTGGATTTGGCCACATTCATGCAGTGGGTTAGGTGTACTGTGGGCCTAGAATCTCGAGTCGCGAGTCAAGTAATAGACCATCTGAGTTCAACCAAATTTTAAAAATTGAGTCCTAACTCAGGTCAAGATAGTCTTAAGTCACGAGTCTGAGTCATAGTACCGGCATATATCACAAACAGCAAAATAGATAAATATGAGTGCCACTAAGAATTGAATGCTCCATTCCATGTTAAACCAACGTTATTTTGAAAATCAAACTGGAATTTTATCACGCATTGACAACATTTACTTTGGCATCAATACAGTCTATTTCAAGTTATTTCTGTAACATGCTAATGGATTTTTCACTCCCCAATACAAAATTAATCGGCAATGTTTATTGGATAGTGTAGTGATTTTTTGCTATTTCAATACTTGTTTAAAATTATCTTTTGAGTGTCAAACTTTCAAGTCAAGCTTGTGTTAATTTTTTGCTGGAGCGCAAAGAATTACAGTATTTGCTTTGTTATTTTTAGTGCATCGTTGACGAAAAATTTTATTGCGCAATAAAGCACTCTGTTATCGATTGTTTCCAGACCGCTAAAACATTTTATTTAATTTCACCGGTTCGCTGGTGTGAGAAGGTTGAGAACCACTGATTTAGATAACCTGAGTCGAGTCTAGTCTTCTCTTGGAAATATGCCATATTTACAGAACTGAATTTTTATTCACCACCCAATGAAGTAAATACATACGTGTGTATCTCTCATGGTAAACTTCATAATCTCTTTCCAATTTTTATCGATAATCTGGAACAGACGTCCTTCCTCTGGCATTTGTTGCATGATGTCTTCTGAACTGAAGATTGGTTCAAGATATAACCATTGTGATTGTACTTTCAACCACTCATCAATTGTATCTTGGATAAGAAGAAGTCTTTCTTCCCATTCCTGAAAAGGTTTATAGGAAAGAGTGAAGGCAAAAAATTGAATTGAATTGCATAAACATGGTATGATTGGTGGCAGTTTAAGCATTAGATGTAACATTACACATTTTTGGTTGTACTGTGAAACGTCGAAAGCTCAAAGCGATAATTTCTATCAATGATTCAATGAATTGTAACTATTTAAAAACCCAAATTCTGATAGCAAATGCTTTGAATGTGCAAGTGTTCTTTGTCTTCTGTAAATGCTTAGTCAACATAGAGATTTTTGAGTTCCTGTTGGAAATATTGACTTCAAAATTCCGACTTCGGTTCTGATTCTTCAGAGTTTGAAAGTAGGACACCATCTCCGACTCCAATAGAATTAAACGCATGTCACACTCCGGCTCGAATTCCACAGTTCTGATTCAAATACACTATTCTCTTTGCTTTTTTAACAATCTTCCAGATCAAATTTTCCACGCAAAATCATTTTTATTTACAAATATTTTTACATTCAAAAACTATTGTCTTTAAATAACATCTGACAAACCTTAATTTCAGCTTCAAATGGTTTGATGAAAGGTGATCCACGCATGGTTTGAGTTTTTACAATCTGATCGTCGAGCATTGTTTGAACATCATCGACTGAAGATAGGATATGGACTCCTGAATCTCTGTATGGTAATGTACTGAACATCATGTCATCCCATTCAACTTGCATCCTTGCCAGAGCTTTTTCAAGAGAGAATTCCTAAAAAATAGTGATTGTAAGTAATGGCCGGGAAATTAAATATATTGAAAAGGGTTTGACTTTTGCCGTGTTTCACAGGTTGAAAATGCCAGGTTCAACATAACTCAGTGCATATTAATTTGGGTAGGCAATACAGAAATTAAAATATTCTCCATCTTCTGAATATATTACATCTTTACATATCGATTTCTGCTTGCACTGAACCATGTTCTGAAGGGGGAAATATAAAGACGTTGCATACAAAAATCCATTGAAATCATGACAAAAAGAATTTTTAAATAATTATTTTTTCTATTCATAAATTTGGCATTTTGTGGCTTATTACAGAAATTATTCTTTTTTCTCTGAAGATGCAAAGCAGAAATGTACATAAAAGCTCCCACAAAAATATTCTTTTATAAAAAATTCAGTCAGTACCTTGCTAGCTGCGGCACTTATTGCCTCAAATTGTTCCATATACGTTCCAAGATTTTTCTTCAATACTTTACGTAGAGTTGTACCAGCATCAGGAGTTAAATCCTCACCATATATTTCAGACATGTTGGACCAATGTCTGGGACGAATACCAGGGTTGCAGAGAGTCGATATAAGTGGAATGTTTTCCTGAGAAATAAAATTGTGGCATTTTGCAAAATGATAAGATGTTTTTATTTATTCCAGAATAGAGGAATTGATGAAGGAGGTAGCCATTTAAAACAACAAAAAATCAATTTTCCTTTTTGACTAACAAACTATGTCATGATGACATAATGATTGCATTAGATAGTATTGCATTCTCGGTTTTATGTGTGCAGCATTGGTATTCCATGCCCATCACCAATATTTCCAATTCAATCAAAAATTTAGAGTGGCTTTTACAGATCCTTGTAAACAGTGAAGGTTCAACTCATGTTCATGATTTGTCCAGCTAGTAACACAAAAACTATGGATTTTAAAAATGAGTTTACCTTTACAGGAAAATAGGATTTTATACTTGTCAAAAGGGAGAAAAAATCTGTTAAACCAGATTATATTGTGAATCACAATTTCTTGTCCTGTTACCAATCGGACAGAGTATGGAGAACATGCATTTATCAGTTGATAGTTCAAGATACATGGACTTGATTTATAGATGATGGATAAAGATGTGAGTGGTTGCACTTACCACCCTACTACAGCGAGAACCTGTGGACCCACTCATGGTAATTAGTATTGCGGCGGCTCTTGTTTTTCAAATGCTTACCATGATGTGCCAACATTCTGGCCTATCCGAAATTAGCATAAGATGGGGTGATGAAGACTATTAGAACCCGTGTGTTGCTGCTTGTTTACCATATTCGGTTCCCTGTGGCTTCACTTCCCTAGTAAAATGTGTGTTAAATTTTCTTCTAATTTTGAATGCTATTTTTGACTATGAATATGCTGTTTACAGTCAGTTCCTTCATAACGTACTAACACATAATATGTTAGACATTGCTTTTCATTTTTCCTACGATTTATTTATTTATTGGAGATAATTTTTCCGTTTTACCTTGAATTCCTTGACAGATTCCATCATTCCACTACATAATGCAATAATAACATCTTCTTTCTTGTCTTCTTCATCTTTCTCAGCCCCAACTTTACGACGTTTTGGTGCTCCCTTTCTTTTTTCATCATCCACTTTTTTCTTTTTCATGTTGAATGTTTTGTTGGCTTTTAAAACAGAAAGCGAACATTATGAATTTCCTAACTTATTACTTTAATAAGGTATTATAAGCATAACCCACATCAGTGTTATAAACTAAAAGAGTTAGTCGAAAAAATCTTTCAAGCATTCTATCCAATCATCTCAACATGAAGGAAATAAGTTTACATTGAATAAAAATTTCGAAAATTTTACCTTTATATAATTCCCTCCAAAATTCGTCAACTTCCGATTCAATGACTTCACCTTCTAATTTCATGAATTCACCATCCATCCAACTGAACAAGTACAATAAAAAATAATAGTGGAGTTTTCCAAAGGTTATCCAGGCCATTAATTAGAAAAATGCAATTTTGGAAATTAAGAAGTGGACAAAATAACATTCAGGCGGTTCAGTGGCGTAGCCAGCCCAAAATTTTGGGGGGGGCCAAATTTGAAAATTTTAGAAATTATATTGAGTTTAAAACACCCGTTCTTCAAGCGCAAAACAACAACAGTTGGTCAACAAGCAAACTGATTCAATTCCTCAGCTGGATTTTTGTGAATACAAAATCCATTAATAAACAATTTTTTATTTGAAACAACAAATATTAACAACGCAATTTAAATAAGTAAAATACATCGCCCCGATTAAAAGTCCATCCTTCGCTTCCCGCTAACTATGCTCGACACAACTCGATTAATTTTCTCCTCGGTGACCATTTCACGGTGACAGTGAAGCACACACAAATCAGAAAGGCGATTGGACGTCATTGATGAGCGCAGCCATGTCTTTACCCGTTTCATGCAGGAGAAAGACCGCTCAGCCTCAACGGTGGTTGCTGGTAGCGTCATAACGATCTGTATTGCGGTGTACACGCTTGGATAATCTCGAGCGCTCAGAAGAAGCCCCTCCAAACATTCGTCGTTAACGTCGGAACTTAAAGAAGTTTTCCACAGTCTCACTTCATTCTGGAGGTTATCCAATAAATACAGATGCTCTACCTCATCCACGTGAACTGGTTTGTTCGGTGGAAGAATTGATAGCAATAAAAAAAATGATGGGTTGTCAATGAAGCGTTCCCGAATAGAGCAGCTCAAGCCGTCGACGTATGGGAGATATACGGAACGTTTAAAATACTGGGATGCTGAATCAGCACAGACATTGTCGCGATACACTTGTACTTCGACTACTCTGGGTATTGTCAACTCTTTCAAGCCAGCTATTTCACAAGCTTCTTTGTAAATATTCAATGCGATTTCAGAGTCATTGCGTTCTTCAGCGATAACGCTCTGAAGAGAGGATGTGAGGTTCTTTACTGACGGCACACTGACTCCGACCGCCTGAAGTGCGCGCGCTAGTGGCTCCATTAGTGCCGAATATCGACCAATCAAACATACGGCGTAGATAACCGACGACTTTTCTAGAGCAGATTTCAGAGAAAAAGCCTTCGCCCGCGTCTCACTGTTAGCATCTCTCGCCAAAGAATCAAGAGCCTCAAGTACTCGTTTGAAGTTGCATTTGAAGATTCGGATGCTCTTATACTTCTCAGACCATCTGGTGGGGCAGAACAAAGGAATGTTAATTCCTAAACCCGCGCGCCTTTTAGGGCTCTCCCTGAAAAAACGAATAGTCTCACGAATGATATCACAGGTGCTTCTGATGATTGCAACTTTACTTTGGTCATTTATGACCAAATTCAAACAATGAGAAGCGCAGTGCACAAATATTGCGCGCGGGTATTTATCACGAATGCGTTTTTGCACACCGCTGACGTGACCTGCCATTGTCGTTGCACCATCATAGCCTTGCCCCACAAGTTTTTGCAAATCCACTCCTATATCAGAGAGGTGGGTCAAAATATTTGAGGAAATTGATTCGGCAGAAACAGAATCCATTTCCACTAATCCTGTGAAGCGCTCGCACACTTCACCACCTTTCACATACCTCAAAACGATGCTTAGTTGTTCTTTCCCAGAAATATCACATGATTCGTCGGCTATTACGGACACAAACGATTTATTAGCCTCCATAACGATATCTTGCACTATCATGTTGCTTGCTACCTTGAGAATTTCATTTTGTATCATCGGGCTTGTATACTTAGCGTTTCCGGCCATTCGAGCGAAATGCCTTTTCAAATCTTCATCCCCTGCGTCGATACGAAATAGAAGAAGGTTCACAAAATTTCCACTATCCCCGGAATGTCCGCGCAAGGATATGTTACCCGAAGCACAGAACATGACAGTCTTGACAATGGAAGTCATTATTCGTCTGTTTTCTTTTGTTTGCGTAGCATATTGGGCCTCCATGTTTGCACGCACATTTTGACCAGTTTCCATGCTTTTGACAAAATTTTTCGCAGCTATATTTGATTCTCGGTGGTAATTTGTCTTGTAACAAAGGCAGTGTCCCTGAGAGTTCCATGCTTCAAACGTGCTTGCATGACTATGCATATCTTACACAAACCACCCCCATCAGAGAGTTGGGTGTAAACTAACCAACTGCAAAATCTGTTATCGTCAAGCCATTTTTTGAGAAATTTACGACGACTTTGTCTAACAGTATCCAGAATCGTCACGTTTTTCGGACCATCCGAAGTTAGAAGCCTGTATCTCTCCGCATCGGTAAGCTGTGTATGTTTCTTAAGAACAAATCCAAGATCGTTTGTTTTCCCTTCGTTGATTATTAGTTCATCTTCGGGAATAGAAGTGATAGACGTAACTGACGTAACCGGTGCATCCACAGCCTGAGAAGCGCTTATTGATGTATTTGAGGAAAGCGAGTCTTTATTTCGCTGGAAAAAACTATCTAATTTCGCCTGTTTAAATTTAGCCATCGAAGTAATTTGGTCATCAAAATTCAAGCGTTTCGAATAAAAATCCGGCGAGAACAAATCAAGACCGAGCAACTGACCGAAAGCTTGCGAAACAGTCTTTCCCATACTGCTCATAAGAGCGAACGGTCAAGTCTTTGTGACGTAACAATGACAATCAACAAGCATGACGAGACAAGATGCCACAAAACTGGTGGATTAGGAATGGAATTCTTGAAAATTTTGGGGGGGGCCAAGGCCCCTCTGGCCCCCCCCTGGCTACGCCTATGAGGCGGTTGTATGACAGTTGCATATTGCCTTTGAATGGCCCTTACTGAACAAAGGCTTCTGAAAATTCGAGATATATATTCATGCCAAACAAAGAGAGATGAAGCCCGCCAAAAAAACATTTCTAACATGTACTCAACAAGAAGTATTCAAACAAATTATACTGCTTGAAATCTTTTATAATATAAAAGAAAATTAAATTTTAAAAACCAAAAAGTACCGTTTTTCAGCCTTCTGCCACCTTAGTACAGTAGTATAGAGTTTTTGAAATGGTTCCATGGATGTTTGTATATGTTCAATCTCTGGATAATTTGTTTCTTCCCATTTGAACAAAACTTCTTCCTGTTACACAGAAAATAAATTCAAAGTTAAAATAAATAGTAAAATTGTTTTTTAAGAATTCACAGAACTTGGTTTGAGTCTTAAGAATTCAAATTCACATGGGAAACTATATGCCATGAGCAGAGAAAAAATTACATATTTATACATATCTATATGATATTATACCTTATTCTCTATATCACTTGGGTTTATACATAAATAACTAGCTATATGTCATTCTTCTAGGCCTTCATGATGGTATGTGTAAATGACAAGAATGCGATGATGATGATTACTGTACTTTAGTTACAATATACTTGTGTGGTATAGTCTGAATTAGGTCAGAAGAATTGGTACTGGAATGTATTTGTGTTCGTATACCGCTAGATGCTCAAAAGTCAAAACACATAAAACAGTATTTTCCATTATCTCGAACTTATAAATCTATTCGTATAATACGCCATTTTTTAAAATTTCCATGTGTAATTTTCAAGTTGGCTTAAAATAATACACATATAATATAACTAATTCTGACCTTATTAATGAAAGAAATTTGTTCTTGTGCATCTGCCAATCTCTTTTGTACTGTTCGCACATCATTGACATATTGCTGCATCAAATCAGGTTCACCACACTCATTAAACTCCTCAACTCTTCGAGTGAGTTTGTCAAGCTCCATCATAACTCGTTCACGTTTCTGGAGAAGTTCTTGTTCACCAGCACGCTTTGACGCCTCAACCAACTGAGAAAAAACACAATGTTTTTATTAAATTGATTGTCAAAAAAGAAAAGAATATTCTTTTGCTTAAAATTTTGTTAGATTTAGCCTACCTCGTCATTGGCTTCAAATACAGGTTGAATATTCTTCGGCCAAGTAAGAACGGTACTGTTGAGTGCAATATCATCATCAGAAAACATGTAGAGATCAAGAAGAAAATTGAGTCGTTTTCGGCATTCACCAATTCTCTCATTTAACTCTGTGACGCCTTAGAAAGCAAAAAGACATTTTATTCTAAGAAGTCGGACCAGCACTACTTGAGAACCTACACTTAACGCTGGTAACTTCATTTTTCCTTTTTTCTAGTGCAGGCCTGGTGCAGAGTTTCCCACTTGCAAAGGAATTTTTCTTACTCTTTACTTGTTTAATATTACTGTGACATCCATGCACATATTACAAAATTATAAATTTTTCAAACTGTACAAAAGTCAGAGTGCGAGTTTTGGATAATCCAATAAGGATTGAAAAACAGAATCAAAATTCTCATGCATAGCAGAGGGAATGAAGAGTGTAATAAATTGAATAGGCAATGCAAACTGAAGGCCTTGTACTTTCTAGAATAATAGATTCCTACATATAGGTTATTGCATAAACTGAGTCTTGTTTGCAGCGTGGTATGAAAAAAAACTCGTTAGTTGTTCCTATAATCAATATGGAGAGGTAAAATTAGTCTGTGACCTGCTACATTTTGAGCTGAATTTTTTCTCAAATATCTGCTAGATTTTTATCTCATTTTTTTCTTCCATACCTGACATGGACTAGTAACCGGATGAGAGGTCGTGGTTCGGCATATGATTTAGTCATCTTATCAATTTCCCTCTGCTCCGACATAAATAGGTAAGTCATATCCTGTCTGACAAGTGGTATCATTACGAGAAAAACAGCCTTAGATATTTTATTTATTTATTATTTTTTAGCCAGTACAAGTACTTCTGAAGAATTAAGAAATCCAAACTCACCCTCTGTTCTTGCTTTTTGCACATAATCAATCATATCCATCATTTCTTCACTGTTTGTTGGTTTTCTCATTGCTCGTTCTTTGATTTCTTCAAACCGAGAACAGATGCTAGAAAAGAAAAACAATACAATTTTTTTTAATCAAAAGGGAAATTGTTTTTGTAAGATAACCAAAAAGGTACAGCTCAATAAAATTTTTCTTGACATCTGGATTTCAAAAAATTTAAAAAAAAACTCTATTTGCAAGTCTCGAGCTCCAAACTCCTACACAGCACCTTATCATAGATGTAATGAATTTAATGACCAAGACCGAACCAAGAAAATTTCAGCTGCATATATATAGCATTGCTTGGAGCAAATAACATTGCATAAAATTATTTCTTGAAACATCCTTCCTAAAGGCAAGAATTTGGAAGTTTTGTCAAAATTTGATTCTCTAGAAATCCATACTTGTAATTGTGGATAACTAGGTCAAAAATTTAGGACAAAACTTCAACAGTTTATTCAAAACAGAATAGAACATATTAGTATGCTTTAGGTGTGCTTTCCGTAAAGAAATACTTGCATAAACCATGCACCTCTTATTGTCTTCTCTGTGATCTTCAGTTAATCGTGTCAGAAGAGTATCAGCATGTTTTCTTGCATATTCGACCAATGCTCGTTTCAAATCATCACAATCCAATCGAATCTTAAAAGTGGATATGAAACATATAAAGTTTATTCTTACTAAAAAATAGATGGACATTATGGCAACAGTTTCATGCTTTTCCTACCTAAATAAATTGCAATAAATTTTGTTGACGTGACATGGTTGAAGTGGTACACTTAACTGTGTTGGCATCACAGATTACACATTTTGGAGTCAAATCCAATGACCCCATCTCACCCAGGGTGTAATAAAGTGGGTAGGCAATGCCAAACAGGAAAGATTCTGATCCTTCCAAGTAATAATAGCTCCTCAGATATCAGTTGTCGTTTGTATAGGTCCACATTCGGAGAAAAATATGTGCATAGGCATTACATAAAAAGATTTTACACAAACTTGGCTGATAACTTAGGCATAAAGCAGTTTTATTTTGTATATTGATTAGATATTTTAGATTGTAAAGCTCTTATATGGAGGGTCTGGTAGAATTTGGCTCAATACTTCTGCGATGTAGGCCTTCAAATAGCAATAGCGACCCTGTAAACATCCCTATTCCAAGCCAAATTGTTCAAATATAATTTTGAATTTTGACTGTGAAAAGCAACTCAAGCCTACATACCATGTCAAAATGGAAGACATTGTCAAGGTTGTTGATTTCATTGGCGACTCTTCTAAACTTCTCAATAAAATCACAATATTCCTGAAACGAATGATCTTCTGAGATAAACTTCTCAATATCACTTGCTGCCTCTCCATTGACAAGGAAACTGTAATCTTTTACTGTAAAATATTAAATAAACTCAATAAAATTAATAATTTGAATCGTTTATATGCAGAGTGTTCCAATTTCACTAAGACTTTTAAACATAACCAAATCGTTTAACAATGAAAAATATATTAAATATGCAAAAATGATAAAGTACTGAAACATTGAATCCCTCTAACCCTCACCTTTGGTTGTGTTTGGCAACGAAGGGTCATAAAGATTTTACGTTAGTTATCTACACCAATAATCACGACAGATATATAACATTTAACCATAGTTGGGCTAGTTGGGATTTGGTTTACAACAGGATTTAATAGGCTATGTTTATTAAATCATAAAAATCCCATTCTATGCTAACAAACTTCAAAACACAGAAACTCAACTGACTGCCTTAATTACACTACCAGATATAAAAATGCCTATATATAAATTACTTACCAAATCCCTGCATACATTCCTGAGGACCTTCAAAATTCTTTTTCACTGCTCTTCGTAAAAATGCAACGGCTGCAATACTTATATGATCAGCAATACCGGTATCAACATTGACTGTTGAACTGGAACCAGACAACCAAGACTGTACAGTAGGAACACTATGCATACTGTTGATGATTGTCTCAGCAACAAATACAATACAATCTTCAAGATCCTATTAAAAATATAATATATATTTAACAGTGCAATATAAGGTTAAAATAATCCAAGTTTAGAAAGAATACTGGCCAAAATTGGCAAACACAAATTTAAACACAAATTATACTGATCCTACTAAATACTTGCTTGATAGTGTTTATAAGTTTATATTCTAATAGTTACATAATCACGAATACATTTTAAATTTCTTTTCAACCACTCCTTTTGTTTTCGATCTTTTACATTAAATAGATAACCCCCGAAATAAAATTTATTTGAATCAGGCTTGTATAAATAAACAACAATTTCATTTTATGATGAATCGTTTCAAGAAATTCATTAAGTTTTAATTTCCGATCCAAAAAAATTAAATAATTCGAATTACCTGGTAAGAAGGGAAAAATTCCATTTTTCCTTCGGTTTTCGAAGCATTTTCATCAAATGTCAATTCCATCTTGAAAATAGGTAGTTGGTGTTTGTTGTTATCATGGAATAAACCGACCCAATGATGAAGTGATCTTTCTACCAAATCTTTGAGCTGGAAACAATATATTATAAGTTTTTTTTAACTATTTTTGGCTAGGCTTGGCGGTTAGCCTACTGTGCTAAGTGTTAGGAATGCACTTGCAAGCACATCTCTGATTAACCTGCGTGGGTTCTCAAGTTTGCATCTTGTGTTGGACTTTTTGTTGCAAAGGAATAGTCAACAACTTGTCAACTTTTTTCATACCTGACATTGACAGATAAGCGGAGTGGCCATGGTTTGCCATACTAATATTCTTCTAATATTTCTACCCTTCATCAAGAGATAATATTGGTACGGAATAAGTTTCAAGTTTCCAATTCAATAAGTTTGAGTTGCAGTAAATTTTGTTTAATATTGAAACGAAAATATCTGAAAATTTTTGTTTCAAACTACCTCATATTTCAAAATCTTTCCTCTCTGCTGGGATAATATGAAATTTCTACCCTTCATCAAGAGATAATATTGGTACGGAATAAGTTTCAAGTTTTCCAATTCGATAAGTTTGAGTCGCAGTAAATATTGTTTAATATTGAAACGAAAATATCTGAAAATTTTTGTTTCAATCTACCTCATATTTCAAAACAGTTTAAACTCGGTGGCTAAACCTTAGGTGGGGTTTGATTTTCGTGAACATGTAATCCAGTTTTGAGAGGTCGGTAATTTTTTCTCGTGATACTCTCGATTTTATAAAAATTATCCACACAGAATATCAAACCTCTATGATTGAATATACAGAAATTAGTTTCATTGTTAATTACAAATTTCGGTAATCCTGAAGTATGCGCACCAAGATGTTGCACAACCTGAACCCTAACCTGGTACACAACCTGAGTTCAGGTTGTGCGCCATCTTGGTGCGCATACTTCAGGAGTTCCCAAATTTTATATTTTATAATTTACTCAATTTAATGTAATAACAACATATATATGCTTTTGTTTCCTATGGAATTTAACATTAAGCACAATTCTGCTGGAGAACAATTTTCTCTTTAAATATTAGATTACGGTAGTTCTTAAATTCGGACATATTTTCGATCAAACTTTTTTGACATCCCACATATAGCAAGGCATTATACATTCAATGAAAACTATTACGCCACAAAGGTAATCGAAAACCAATCCATTGTGACACAAACGATGTAAACACAATTTTTAATAAAATTAAACATAACATCGTAAGACAATGGCAGACGGCTCGCTCTCCAAAAATATCTCCAAACGAGCCTAGGGTGGTAATATGATACTAATATTTTTCTATTGCTGCAATAGAAAATGCAGACTCATAGTAGAACCTATGAAATGAAAAATTTATGGGCAAGTATGGATCGATAATGATCATGCTAAAAATGTAGAAATTGAAAAAACTTGATATGAAAACAAAATTATTTCTACACACAGCCTAAGACAGACGTAAATTGATCATTTGACTATTTTAAAAAAAATCTGTCAATATTATAAATGATGATTCATCCAAAAACCCATTCAATTAATTAATCTATCCAATGTGATTATGAAATTATTATGATAATATGATGCAACAATCAAAACTCTTTGTGAATGATATACATTTAGTATTCCTCGACTGTGAAAATTGCCAAATTATTTCAGTAAATCTGGTTTATTTAAATATTTAGCGACTGTACCTGGTTAGCAACCAATGTAGAGACGCATGTATAAAATGAGTCGAGTTTATCTCGTCTGATTCCAACAAATTGTTTTTCATCTGTGAATATATTAATGACACGAGGATACCATCCATGCATTAATTTATCTTCAGACTTCTCCACTTCAAGCAGGATGTGATTTTTCAAATGTTCTATTTCAGCTGGCCCTTGAATTCTTAAAATGTAGAAAATAATGACAACAGGTTCAAAATATGTCCAACATAATACATTCTGAGTTTTGAGGTGAGCATAGAAATGAAAATTATTTGTTAGGATTTTCAGACAAAGTCAAAATTTGTCACACACAATCAACTATCTAGTGATATTACACATAAATTCTTTTGTAGGGTTTGATAGAAACCAGGGATATCCAAAATGTATTAAATGTTACGATATATTTGAAATTGATTATATTTGATGCAGTGAATTTTTGATTGTATGAATATTTAAGATAATTTGGCGCTTCAAGCATTCAACAGCTAATCATCAGACAAAATATAGGTTCAAATAGATTTACCGAAGATACTGAAAATCAGATGAAACTTTTTTTGCAAAACAGGCCCTACAATACCCTCTTATATCAAGATATATTATGAAAATAATATTTTAGAATGTGTTCGGGAAATTAACTTATTCGATCTTTTATTTTGTCCATGGTAGAATCATTATGTATCAGTATCATTTTGCGTTTCTCTTTCATTTCAAGTTTATAGTATTGTTACCTGAGTTCACTTAGTTCCATCAATAACATAGATTGTAGACTGTCCTGACACATTCCAAGTACTGTTTGCATAGATGGATGGGTTATCCATAAGTTTGCCATAATTTCATTCCTTGCTCTTTGAAATGATTCATTCCATGTACTGGAAAAATCTAACCCCCTGTAAACAAATAAAAAGGTTTTTACAACACTGAAATGAAAAAATAAAAATCATCAAAAAAGGGTAAAATTATACAAATCAAAATAGGAAAACACTTGCAAGAATAGCATTGCATTTATTGTTCCTAATATTTAAAAAATTGTATTATTATTGTCAAACCAACTCCTCAAGTGAAAAAGCAGGAAATGAAACAAATCAAATTCAATAACAATTCAAATCTGGTGCATATATAATAATCAAATCGAATGTACTTTTAAAATATAAATGTATGTTTCTGAGTTCTGATAATAAATCATATACAGTTTTATTACAAAAAAATATTTACGTTGGTTCAGCAGGAGGTGGTCCTGATACTTCATTCTCGAGTCCTTTCACAGATGGTTTCAACAAGACATGTTGTACTAGAATAAAAGTAAGACATATTAGCATTGTATATTGAAAAATAGCAATGTATTTCAAAGCAAAATATTACTCAATTTGTTCTTACCTATTTCAGCTGAAATATTGATATGAGAATACAAAAACAACTATACAAAAATTTTGTATTCAAATAGAGGACCAGTTGATAAACGTTAGAAATTGCCTGTGATAAGGCCACATTGCCATTGTGAAAACTGAAAACTCCAGAAATTTCTCACGGGTCGAAACAAACAATATAATAATATTACGATATATATCCAATGTGGTTTCTCAGTTGCTGAAGAAGCCTGTCTACATAATAAACCCCAAATAGATTAAACATGCAAATTCTATCAATGGTAATCAGCAATGTGATAGCAATGGATAGCCAATGCATGTGAAAACTTAAATCAAAGTAATTTACTAACCCATCGATTTTTTCATGCTTGATTTGAAATCAACTTTGACCTCTCCAAAAAGATCTTCAATATGTTGATGTTGACGAGCCGTTTTCTGTAGGTGAGGTGGTACCTTGGACAACATTGAATTCAACCATATTTGTTGTACTGGTACAACAGAACCAGATTCAACACATTTCTTCATATACATGTACATTTGCTGAAACATTTGGATTTACCGATAATAGTAGAAATTGGCAAATCGATCAATTACTAGTTTTCTACTAAAATTTGAGTTAAATCGTTTTCCAGGTTCATGCTTTATTAAAAATAGCTGATAGCTTCCTATTCCAGGCTACATTGCCACCATTTTAATTCTAGGTAGCAATTTACAAGTGAGATTAGACAGGGGAAAATCAAACAATTCATTGACTAGAATCATCAGATAGAACAACATAGAAATGACTACCAAATCAATAAACAGTAACTCTTATCTTACCCGTGTTTTTCTGGAAGAACTCATCATCTTAAAACAAAAATGAAAACATTAAAAGAAAATATAGTTTTTAAAAATATTCAAAAACTTTTGAACACCCATTTTGAAAACTGCACTGAAGTCATTGATTACGAAATGTGGACATATAATATTCAATATTTGATAGCAATTATTTAGCGCAGCACGATGGCCTAGCGGTTAAAGCGTTAATATAATTCTTTGGGTGAATAAATAAAAATAATTAGGCGTTTTAATATGCATATTAATCATTTCACAAAAAACTAACCGATGTTGGCATTTCCGGTGATATTTTTTTCGGTGGTTTTCTGCGAACTTGATCTGCCATGTCTTCAGCGGCCTTGTGGGCATCATCAATTCTGTAATTTTAGAACGCCTAATAATATAGCATACCAGTCCATGCCAGGTAAGGGATTAGTTACCCAGTTAAGTACTTGTTTCAGATCTGTGGACTTGATGAATGTGGAAGCCGTAATCAACCAGCAGTTAAATTAACCTTCCTACTGGAGCACAGAGTCCAACGCCTATCACACATAATTATCCCCGTTGACAGAATTCAAACTTGCGAACCCTCGCAGAAAAATCATAGGTACTAGGTCGAGTATATTCCCAGCACATAGCACGATGCGTAAACCGCTGATTTATTAATGCGGAACTTAACTTACCAAATAATGTTGTTGTTTTGCAGCACAATGCATTGGCCAATAATAGAAAATATAACTTACATTATATTATTCAAGACATTTTGGTATTCACGGCTTCTTCTGTATGTCATCAATTTACTGGTTTGAAACTGAGGTCCTGACACCAATCCATTTCTTGTTGGAATTGGCGGCAAGCGTGGCTTAGAAACAGCACTATTTCGATTTGTTTTTTTCATTTTGCTGTTAATATTTATTTCAACAACTGTATGGAGTTGGAAGTCAAACAATAAAGAGACTTCAAAATTTACTACATTTTAGGGAAAGATAGTCTTCCCTTGTACATAGCTAAAAATAAATAGTTAAATTAGAGTTTGTTCTATTTTAGTTTTAATGGTGCACAACGGAAGAGATGAGAATATAAAAAAGCAATTTAACAAAAATGACAAAATAGCATAATGTTAGTTTGGCACAATACCAAAGACCTGTGAAAATGCGATAAAATGTGTGTAAAATGGCCAAGATAAAACAACTTCTGAACTTGGAAGAGCAACAATATTTAAATAATATTACATATTTAATGAATGAGGCAAACATGGAAGATTAGAAACTAATCTTTAATGTATTACAGGGTATGCTCAAGTTTGTTGTTTTCAGTAGATACCGAAGTAGTAGTACCGGTAGGCTGTATCCTGGCGATGCCAAGCATTCCTGCATTCTGACAATTATTTTTATATAAGTTTATTGGCTCAAACAACTTTTTTTTTTCTCGATCTATCTCGCTATCAGAATCATTTATTTGACTGCCTATCTTATTCCAATTTGAAACAATAGAACTAAAATATTTCAATAAAGATTAATAAGAAGTATACACTGATATAATCTCACTCTCAAGCAAGTAAGTAATACAGCAACATAGCGAAAGCAAAATCCAGTAGTTGGTGTATTCGTTGCCAGGCGACAGTCATGCCTGAATGATTTCCACTTATATTTTCCACACATCTCAATGATTTTTCCACATTCTGTTGCTCTTTTGGTATTGCATACTTTCTTTCTGAACATTTAATCTATAAATTTAAAATAATTGAACTAAATTTCATATTATTAAATACCGAGAAAAAGAAGCCTAAACTGGCCAAATTAAATATGAGTGTAAAATAGCCAGTAGCTGTCACTAATGAGCTGAGTTGGTCAAGTTCAAAAGCGGAACTTGGTGAAAGTTATGTAATGAATGGTTATGTAAGCTTCAGACCGGCGAGGATGTTGCAGTGTTGATCTGTCACAGTTTTTGTGTTTCCCGTTTTTAGCAACCGTGTGTCTGAGAAAATATAGATGTAGGGCTATGTGAATTCATATTTTCGAAGGGAATTATATGCTGTTGTACCGGTACCGGATACTATAGTTACCGTATCATACATACAGGTAGTGGTGCAGTGGTGGGATTCAATTTTTTTGTCAGTCGGTTGACTCGGTTCCATCACTAAAGTCATATTTGTCACCAGGTTCTGTAACGAAAAGTCATTATAAGTAACCAGTAATCCTAACCGGTTGCTGAGTTCATAAGATTCCGTGAGACGGTTCTATGCATACCAGGTACCGGTACCGTGGACTGGTAGAATTGAACGTTATGCTGTTCTGACGTTAGTATTGATGGGCTATTATGTTAGTTTTGTAGCACTAGTCTAGACTAGGCGGTCTTACTACTTACTGAATACAGCGCGAAACACCGCAAAGAGCGCGAAACAGAGGGAAACAGTGTGAAGCAGAAAAAATTTTTGCAATGAGTTCGGGGCACCTTGTTTTAAGTTGGAGTACCACGGCAGCAAATTAAAAACACAAACCAACGTATGTAGCCAGTAATGCTGTACTGGCAGGTCTGCCCCTGCTGGTGACACATTTTGGGTACCATAATTTAGAACATTTTCCATATGGATATGGTTGGCTTTAGGGTTAGGGTTAGGTAAAAAGGGACCTCCAGAAGTATGTGCACCAAGATGGCGCACAACCTGAAAATAGTGTGTGTGTGTGTGTGTAGCAGATTCAGGTTGTGCGACATATTGTTGCACAATTCTTCTGGAGGCTACTTCTGAAGCACCAAAAAGGTAGATAAAATTCCGCATGATTACCTATAATCCGGTACATAACCTTGTAAATATACCGGAAATAGCGCCATAAAACCATGGCGAGAGGCGCCGTGGTTCTTTCGTGGCAGGAGGTGGTAATGACTGCGTCTCCTGTTTTGCGCTGTTTCCCTCTGTTTTGCGCTGTTTCGCGCTCTTTTGCGCGCTTTGCGGTGTTTCACGCTGTATTCAGTAAGTAGTAAGACCCCTTTGCAATTTAAACTTTTACACAAATAATTCAAGGGCACATTTTACAACTGTAAATTCTGAAATTAATGTACCTAATCAGATTTTTTAATTCTTAAATTTGGCAGTTGAAAGTTAACTGAAAGCTGGAATATAACCCAGCACTGATTACAGGGTTATCAACCTGCCAATAAAAACGTTTGGTTTTAGTCTGGTAGCTAGAGTTACATTTTGGCAATGCAATGGAAGAATTCTCATCGAAAATCGAATCCCTCCGAGAAACAGAATTTAGTCGACTTGTTGATCAGGTATATTTGGATCATGCAGGAAGTGCACTTCATGGAAGTTCACAAATTGAAAGTTATGCACATGCTTTGGAGAACAATTTACTTGGAAATACACACAGCAAAAGCTCATCTAGCGAACTCATGGGTGATATCATTTCCCATGTTCGAAATAAAGTTCTTGAAAGTTTAAATGTCACAGATGATGATTTTGATGTGATTTTTACATCAGGTGCAACTGAAGCACTGAAATTAGTGGGTGAATATTTTGACTGGGGACCTGGATCAACTTTTACATATTTAGAAGACAACCACACATCAGTCGTTGGAATTAGAGAGTTGGCGGCTATGAAAAATGCTTCTTCATACTGTCTTTCTCCTGTAATGAAAGATAGTAATTGCAACATATATGATTTATCGCAATATGATTGCAAGCTCGTAAAGTCTGTGCAAACTGAAGGTGATCAAGTTTGTCAAGATTCTAGCTCCTGCCTTTTCGCATTTCCAGCAATGAGCAATTTCTCTGGTGTGAAATATCCTTTAACCTGGATAAAGGATTTTCAAAATGATAACTTGTCAATGAATCTGAAATTGTCATCTAGTGATTCGCGGTGGTATGTTCTGTGTGATTGTGCAGCATTTTGTTCAACGTCTCCTTTTGACCTTAAACAAAATCCCGCAGATTTCATTACAATTTCATTTTATAAAATATTTGGATTTCCAACTGGTCTTGGTGCTTTATTGATAAAAAAATCGAGTACTAATGTTCTCTGCCATAAAAGATATTTTGGAGGTGGGTCAGTTGCAGGGTGGCTCGCTTCGGATGACTTCTTCTTACCAAAACCTGATGTACACGAAAAAATGGAAGATGGATCTAGTAATTTTTTAGGCATTCTCGCATTAAAACATGGCTTTGATTTTTTTTATCGGCTAGGATTAGATGGAAAGTCCATTCAAATGTATACATTTACACTTTGGCAGAAACTTCATAATGATATGATTCAATTGAAACATTGGAATGAATCTCCTGTTGTGAAGATATATCGATACAGAGATTCAGGGCGAACTGATAGTAGCAAGCAAGGCCCAATTCTGGCTTTCAATGTTATGCGATCAGATGGAAGCTTTGTAGGTTTCAATCATGTGATGCAACTTGCAAATAACTGCAAAATTCATTTGAGAGGCGGATGTTGCTGTAATTTAGGTGCTTGTTCTTCTATGCTTGGTATTTCTCGTGAAGTGATGTTGAAAGCATACCAAGATGGCCATGTTTGTGGTGATAAAATTGACCTTATCATGGGTCAGCCCATTGGCATTGTTCGTATTTCCTTGGGCTATTGTTCAACACAGAAGGATATTGAAAAGTTTATAGAATTTTTGTCTGAAAATTTCGTTGAAAAATCAGTGGATAATCTCAGAAGTGACTTAAACAACTTAAGTCTATCAAGCAAAAATGGTACGATCATTTTGGAGAAAATTGTTGTTTACCCAATAAAGTCTTGTCAGGGAATGGAGGTCAATAGTTGGGAAATATGTGAAACAGGATTGCTATATGATCGCATGTGGATGATAGTAGATGAAAATAATGCCACTGTTACTTTAAAAAAGAATTCAAAGTTGGTTTTGATTTATCCATACATTGATGTTGAAAATTCAAACCTGATTTTAGTTCTGGAAGCAAACGGTTTTGATAGGATACAAGTTCCAATCATTTTGGAAAATCCTAGTCGCACATTACACCCAAACCCATGTTGTGAGACTAAAGTTTGTGGTGACAAAGTTGAGGGGTTCGACTGTGGTAATGATGTATCCAATTGGCTTACAAAAGTCTTGGGCAAAAGGCATCGCCTCTTACAGAAAGATTTTGCGAAACCTAGATTGACAAAATCTGCACAAGAAATTAAAAATGGTGCTCCTCAAATATCTTTAGTAAATTGGGCTCAGTATCTCTTGCTAAATCGTTCCAGCATTGAATATTTGTACAACAAAACTGAAATTGAGACGAACAACTCTCAGGATCAATCTAAGTTAATTGACAGTTTTATGAAGAGATTCCGTGGGAATTTCATAATATCTGGAGCTGATCCATTAGCTGAGGATACATGGAATGACATAGTTGTCCACTCGGAATCGAGAGATATCAGATTCACAAATGGTGATCATTGCAATAGATGTGGTTTGATTTGTGTTGATCCTGAAAATGGAATAAAGCATGGCAACCCTTTGAGGGTCCTTGCTCAACTCAAAACTCCAGATAATACTCGAAGAAAAGCAACATTGGGTGTGTATTTTCAACATGAACTGGCACTGTCATCTAGTACTACTATTTCTACTAATTGCAAAATATCAGTGTTCAAAGCAGTATCATAGATCTAAATATGTAATTGATTTTGATATCCATGTGCAATTAATGGTACAATAATAAATTTTTAATAATTATCAAAGTATTTAATTGAACTTTTATTTTGATTTACAAAATTTCATTTTATGTTTGTTGCTTTAAAACACCCCGAAAATCTGGAAAATATTTTTAAATATACTGTATGGTTGACTGAAAATATTGACTTGAATATTGCAACTTTCTAGTTAATCATTATAAGACAAAGGTACTTTATTTTTTTAAACATATACGGTACCTATGATATTCAGCTCAATCATACTATTTGTACATATCTGATATAGGCTATATTGCTCTGTACTTCTGTTGTGTGGATCTTTTTGTTGCAATCCATTGCATTATAATAATTTTATATTTTGAAATCATGATGCTCTTTATCCTATTATCATCTTCCATTTCATGTGCCAATTTTTGCCTCATATTGTGTTTAATTTTTCATGCAGTAGATTTAATTTTGATTTATTGGAACTTATTCAGAGCCTGATAATTATTAAATTTCGATTAATAATGCCACTCATATGTGAATGGGGAAATATGTTGGGAAAAACACCAGCTGTTGAAATATTGAAGCAGTATAAGTTTATTCTGACTCTATGATCAGCATAATAGACGATAAAAACAAAATAAATACAAGCCGGTAGGCGCCCAGGATCTCGGCTGATACTCAGCCCCGCGTCTGTATCGTGGTGTCCCGATGATCCATTACGTGTTAGTCTCTGTAGCACACTGGTGGTCGCCCGTAACTTCGTTCGGATATAAATATCTTTTACTTCCGAGTGCGCGTGCATGTGTTTTTCGCAGATTTTCCTTGTAGGGAATTGGCGAGAGAGTTTTGCACTAACTGCGGATTATTTGTTGCGTAGCAATGGCGGCATATTTCAGAGATTGCAAACGTGATGCAGAATTCCTAAAAGATTCGGTGGAAGCACTTGCCGACCACCTGGGTGAAAAAGGGTACAACGGCCAGTACGCCATTTTAGCAACGCAACAAGTATCAGCGTCTGCAGCTCATATTACGACTATGATAGAAAAAATGGAGAGCAGTTACAAGCGGAAGAAACGTGTAAATATCGCACGAAACGCTAAAATCGTAATTTTGGAGAGCACTATAACAGACCTCAAAAGTCCTACCAAAAAAGTGAATTGGACGAGGCTGGTTCATCGCAATCAGAGTTTTCCGAGACTCGGGATAGTCAGGACATCATGGCTGAGTTGAAGAAGTCGTTCCAGAAAGCAGGAATATGTGGAATGAATGACAATCCTGGGCGTTATTCGGCTTTTGAGCTTTGCTCCGAATCGGCGATGATGCGACCTGCATAGCGAACAGCAATTGAATCTGTTAGCTTTTGTTTACTGGACAGTTTATTTTCGTTTCGCAGTTCGATGTCATTGGGGTTACATAACCAGGGTTGCCAAATTGGCTTTTTTAACGCCAAATTTGCCATTTTTGGCTTTTTTCAAATGCGTTTGACGTCAGAATTTCCGTTTGGCTTTTTGGCGTTTTTTTGGCTTTTTTCAAGTCTATTCTAGTGTCTATTATTAAAATCATATGAAATACAATATTTAGTGTGTAACAACTGAACAATAGCCTATTACCTGTACTTAGCTACTTAACCCTTTCCGTGCGGTGGGCACGTATACGTACCAACGACAAAAGTCGCTAGATTGCGGCGGGTACGTTGATGTACTCTACTGTTTTATTTAGCAATCGGTCGCAAACTGTTGGTCTAGTTTTTCCGGGTTTTTGTTTATTGATAAGAAGTCTTCTTCGAGATTAACATAAGCGACGGTAAATCTCGCTTTCGTTTACGACGAAAATTTTATTTGACGCTTTTTTAACGCCAAATTTGCCATTTTTGGCTTTTTTCAAAGGCGTTTGGCGTCAGAATTTCCGTTTGGCTTTTTTCAAGTCTATTCTAGTGTCTATTATTAAAATCATATTAAATACAATATTTAGTGTTCAACAACTGAACAATAGCCTATTACCTGTACTTAGCATCAGGCTTTCCTGGAGCATCGATTCCCTTGTTTGTTAAATTAACTCTTAACCATACCCAATAACAAATAAGGGCAGTTTCTGCAGCTGCTCAGACAGATGTTCAAGCAGGGTTGTAAACATTGCCAGTTTGTCAGTTTACGTTCTGCTTACAAAAAATAGTTGTATAACTCAATTTTCATTATGCCTGATATAGTTTATGTGAGCTTTCAGCTTTGGTTTAATTCTGCAATTGCAGTAATGATGTGATTAACTACGCTAAAATTACTGAATTAGATATCAGTGGTTTAAGGTGTAGCACAAGTTTAAGTAGAAACATATTGTAGGTATATTACATACTGCAGTACTGACAGACTGAAGCGGCACTCTGTATTGTATATATTGAATGGCAAAATAATGCTGCCCGCTTGATATTTATTTTACTTTCTATTTGTGTGCCTCACTGAATGAACTGATGGCTCTACATCATCATCAGTACGCTGCCAAGGGCTTAAAATCTGACAAATCATGGCGCTTTTGTACTTATTAAAATTGTTGGCTTTTTTATGTCTTGATTTGGCTTTTTTTGATCGCTGGGGTCTGGTAACCCTGTACATAACCGAAGTTAACATTTCATTCACCACATAAAGACATTTCATTCATTACATGAAGTATAGTGTAAGAGGTAGTATATGCACAGCATGCTTGTTTTTTCGTGTACGATGTTCTTGACAGAGAGAAGTAGGTAACGCCTGTACGAGTTTTGAAAGTATGCAATACGACCTTTGTGCTTTCTCTGTACTTTTCTAGAAATGCGTGTTTTTTAACAAAGGTTTAGACGTCAGGTACAATTGTGTGGAGTTATTCAGTCTTGGTATGTGGTATCATTTCGAACATAAATTGCCATTCTCATGGTATTTGCCTCATGATTCAGTTGATGCCAAATTGACAAGCCATCCATCCACAACTGGATTGTCATCATCGTTACTGAGCTTGGTTTCAGCCAAAGTGACTATAACACTTATAGTCACTTTGGTTTCAGCCAAGCAGATAATGTCAGCATTTTTTAAATTAAGGTCGCTATTAAGGTCAGTCAAGTGATAAGCACGCTTAAAATCATTATTTTGAGTTGATTGTTATACATGCACAATGGTTGCTTATAGAATGTATAGGGCGCATTATGTCGAGGTCGAACGAGCTCGTCCCGAACGACCGTGCTGATCGTTATCATCGACCGATTAAACGACTCGAGGTACAAATTTGATAACCTTTTGACTCGCGTGATGGCAACGTAGAAGCAACCGGGTGGTGCAGACTTTCTATTGCTTAATGATAGAAAATCAATGATTACCTCCTCTAGTGTCAGTCCCTGGGCCTTGTGAGTAGTTATGGCATATGCGACCACAACGGGGGATTGTGAGCGCTGTTTTCGAACTCCAGCTTCCTCGTATACCAAGTCTGAATGTAGTTTTCGAGCGTATAATTTATAGGCACCCTCCTATCTGGCCTTTCGTTCCATATTTCATTCTCTAGAATGATCATAGTTATTCTCATTTGGACATTCGTTTACCCGACTGAACAGCATGCTTTCATCACTAGCATTCAAAGTATCCATGGCTACATTATCGCAAAAGTGGGAAAACTCGACATTCTCGATTTGTCTCATTTTTTCTGTAAGCTCAAATAGCTTGAAGTGAAGTTTTCATTTATTGGGAGCAGTAAAGTCAATTCTCGGAGGGCGTCTGTTGTTCGCGAAAATCCACGAGTCTTTGACTGGTGGAAGTTGTGAGAAATCACCAGTAACTATCAATGATAATCCAGCGAATGGCATATCTTCACGTCCGAGTATTTGTTTCAATCGGGTATGAATCTGATGTAGCTCTTTGCTCCCGACCATAGATATTTCATTAATGAATACAACTTTGACATTTTCATACTCATAGGCAGAAGTTGCATTGCTGGAGAAAACTTGAAAAGTTTCCGAGTCATCATCGCGAGAAAATTTTAAACCGCTTTCAATAGTTTGACCACCTATAATTCTTGCAGAAGCAGCAGTAGGAGAGAGGACTAAAACCGTCGGTTTGGGTGCATTATCTCCAGATTTCACCAATAGCAAACGTGACGCCTCAATCATGGTATATAAGAAAAGATTTTCCTGTGCCCGCTTTCCCACCGATGTATAAGTGAAATGGGATTGCGTCCTCAGTAGGATAATGCTGATTCGCTATTCTTTTTATGGCATCGTCAAATATAAGTCTTTGACTTTTATTAGGTTTTCGGATCATTTTACATTTAACAATACGCTTTGCAAATAAGGGTCATCTCGTTCTGAAGGAATACTAGCCAGCTTTACGAAGTGTTGCGACTCTTTCTCAGTTTCAGTGGATGCTTTCTCAATTTCTTGATCCTCAAAAAGCATGTCATCTGGATCACCATTTTGATGAGTTTCAATGTCTTCCATAGCTTGATCAATCGTTAGAAGCATTTTTTGTAAGGTTCAAATCATTTATTCATCTTTTTAACTTGTTCTTTATACGCGTCAAAAACTTCATCAATAGTTCTACCTTTCACCTCGTGAATTTCTTTCATCTCATCGTTGAAAGGATTGAACAACACAATGAGAGAACGTTCAACTTCCGTATCGTTGTGTTTGTTCAAATAATAACGCACCGTTGAATGTTGAGTATTTTTTCCTGAATCGCCTTTTCTGATTCTTCACGTATCCACTCAGCCAAACACAGATCTTCAAGATCATCTGGTCTATTCACATGGTAGTCAATCTTGCTGTTCTGGAATGGATTTTCATCATCGTCCAGTCAGCAATATTATCTTCCATGATTCCATCACGCGCGGAAGGATTGGATGTTTGAATAAATTCGTGTGTCCTAGTGCTACACACGAAATGAAGATCAAGCATTCTGTAAACGACCTCACTTCGAGAGACCTCACGGCTATTTTCAAGTGAAAGACTGAACAATTTTAGTTTTTCACCAGGTGTTCGACCGTATTTTGCAGATTCCACTTCTATTTGATGCAACAACCTGCTTAATCCTGATTCATTCTTTGTAATGTACCCCAACACATACACAACGCATGCAAACTCATCCAGCACAAATGATATATCCACATTAGCTTGATGTATTTCCAGAATGTTCTTGTTGTAATTGTTGGTCCACAAATCACAACAGTCACGCTTCAAAAACACCTGCGACCCACACTTGTTATCAGCGAGGGATGCCCGAAGAGCATTATAATATGCTTCTTCCGTTAGGCCTACTGCATGAAGAAATTCATTAAACCATAGGGTCAGGAACTCTTGATTACATCGAGTATCTCGATCAGAATGTGTTTAACGCAAGATAAATTTTCTAAGCATGAAATATTCACTCTTCCATAATTTGCGATCTCCTGGTTTAACATTCTCATTTGGTGCATCAAAGATCATTGTTCGAGGCATTTAAAAGTGGGGAAATTTGAATCTACACGTGTTCTAATGGAATTCCCGTCCTTCTATTGTTCCATCGTTAACACTATGGCCTTCACTAGAATTAATAGTAATTTTACAACTCTTCTTGCGACATGTGAAAGTGTGATTATGTCTTTGAAAGGTAGACACTGTGTCCAGAATATCAGAATCCATATGGGAAAGCGTCCCAGCGATCACAGAATCGATAAAAGATTCACAAGCAGGTCGGCCGGGACTCTTTCGAATCATACCGAGGTGGACTTTTGTCATTTTCATCCCGCAGCCACAGTAAAGAATGGACATGTGGCGCACCTCGCATTTGAAACTCGATTCGGAAGAAATAGTCAGAAACTTTGTATTTGCCCAACAGACCTGGTTTTTGCAAGTGTCTAAAAATAACTTTCATTCTATTGCTGAAATGTTGTGTAACGTCAGTAATGTTACGAGTATCTTATTGATTTCGAATATATCCAAATTACTTACAGTTTCATCTGATACAATTTGATTGCGTTTTTTTTTTGCAGAAGCATCTTAATGAAATCATTCCAATATGACTCCGCACAGATCAGTGTGAAGAACAAATTTGGAAATCTCAACTGCCGAATCATGGTCATGATTTTCAATTTTGCGCTCTGGAAATACGGCGTGGTTCCCCGTAAATTTTTGAATACTTCATATCCGAGATCTGTTCGCTCAATTTCTTGCTTATCAACATTTTAGAAAAATTGAGCTGTAAATCTGCCTTTACCAATTTTGGATTTGCGGAAAAAAGTTGCACACGATCGCGTAATCTCTATTTGTTCTTTATCATTGAATAAAAAGAACATATATGTAGAGTCACGTCCATATCTGCAATCATTACTTAGAATCCGTTGTTTTACGTAGTTCGCAATCCAACACCCATTTCCGATACGTATCCAACACCCATGATACGTAGACAAATAACCTTCAGTACCACTCGGAAACAAATGTGGGAAGCATTTCTCTTCAAGATATTCACATTCTTCCCAATCTGTAAATTTGCTACCAGCGGTACGGATAACAGTAACAAATGGCATCTTGTTCATATGAGCATTCAATTGGTTCGGACTGGTAGTTTGTTCCTTGAGAATGATGGCTGATGCAAGCCTATCCGTAACATGGCATGTGCTTTCCGTCTTGGTAAGAGGATCAATATCTGTATCAGCAATGCATTCTGTGAGATATTCCGGCAAGTCATACTCATCGTCATGGCCATTTTTGTCATTATTTTCAGGAATTAAAGTTATACTCTCATTGTCGCCAAGCATTTCGCTACAACCAATTATGGTATGTTCTTCATTGTAATGAACAATATTTTCCATTGCAATATTAAGTTCAGTACCAGCTTTGGCAACAACACAAGATTTACTAGTTTTCCACTCATCTTGATCTTCAATGGATTTTAGCGTAATTGATAAAAATTGGTCAAATTTCGTAATATCAAAGTGAACATCTCAAAATGGTGGGTTGTTTTGTTTGAAAAAATGAAAGTATGCTAAAACCTTATGTTTCGATACTACTTCTTCAATAAAATTGCTGCGATACTCAGGACGCCGTTTTAAAGCTATGGGTATCAAATTCTGATCAACTGGTAATATTGTTTCGATACTTGGCCCAATTTCAGCTTCAACACATATCATAGATCCGATGACCCGAAATTTCCTGGATCTGGGAATATGGGCAACTCTTATGAAGGAAATGACCAGCTTCAATAAGTGGGCTTCACATCGATTCAATCTCATATCTGGAGTTGTGAGTTGCGCTGGTAAATGGCCGAGTTGAAACTTGTAATGCTTTTCATTACACGATGGAATACAACCAGCATAGATGGTCCGGCAGCAGTGGTGGCAAATATACCAATGGCTTTCATATGATTTGTACTCATCTGTACAGTGATAATACACAGAATAATATCGTTTTGACGAAACCATAATGCGCGACCGTAAAACGACGGTGCTGCTTTTTTGTGGAAGAAATTTCGCATGAAAAATTTTTCTCAAACGTAATGCGACCCATGTAAAGGGGGCGTGGGGCATTGTATTCATTAATATAGGGTGGGATTGACATATTTACCCAGGTGGAGAGGAAAGCCGATTCCCTGCTATTGTTCGAATTTTTGTCTTCGTTTTTAATATTCAAGATATTCCAGACTGACAAAGTAAATTTAAATAGATTGTGAGAAGCCGTGGTTCGCCATACATTTAGGCCTTTTTATCGTCTTTGCTTCCCCCGGGATAGATATGTACCTAAATCCCATGCTCTAATCAGAAATAACCGCATTTGACTTCATATTCTGTGCTATAACTACGTTTTCTGCCTAATGGATATGCATTCCCAATAAGCATATGCTCATAGTTAGTATGTTTTCAACGTACCATACTTCGAAACCCAAAACCGAACACGAATTGAAAAATTGCAAGTCTCAATACGGGCAATTTCGCACCCAACGCGGCGGAAGCAAGGGATTTTTGCAGCGAGAGATATGCTTTCTCCATATGCAACGAACCATTTAGCTGGACGACGTAAAAAATGCAGGGCACAATGGATTAATGAGCAAGTATTTGGAAGTTTCTACTCATTGTATATATGCTCATTGAATAGACTTAACTAAGCCAAACAGAAATTCTGACGTCAAACGTGTTTGAAAAATCCAGAAACGGTAAATTTGGCGTTAAAAAAAACAATATGGCAACCCTTTCATGCAACGTAATGTTGGTCTTTCCTGCTTTTGTCTTCCGTGAAGTCTTGACATACCTGTATTCCGTAAACACTGAAAAAGAAATTGAACATCCTTAGTATGACATATTTCTTGGCAATAGCGCATAGATCATGAAAAACCTTCACTTAAATGGTTCAAGTGGAAAGCCATTTCGTTGCGTGTTTCACATGTGATGAATAAATGTTTGTTGATGAATAAATAACTCCCAATTACAAAATACTACTCTTAGGACACGGACAAACCCTACGATACTCGTGCAAGAGGATCGTCTGTCGTTAAAATGCATTTTTTGCTTCCCACATTTGCAATGAGTTTCAATTTTTCGACAAATTACCCATTTTTAAATTACTTGAACCTACCGCTTATTATTGACTGCGTCTAGAACAGAATCTGGCATAGGATACCCTCTTGTTTCTGGGATGAAACGCAGAAATAAATATCCGCCCAGTAGTGCCATCCCGCCCATCGCCAACATTGGTAGATTCTGTTCACCGGCTGCCTGGCCTGGAATGAAGTACATTTTCCTTAAGTAAATAAATGACTCAAAAGAAACTGTTCAACCTTAACTTAATGAGCAGCCAACTTGTGACGACATAATGTGTCATACAATATTTTATACCATGTATCATTTAAGTTTGTCCTTTCAAAAAAGTAATTTCCAGTGCAAATATCTTAAAAAAAATTATTAGAACTTTTCCAGATTCAATAGCTCAAACGAGAATCTGCATATCATGTTACAAAATACAGCAACCTCCTTCGCAGACTAGAAGGTGAAGTATCATTGTTCAATAATTCTCACCTGCGAAGAACAGAAAAGGCATAACAATTCCTCCTAATCTTGCACTGGCCGAGGCTAAACCTAGTGATGTACTTCGTACAAGAGTAGGTGTTATCTCTCCAATCACCACATACATCATAAAAAATGCGCCAGTAATTGCGAATTTTCCAAGCAAAACAAAGGCATTTGCTAAAATCGGCTGATCTAAAAATAATGAGCAAAAAGGCTCGTTACAGCATTATTATATATTTTCCACACATACTCGTCCAATTCATATACAGTATACGCCTCGCAACAAAGACCGATACCCCCATAGGGTTTTCAACTACGTTGGACTATGTGCCCGAACTGAAAGATCTTACTTCTTTCGAAAAACATAATAGCTACATAGAAAAAACGGCCTAGGTTGAATTTTAAAAATGATTAATAATACAAACTCTCCCCTAAAAATAAGACCGATAGCGCGACCTATTTGATAGCAATTCAACGGCATTATGAGGATGATATGGTCACATCCTCCCAAAATAAGCCCTAGTGTTATTTTTCGAAAGAAATTGAATTAAGAGCCTGTCTTATTTCTGGGGAAACACGGTATGAGTTGTAACATGATCAGAGTTTTTTCGTGACGAAGTAGAAAACACACCAAGACGAACAATCATAAGTATGGTAATGTCATGCTTACTTTCTTTAGTAAATGGTACAACAGTGCAAGAAGTCCCACCAACGATAAGAAACAAAAAACATATTCTTGATCTCCCGTAACGTTGAATTAGGAAATAAGTTGACAGAATCGCGGGAATTTCCACCAATCCAGATAGAAAAATATTGAGGAGCCGATTCCCACTGAGTTGTGAAGGATTGAGTGAAATTCCAAAATAAATCGTTGCAGAGATGAAACTAAAATAAGTTAACATATACGTTTAATTCGAAAATACAATTGAAATGAGGTGAAACGACACATTGTAACGATATAGTGTGAGCTTTGATCCCGAACTGTCTTTTTTTGTATTTTGACCTTGGTCCGAAAATGGCCAAATAAGCAAAATGCCACCGCTCGAATATAAATTTTATTTGAGTTTATTTATTTTAGACTACCTGTTAGATTTGACCTCGCACGCCTCACACTGTATGCCATTTATATGTCTCTATTATATAAACAATCCCAGACAAATTATGTTCCATCTTTATTATCTTAATTTTCTGTTGACTGTGACTTATTATTGCGCCACAGTGAAGACTTATGTAGTGAAACTTTATCTCCGGGTTTTGAGATAAAATGCTTCTGAATCCTTATTCTATACGGCAGGGGTCCGCAACTACGGGGTGACGACCCAAATTTGGGTCGCGAAGCCCTCCGCACTGGGTCGCAAAACAATTTAAATTTTCCATAAATATGAGCATCGCGTCTGCGTAGCGTATTTATGTATAACAACTTTATAAATCTCTGATTATAATCATGAAATTTTCCCCCGAGTGTACACTTCCTTATTTACTGCCGTAACATTGGCCAATCAGCATAAGTGCAAAATTTGAAGTAACAATCAACGTTTCAGAAGCGCTCATCAGTCTTTCGTGGTTGTGAACATTACCTCGTTTTGGCGGTTTCCGCGTGTTGTTTGTTAGTTTTTAGTTGTGTTTTGGTAAATATAAGTCCTAATCAAATAACTCAATAATCATTTTGCTGTGTTGAAGTTTTATTTTAAATGCATTAATCAAAAAAAATTAATCTAGAAATAGATGTGATAGACTAGGCCAAACTTTTCTACCGGCACATTTAAATGAATGGTTGTTGAATGTATTGAATTAAAATGATTAAAATGATGAGATTTGTCCATTCTAAATTAAATAGTTAGGGTGCTGTTACATTTGTTATTGTCAGATATTTTTGGTTAAATTCAAAATTTAGCGGGGTTGGGAATTTTAAAGGTAGTTTTAGCCACAAATAATGTTGACAAACTGGTTACTGAAGAATACTCCAAAAAAGCAGCTAGCGGAGAATACAACGGAGAAGGTTAGTGAGAACAGAACACCGCATGCACCTTCAAACATCCTTGCGTCTTCAAGCAGTGGGGATCAACGCCCAACAAAAAACTCATCTCCTCACCCTCATCGAATAGAAATACATCACTCAAACCATCCTTATAAGCGGAGGTACAGCGAAGAATTTATAAAGCTCGGTTTCACGTGTATTTTTATAAATGATGAGTCACGTCCTCAATGTGTTGTTTGTTCCGGTGTTCTTACCAACGAGAGCCTGAAAGCAGTGAGATTGAAACGCCATCTTACAGCGAAGCATCCAGAATTCATTGACAAACCAATACATTTTTCCGCCGATCAGAAAAATAATTGTCAGGCGAAAAGAAAACAATGACAAAGTATCTCACAATCTTAGAAAAATCTCAAAAGGCATTGTATGAAGTGGCATATTTAATCGCAAAAGATAAAAAAAAAAACACACACACCATTGAAGAAACACTAATCAAAACTATTGCAATTAGTCAAAGTATGAAAGGAGTCAAGGTAACTAAGGGAATGAAAGAAATACCAATGTATGTAGATACCATTCGCCGACGTATCAGCGAAATGGGGCAAGATATTAGGTGCCAACTGAGTGATAGAGTCAAATGAGGAAATTACGCTTTGCAATTGGATGAATCCACGGATACGTCTGGTTTAGCGCAGTTGATTGTGTTCATTAGGTATATAGCCAATGGGAAGTTTGAAAAGGAGTTACTCATGTGCGTGGCGCTTTCTTGAACATGCACTGGTAAAGACATATTCTCAACAGTGGCGACGAGACTACAGAATGATGGATTATCATGGGAGCGGTGTATTAGCATTTGTACTGATGGGGCTGAGGCCATGACGGGAAAACAAAGGTTTTTTAGCAAGAGTATTAGAAATTGCGCCTCATATTAATTTTACGCATCGCATTCTTCATAAGGAAAATCTGACTAGCAAAACATTGGACAACAATTAGAATTAAAGATCGCATTTGATGGAAAAAGAAGTTTGGCTGAATTTTCGATTTCAGCTGCAAAAGAATATCCGGAGTTATCAGCTGCTGCAATGAATGCTCTGTTGCCATTTAGAACTACCTACTTATGTGAAAAGATTTTTCCTGCGTTTTCATACATAAAAAACAAATAAAGATCAAGGCTAAAAGTAGAAGATGATCTTCGAATTGCTGTCTCCCAAATTGAACCTCGAATTGATAAGTTGTGTTCAAAACACAACGCTAATAATTCGCATTAGTCATAATAAACGCTATTATTCACGAATTTATGTGATAAGTTTCATATAATTTTGTGCAAGAAAATTGCTAGTGTCAATAATAGTCTTAACTTTACCTAATAAAGAGTAAAGAGGCATTGTATATGCCTTTTTAGCCATTTTCAATACTTTATAATATTATATATTACTTTATTAATATATGAAAGAAATCAAGATTTCATAATTATAAATAAATTATTAATAAAAAATATTAAAATCATAACTAATTACATGTTTACCAAATGCTTGGGTCGCGAAAAATTAGAAAAAAAAATTTGGGTCGCGCTAAAAAGTAGTTGCGGACCTCTGCTATACGGCACTGTGGAATTGTGTGAGTGTCGTTTAATATTGAGATTTGTCTTGGATTTAGTTTAGCATAGGGGTGCGCGTTTCGTGAAATATGCCATATAAATTTCGCTTAATGAGGCCGTATTTAGTATTGATGGCTATCATTGTGAATGTTATCTTATCATTCTGCCATTGCTTATTTATTTATAGTGCATCCGTGTCGTTATAAATTAGTTTTATCGTTGGTCTTCAAGTTTCTGTGCTGTAGCAGCATTTTACTCATATGTGGAGATTGATGAATACAGTTCGTTTTCTAAGGATCTCGTTGCCTCTTTACTATTTTAGTTTTGCAGTTACTAGAAGCTTAGAGAATGCGCATAATTCTTCAAGACGGGTGCGGGTGAAAATATAACTCCACTACAACAACGTTGAGTGGATTGGAATTCACGTTCCAACTTTACACTACCAATAAAATATACGAACCCTGTGAGATACATAACACAACTTCGTACACGCAATGTAGGATTCTTCATCATATGCAGATAACTGGCTTCTTTTTCAAGGTCAAAATTATCTAATGATACTTTTTTTTCTTCTATCTCCTGAACAATGGCATTAGATGATAGATGAAAATCTCGTTTATAAGAAATATCTCTGAAGCAATATACAAGAATACATCCCAACACGAATACCTCTTTTGTTGACAAATTTTGAAACACTTTTTCGACATCAGCATTTTTCCCGTTAACACTGGCAATTTTCTTTGTCAAAATTTTGGCTTCTTCGATTCTCCCACTGACTATCAGCCAACGTAGAGACTCAGGCAACAACCTGAAACATTTTGCTGTATTTAATGTGGTTTGTTTGATACATTGGTTTTTGGCACAAAGTAGTGTTTGAGTTTGCTTGTCTTATATAACGTCGCTAGTAGTTATACCCAGCAAAACTATCACCTAACGAGCCAGCATTAGAACATAGGTGTATATACAGGGTGTCCAAAAAGTTCCGCCCGATTTCATATAGCAATACCAATCGCAAATTTGAATAAATTTTTTTGTATGATAAATGGAGACTATTACATCCAACATCTATAACATCTAATTGGATACAGGCTGGCTATATGGGATTCTAAAGACTTTATAATCGGGCCAAACTTTTTGGACACCCTGTATATCCACAGACACGGAATTTGCTAGTCAGTAGGGCTGGGCACTTCGAATCGAATAGTAAATTATTTGCAAATTTTGAATCGCCGCCATCTTGTTTTCCTTTCTTCCGCCAATTGTCGAGGTGAATACCTCAAATTTTTTTAATCGAAGCCATATTTTTTCGACGCAATTCTGACATATGACTATTTTCTACAGTCAGGTATTGATAAAACTTGTTTCTTATTGTGTGTGAACGCTCAGCAATCTGTCTTAGTGATGTTTTCGGTAATTCATTTGTTGACAGGACCAAGTACAATAAAAAGCCGCATACAATTATATATATATCTCCCAAGTATTCGAGATTCGATTCGAAAAAAATATTCGATTTTGAAATTATCAGGTATTCGAAAATGCCCAAGCCTTAGTAGTCAGTACCAGTATGTTGGAGCTGAATTCCCCACGTTAGCGGTCAAGGTGGGGGTGGCTGTCGGAATATGGAGTGTTCTTTTTTAATCGAAACAGTGGTATTTTAAGTTGAATATCAGGTCCCATGAGACGCGGAAAATATTTAAAAATAAAACATAAAAATAATAGCCTTCAAGCGCCTTTTTCCATCTTTAAGTATATACTAAAAATTTAAAATTGATTGTTTCATTAGTTGAGAATTTTTCCGAACAACAACAAAAATTTAACAAAACAGTGAATATGTTCAGTTCGTGTCGAATACAATCACGTCATTATATTAAACCTACCATATCAATGGGATGTATAAAATACCGACACAGCTAGTTGCCCACAAGTACCATCGCCAGTAGGGGAACAAGTATCCAAAAATTGGAGATATCATATATCCAACTGAATAGGCAATGCTGCACATAGCTCCGATCTCAGTTTTACGTTTTTCACCCAAAAATTCTGTAGCTGTGATATTGTAAAATATGATGGTATATTACAGATCAAACTTTGACATGAATTATTTTTTGGGGTACAGCGGTAAAGATTTTAGTATAAATAGACTTCCATTCACTTAAACGTGGAATTCTTCCACCGTTTTACATTTGTGTTGTTTTCAGCCAAGACCCTAACGAGTGATGAGTCGATGCAGCGCCCCTGGTTTCTGTACCCTATGCCACACAAATGACGGATATAAATGCAGGATGTTGGGTCTTTTCAATCCAGCGTTCAAAGATTTGCTTCGAATCACATGAATTTATCACATTTTATCAACATATATATATCATCTTTCAAATATACGGTAAAAACATTCTATGTCTATTTCAAAGTGTAAGTTCCACAAGAGACTTACCCAAAACAAACGTGCAAACATATCTGATTATTCCAGTAAATCCAGAAAGAAAAACAAAGACGGCGTAGGATATGTAATTCCATGAACAACCAACTACGCCGACCATTACAAATTGCAAGAATGAGAATACAAGAATTATGGGACGACGTCCGAATCTAGAGTATTATAAATCAATATTAGAATACAAGTGAAGAGTGTATTAGAAAACAAAATGATCTTATCTAATATATTTTATTGGTTGAGGGCGACACATATATGATAAACAATACAATTTTATTTCGAACTTTCGTCTTCTCTGTAACACAGAACATGGAAAATGAACAACACAGACTAAGTCGATGGGAAGATTGTGAAATACGCAAAACCTAGAGAAAAGTTTACCGCAAGTGAATTGACCAAAACATGTGGCCATTCACACAAACGGTAGAACGCGTTACACATCTCACATCGGCGAATAAAGTCATAAACGGCATATATAAACACGGGAATATATCATTCACATGGAGCTTACTTGTAAATAACTTTGATGAATGTGGCATTATCGAAATTGAACGATATGAATTGCACTTTCTCAAACTTGACACCCATTTGGGCCAATTTTATTGCCAAAATATCATATCATCACGTAACCCTAAATACCCCCCCCCCCCCCCCCCCCCCCATTTAAATTATCTGTTCCATCTCACTTCTAAGTTGTATTTTGACTCAAGTTACACAAGCTAATCTTTGTTGGTAGGCTATTGTTTTGTCATTGTGGCAGTTAATTTGCTGTTACGTATGCGCCTGAATGCGCGTAGTAATCGGTAAAGTTTTAATATCATTTCAACCAAACATTCGAATTCACCAATCTAAGTGCCCGGTATAAAAAAATTTTACCCCTAAATCAAAACAAAAATATGGACACATGTCAAAATAAGGATGTTTCTTAGAAATAAGGACGTTATGGCAGCCCTGATTATAGGTAATGTTATATTAAGATGCTAAATACTAACCTGTCTGCCAAGTTTGAAAAAAATTGTGCTAATAAAAGTCCGGCCATATATAGTGAAGCTGTTATCGGAACTTTCCACCCGTTTTCACAGACCAGACCAAACTGAAAAATAAAGATATAAATAAATATCAGACACACAGAATTATAAAGTACTCATGAAGTTTAAATCACTACATATTTCTATGGAATTTAGCAATGTTAATAATTAATGTGAAACTGCAGTTTGTTTGAAGATTTGTCTGAAAAGAGCTTTGGATACAAATTCTAACTACGTTTAACCCGATAACACTCTGAAGTTTTCAGTTTTTGCCATAGCAACATACATTGTATTTCGTAAAATATGAAAATCTACAAACCAATTAAGCAAGAAAATCAGAGGTACAAAGTGCTAACTAACTAGTTATTGATACCTCTGCAATGACGGTATTATCGTCTTCATATATCCGTTCAGCTTTGCATAGAACTGTATTGTTTTCATGAAGTACGCCGCATTGATTGAAAGTGTTCTGTTCTTGAAAAAAGCTCTGATTCAAGGACATAGGATGTGAAATGTCCTGCAAAAAATGTTCATTTATATGTGCTTTCGATTCCGTTTTCAAAAATATTCAAACTATAGAATTGTATATATTAATTCTTATAATCGTCGGTAAATTCTATGTAATTGAACGTTTCATTTGCACACCGTCTGAGTTCAATGTATACTTATTCGTGAACACGCCTCGATATTTATTTGATAGGAATTTTTATATCGAAAATTAGCCCGTGTTTCTTTCGGCTGCTTCGCTAAATATATAATGTGTTTTCAGCAGTCGTTCACAACACTCCCACAGTCTAAATTGGAATGCGGGCTGAATAATATCCATGAAAACCTAACTACTCACCTGAGAACCATTTCCAATATCCCTGGTAGAACAATAAAACCTCGTTGGGTACTGGGTATAAGCAAACATCAATAATGGCAATGCATTTGGAACCAGTGAAAGTAGCAGTAACACGGATACTCGTTTCTGATATTTTCCAAATGAACCAATGTCCTCAAGAAGATCTTGATAATCCATTTATCCGAAGTTTATTTTAAAATATTTTGGTGTAAAGTTGCTCTGGTTATGAGAAAAAGGGCGCGCGTAAAATTAATTTGATTCAATTTTCAACTTAAAGATTCCAAAAAGTCGTTTAGTGACGACAGAATCAACGTTGTTCAGTCTATAAACTGTCAGGAGATTAGCCACAGCCTTTCGTCCAAATTATCAGTGTCGATTTGCTATGCAATTAACCAACTATTCAACGTTCCAATGCTTAGGCGAAAGTAATATGTTGGTAATATGGACTGCTCTTCGGCGACGACGAATTCAGTAAGATCGCGACATTCTCTCCAATATTCATCTCCAAACGTTTCAATCTGAGAAACACACGCTTAGCAATAATGACCGTTTTATGGCAATGAGTTCATAGCTATGGGTCAACACTCAAGCAAAAAGGCGGTACAAATGCACTAATCTGTATGGCTAACGCATTTAACAACACCACAGAAAGTAATTACATTGCACGCAATTCCTTACTAACAACATCGGATTTGAATTTTGATAAAAATTCTACAGCTTCGTTATGCCAGTGCGAGCCTCCTTCATTTGATACGGTACTATATACTCCATATCGCACTTTCAAGTAATTGCTTGTGGCGCCTGATTATTTTATTTGTGAAATTAACCTAACAATGCCGGTAATTTTTGGAAGACTTCATCCAACAATCCAAGGGCCTAATTTAGATATTTTCTACACATTATAATGGCAAGAATTACTTTAGTGTCGGCTCATTTGTTAAATATATTTAATATTACCTATCGATCATAGTGCCAGTTGAAGTATGTTTTCTAAGTGAAGTCATAGTTCTGGAATTCATGAAATGAAAAATATCAAAATTTAATAAGGCGTCATTTGACTGATCCATCATCACAGTTGTTATATATGAATTGAAAGCAATTAATCCAATTGTTGATAATATTTGTTTTCTGTTCCGAATTTCGTGTTAGATTTTGCGAACTATATTCTCAGTCTCAAACATGAATTTTCAACAAGCTTGGAGGCATGGTCTGTATATAGCTCACCGACGCTAAGTAAGAATGAAGGAGTTGCGTACAGGCTTAATTTTAACAAGAAACGTTTCGTAAGCAACCTGAATCAGCGGATTTTTATACAATCTTGTTGCTGAACTTTCATTAATTAAATTTAAGCTACTCTAGTATTGCGCTCACTTATAATTCACCAAACAATATCTTATATCGATAGATATGAATTATATAGTTAGAAAAGTTATAATCGGAAAAAGAACTTCCTTCCATCTGCGTGACTCGGAAGTATAAACAAATCTATACTATAAACTGGGTGATGTTCACGAGACACGCTGACACGAGAAGCATGAATCATCTTCACAGAACCTGTGAATATATTCTCATCCACATAAAACAGGAAAGACATGACAGCAGACAAATCAATCGATTTTGTCTAAATCTAGTCTAGAGCAGGGGTCGGGAACCTTTTTGGTCAAGAGAGCCATAAAATATACATATTCTCAATTGCATTTCCGTGCGAGCCATATAACATTTCTTCAATTAATCAGACCTGAAATGTTTACTCGAAAGTCAACACATACAATGTCAATATACATTTAATGTGATTTCTGATGCTGCATGTAGTCGCTGCGGGCCTTGAACGGTTGCTCACTTGCAGCCCAAGTTGAAATCTACGATACTCATCACCCTTTTTCGTTTAGGTTACTCCGTAGTGTTTTTAAAACTATATCGCTTTGTGATGTCACAATATATGTTCCAGAATCCCCTTGTTTGTCACAATGCCTGTCTAGTAAATATCTTACATAACATAGACATGTGCTGGGCGCGCGTTCTCAAACGTATTGGGAATTTCCTGCCAAATTTGGCTATAAAAGAGTTTGAAATCTCGAAACAATAGTAAGCCTAGTCTTAGAATATTAGATTTTTCTGGGAGCCATATGCCGTCACTAAAAGAGCCATATATGGCTCGCGAGCCATGGGTTCCCGACCCCTGGTCTAGAGTCTAGAACATGACAGATTTGACTGTTTGGAAATGAATCTTGGCGATTTCTAACTATAACATCTCAACCAAGATAACTTTCCACATTTGGAAAAAAGTCATGGCTGTAAAAATGGCACTTTTTGGCTTCGAATTGCTAGCTATCCCTTTAAAGAAAAAGTATTCAGGCGAAAAAGCTAGCTGCACATTTCTCACTGAATTTGTTTAAAGTCAGGTTGACAATAAATTTGCATAGCAATTTTCCTCGGAAATTTATGCGTTTTAACTCATCATTTCTGAAAAGACCCCTGCTAATGCCATAAATCGACAACAAAAAGAAATTATTTTTGTGAGTGCAACTACTGGGAAGTCCAAGTTATGAATGAAGCTGAGGCTCGCAGTTTCACAAGTTATTTGTATCTGGCCTTCCTGTATTAAAGGTTGTACACCCCTGATGTAGAGCATTAGATTACCAAATGCGAACTTAACACCGTCCAAGCTGGAAAAACATGCCAAGAACAGGCACGGATAGTTACTGTGTATTTCGAGCGAGACGCGGGCACGTTTGACTGCGAGGCACGGAAATTGCATTTGTGCAAGGCAAGCACGCATTCTAAATTCAACAATACTAACCAATGGTATACTTCAACGCAACAAATGGAAAAAATTACGAAGATTGAAGAAAGTTTACAGTTTTGAGTGCTCTCGACGGATATTATCATTTTTTTGAATCAGAAAGTCAATTACTGAAACAATGGCTAGATTGTCATAAATTTATTATTTCATGTTTAACTATTATGACACTACTTTGTAATATTCGTTATTGCAAATACTCAAACGAGAATATCGGTCAGAGACCGAAGACTTATCGATCGAAAGTTAGGAGATCCCCCAAAACAGCGCTCTTACTCCATAGTAACACCTTGTGTCCCATCACTAATTAATTAATAACTCGCTAATTATACGACATAATTCATCCAAAATCAATAGGTACGACATATAATGAATGCACATGCAAAATTTTGAGCAGATTCAATCTCGCCTTCGTGAGATATCGCGTGCATCTAACAGACAGACAAACAGACAAATACCTATCAACATACTTACCGATTAGAATCGATAAGTAATAGGTATGACGTAGTTAATGACTCGTGTCTTTCGTGAATAACTCCTAAATATGAGACTAACTATGAAAATGATGGGCCAATACCAAATTTCAGCTACGTAGAATGGTTTATTCACTCAGTCAGTATTGTATCAGTATTTTATGTCAATACATTCCGTAGGCGCATATGTATAAAATACATGAGCTCTTTCAATCGCTAATCCCATCTCGTGCAATCTATATCATACATATATATATCAGAATATACATGGCCATTGAATTATTATTAATAAAAAATCTGTCGGCGAATTTTGGAAAAAAAAACTGTGCTGATGAAAGTCCGGCCATATATATAGAGAGAAACTGCAATAGGAACTTTCCATCCGTTTTCACAGACCAATTCAAACTAGAAAAAAGAGAATACGTAGCAAGCATAAAGTTTCGGAAAACCAGGTACAAATACTCTGACGTTATGGGATTTAACAATCTCATGTTTCATATATATAATAAACTCAAGCTTGCAGGAGTCGTAACGGAACACGTGAGTGAAATTAGGCAATTTATGTTGCACTCATTACGCCAATAGTTCCAAACTTCAGTGGTCAAACTCGGTTGGCCGTGATATTTCATCAGTTTACTGTCACTGTGCCAATCATGCCAATTTTTGTGCTTAAAGTTTTTCCAAGAACTTCAATTATATATATGAACCTGATACGAGTTTACTACAGATGTAATCAAATCCTGGATTCGGGAAGAAGTTGTTGTTTATTTGCTATACCAAATCAGACATATATTTGTGACTAGCCAGCCAGGGAATATTTCGGGATAGGTTACCTGTCATTCTGCAGAAGATGCTCAAATGACTTCACTTTCACTTTTGTTACCCTAGCGGAATATTACAAGACGGAAATTCACGTGTATTTGAAACCTTACTTTATATGTTTAATCCGGAAGTATCCGGAAGATGAGTAAGCTGAGAAGCTCAAAATAATGTCCTTGAAAAGTATTTACTGCAAATTTCAATTCAGTGGAAGTTTCGCAGATGTAATGATGTTTCCGCGAGATGGCGTTCCGAGTTGAAGTTGACGAATTCATCCATAGTATGTTCGATTGAGGTCATTTTGAACTGAATTTATATTTATGTTTTAATATGGTTTTCCACCAGAGTGCAGTGGCCTAACTAAAAAATTTACGATCCAAATACTGTATTATTAAAAATGCATGAAATAGAGGCATTCTGGGTATTCTGCCAGCCAGCGTTTAAAGGCACCTCTCTCGCAAACATAAACCTATGTTTCGCCTTTAGTGCGCCATTGGCCTGCAACTCTCTTATCAATACTCCTAAAAGTGAGCAAACATAAATAATGGGATATGTGAAATTACTTAAATTAACTTTGAAGAATTCAAGTGAAATATTGTATACAGGTTATTTATGAACTTCTCCTTAAGCATAGAGTTGGTTTAATCCAATAGCATAGAACTTTTAAAGCTTGTTTCCGACTTGGCCCTGTACCCAGAACGGCTAATAGTGACATACACATATAATATGATGTACACACGAAAGGTTGCTGTCTTTACGTGCTTTCATTGCTCAAATTATGGCCTCCTGAATTTAAAAAAATCCTTTCGGCCCTTGCCGTGAAAGAATTGACTAAAGAGCATGATTCGTCAATGTTAAAATACAGAATTTAGGAATGTGATTCAATTCAACATATATCTCAATTCTGTATTTTCACACAAAAGGCTACGAATTCACTCACCGAATGTCTGGTAAAAGAAAACTGGCTTAATAGTGTTTGTGCCGGTACACGGGCCAATTGTGATTACATACTAAAACGGTTGCTATCTATGTACAATCAATTTACGAAATATTCAAATAAAACAGAGAATAACAATTAAATATATAATATGCTGTCCTATTTGAGCATTCATCTTTCTTATTATCCAAATCTAAATCTTGTTATTGTTTATATTATTTTGTAATGTAAGAATGTTATTTAGAGTTTATCCCCGTGATTAGCTGAGCCCAATCAATGGAAAGGCGATTGGCTTGATTAGATTAATAAGACCTCTCATTATTTGGTCGATAGTGTGCGGTTTACAATGCGCCATCAAAGGAACTTTGTTGAGCGAAGCGAACCGATTTGTCATGACGAGGGAAGAAGTGCCGCTGGAAAATGCTATAGCGCGCGGGACGAGGAAACTCAATAACGCAACTCAGCTGGAGAGCTTAAAAATTCAGTTTGGCATAGTTGCCAACCAGTCTGTGTCTTCGACAGCGCAGGGTCAGAGATTTTAAGCATTAGGCTTCACAGCAGTTTTCTCAGCGTGTACATACTGTCCGTGCTGTGAGTTTTTGTAGAAAAGAATAGGCAAAGCATGCTGAGCATACATCACAGTGTGAGACTAATCTGAATGAAAGTACATATCAATCCAAAAGCTAATTACCGGAATATATTGGAAGTCAAACGGCGCCGCATAAAGTACAACATATTGTTGTTGCAGATTATTTTTCTTTGTGAACTTGTAACTATATAAAACCATGAAAGATTCTAACGACGGCATATTTCCGACCAGGTTGGGCGATAGTCATCACAACGACGTTGAAATTTATGTTAGCCACCAGCAACAAGTTGCTTCACATCTGTATGAATACCCTTCAAATCCGAATAACAACAACAATAATTGCGTGGGACAAATAGCACCTTGCCAGCAGAGCCTGTACTCATATGGGGCCCCGTTTCCTGCAAAGGTGTCTCAAATTCCTCAGCATGGCATGCAGCAAACGCCCTGCTACGAATTACGATGCCGTGACCCAGTTGATATGACGCCTTATGGACATTTTCATAATTATCGAAAATTTACTCCTGAAAGTTTTGTGCCTTTGTCCTCGGAGGAAATTTTCTATGATGCTAATCATCATTCGAGTCATGGAGTCCAGTATCACGACCACTCGGCCTCTGCTGGCAACAGCAATTTCGCGGTTGGTTTCCGCCCCACGTCCACCGCTTTAGATTTTAATTACAAATTTACGCATGGCAACAAGTTCTATCCGGGCCCACAACCTTTTGGAGAATTCTATCCGTATATGCGACCACATGGAATTCCGCAACACATGGAAATACCATACGATACCGAATTTGTTTGCAAATGGCTTCTGCCCGTCACTCTAATTCACGAAGAACAGAAAAAGCCTTCCGCTATTCAACAACAACCATGCAATATGGTATTCGTTAGCATGATGGACTTGGTTACTCACATAACGATAAGCCATATTGGAGGACCAGAGCAAGTTGATCACACATGCTACTGGCAAGATTGTGCAAGAGGAAAGAAGGCATTCAAAGCAAAGTACAAACTTGTAAATCACACCCGAGTACATACCGGAGAAAAGCCCTTTGCGTGCCCGTTTCCAGGCTGCGGAAAAATGTTCGCTCGCAGTGAAAACTTGAAAATTCACAAACGAATTCACACAGGTATGTATTATGCATTTATTAAATAGTTTGTTATTGTAATCATTTGCTTTTTGACTATTTCCTTCGCAAGATTCCTTTTCTTTGCAAGATTCATTTTGCTGAATTCTTCCATAACTGAAGTACAATCTCTAACATTATCGAAACATAATCATGCAGTTGTCACCACAGACCAGGTGTGAAGCGTTATTAAATCAATTACGCAGCCTCGTATTTCCCCAATGGCAATGACATTTTAGCAACTTTTATGATCAGTAAACGGTAAGAGAAGCTATTAATGATGTTCTGAAATGTTTTATCCCAACTTTTTTCTTTTGTTTATATTCCTTGTTATCAATCACATTGTAAAGTAATAATTGATTTGTTATTTGCAAATTGTATAACAAACAAACGGAATCGATTTTTCTTAATTCTCGCTTTTCCGTACCCGTCTTGCGTGATTCTCTCGGGCACTGTCGTTTTACATAACTTTTGTTAAATAAAGCATCACATTGAAAATCTTGTTTTGAATGAAAACCCACAAGCATATATACCTTGATCACACTATTATACAATGTTAAAAAAATCATCATACTTTAATAGCTAATATTTCCTTCGTTTTGAGACCAACAGAAATAAATAAATTTAAACGCAAGCATGGAGCAGTAAGAGTGAACTAAAACTTGTCGCTGCAGAATTTTTGTAACATACTATTAACACGACCGTAGTTATGTAATAACTTGTTTCGCCTTCAAATTTATTTCACTTTAGTTAGGTGTGTCATGTCACTAAAAAATTGCCATCTTATTATTATATTTTGCGACTTCATATGCTAGCAGCACATAAGGTTTTGTTAATGTGACGGCGGTACGCAGTTGGCTGCGTTTTAACTCATTTGAAAATAATGATAATTTGCTGATAAGTGGTTTGTAGGTTTAAAATGAACTTGTTAAATAATTATTTATTCATTTAGGTGAGCGTCCATTTACCTGCACCTTTCCTGGATGTGATCGAAGATTCGCCAACAGCTCTGACAGAAAGAAGCATAGTCATGTTCATACTTCTGACAAACCGTACACGTGTAAGGTATGTACTGTAGACGTCTATTTTTTGTTTGTTTATTATTTTCGACTCTGAAGTTTGGGATTGATACGGTCGGTAAAAATTGTTACTGGTATGGCTTAGTACTTCCTTTGTCAGCTCATCATTGATTTTAGAGTTTAAATTCAATGTTTTATTGTCACATTTTTGGAATTGTTTATAAATCGTCCACAGGAGCTTTTGATGTTATGACATAATTTCATTCATGTGTGTTGAAATTTTCATATTTGTTCGGCAAAAATGTTATTCAAGTGCTCTATTCGCTCCACGCGTACGAGGTAATTGAATTAACCGAGAGAATTTTCAACATATTTCAGATCGGTTCGGCCATTTTGTATTTATATACATTTGAATATTCATAACGCAGTTTCATAAATTACTTTCTATACCCGATTTAGATAAAGGGATGTGATAAAAATTACACTCATCCAAGTTCATTACGTAAACACATGAGACTTCACGAAGCTCAGGGAGACGTCACTAATCAAGAAGAACAAGACATGACATCGGTAATTCTTTACCAACCGGCTCCACCCCCTTCATCGGACAGTAATAATAACATTTCAAATGCGCCATACACATATTCCCAAACACGGATAACAACTTTAGACACTGAAATAACCAATGGCCAAAATGCAACATTTGTTTCCTCAAACGAATCCAATGTCGTGTTGCCATATTTACCAAATCCAAATGGAAGTACTAAAATTGCAATACCGAAGCCAGAGTTTCCGCCATCGATAGTCAATCCCTTATGTTCTCCTCCAACTTCAATGAACGATGTTAACAAACCCATGCATACCCCAGCACCTTGGACTGCAGTCACACCCTCATCACGACCAAATGATTGGTACATGTACCAGAGTCAAAGACTGGGAGGTATGCCAACTCCACCGAGCGAAGAAAGAAATCACAGGAAAGATGATTATTACAAGAATTTTGGCGAAAAACGAGAAAATAACTTGAATCCTATTCAACAACAACAACAATCAGGTTGTGATATTTATGTATCGTAACCGTATAGGTAGTGTTTTCCACTACAGTATTGTCCCTGTTCCCGAGACTAATGTGCAATGGCTGTTGTAAGGTCTCTATTACTTCGTTCGGCTTTTCGCGACCGTTTGGCGACTTTCAACATCCGTGCATCTCCAAACATACGGTGCGTTGGTTAATTAACGTTACTAATACTTGCAGAAGACAACAGCAGAGAACAGAGTGTCCGATCCTGGCTATGTGGCTCACTATAACTGGGCTCAGTCGAATAACCAGTAACCTTTGGTATACAATTTAACCACTGATGGACAGGTTTGATGTTTATATACAGTATTTTTGTTCCGACTTGGTTACAACCTGTAGTATTAACCCGCTGTAACCATATACATTTGCCTGCCATTAATTTGCTAGTATTTGATTAGCAGTTATATCTGAATAATGCCATCGCCAGATAATATTGATTCTCATTAATTCTTCTAGTTGGTATTTACGGATTTAACTTAGGTTTTATTTTGTTTGTCTTGATGTTTTTTAAACTGCACGTTTGATATTTTGGATACAATTCACCATGCACCATTTCACTATGTTTGCTGAGACCTACATGAGCTTGAATATAGCAAGTATTAGGGATCGATATTTTCGATTTATCTTTTTTGGTTCTCTATCTAATTGTAGGAATGATGCATAACAGCTTTTTAACACACAAGCTAGTTATTTCACGATTAATGTGTATTTTTTTGGTTATCAACTTCGTACACTTGTATTCAACACTCAACGACAAAACTATTTTTTTTTCGTTTTTTATTTTTTTGATTATCACATATTTTTTTTTCATTTTTGTGCCTTTACAATAACTAAAGTCGCCAAAACCGTTTGATGCCATTTTGCGGTCTAGAATATATTTTCTTGTCATCATTTTTATTACTCTGATGTTTTGATTATGGTTGTTCCATCAAAATTACGGGATCGTATATTTACCTTAGTCAACTCTTCTTTTTCACAATTTCACTGCTTTTCTCAATTTTCCCTACACTCCGGCGTTTTAAACTTGTTTCATTAGCATTATAAAACAGTCCAACAAGGACAAGTTGAGCTATAATATATATAAATATGATGCTTCTATAATTGTTTTTGTAAATTAATTCGTTATTATATATGTTCCATATTAATGCAAAATGCCTTAGGTCATTCCTGAATAGAACAATTTTTTTGAATTGTTGCTCGCAATCCTTTCTAAAGGACATAAATTGAAGATTTCAAATGAAAATTGTGATAAATACCGTTTTTGCCTAGATATCTTGCCTTTATGCGATCATTGTTATAAACTTTGCCTTAATTTTGAGATATTATTGTGATCGCCATTTGCAATTTCATATATTCTCCCAGTAATATTTGCTATTTTTTGCATTTCATATTGTGCCCCTGTTTTATTCTTATTCTTTGTTAAATATTAATTTCGCAAATACAATAAAGCTTGTGAGTCGATAAGGCTATTTTAAATGGAAAAGTTTCACACAAATACTCGATCTAAAGTGAGTTATGATTTATGAATTCGACAAATATTATCGGTGTAAATCTAAAACAAAATGGCATTATTGAACTGAAAACGGAAATGTCCTTCTTGTGAGTAACTGATTGTTCATTCGGTTAATTGCTTAAAAATTTAGAACATGGAAATCTCGAAATAACGAGGCAGATTGGAGCTGGAATACCTGACGAGAAATTGAAATATTTCCGTTGTTACAAATCAAAATGGCTGCTGTGAGATATAAATACAACATTTAATATTTCTGAAGGCTTCGAGATCGTTTCAGAAAAGTTGTTTACGCTTTCTTATGAGTTGTAATAATTGTTGTATAATGCGATTTTTCACAGAGCTAAAGCGTCAGAAAGCGAACTCATTAAAATGCAAAGCCCGTGATGAATCAATGTTGGCATATTTTCTCTTATGTTAAAAAAAGTAAACGTAATAGAATTTTGTGGTAACTCGTCAGTAGCTCTACTACTACTGGTGGCATTTCGTTGGTTAACCAAAGATGTTCTTAATACCAAGCACAGTATCGCGGCTTTATATCCACAGGCCATGTTCAGAGGAAATAATATACCTCATCATTTCATATGATTCAGTTTAACTGAAATAACAGGCAATTTTTAAAAGTGTAGCTTGCTCGCTATTGTGCTCCGAAAACTACACTTCCTTTTTATTATTCCGCTTAAACGCACAATTATAAGTGAATGATAATAAAATGAACAGACCGGATAAAGAAAGAAGGCCGGTTTTGAAATTATCGCCCTCTCAGCGGGAGATCCCAAGCACATAAAGGAAGCAAATATCCCCGATGAATAAATTGGTTTTACGATTCGTTTATTGAACTGTAATGGCACAATGGGGTCAAGGCACCCGCCATTTTGATGCCCTAACTTCATCAGCAATGGATGAGTCGATACTTATATGAAGAAAAAACGGCCTTCAAAAGCAGAATGATATCTTAGTTGAAAATATTCGAAGCAGGACCGAAAATAAAACTTGTTTGAAGTCATGCATACATCATCAACAGTTCAAGCGTGACTAAGACAACCCAATATTTGCGTAGGGAATTATCCTAGAACTCTAAAGTAAAGTTATTTTATGAGACAACGCCTACTATCAGGAAAATTTCAAATTTGCTTTCAGTTATTGTTATCCTTGATCATGTTTTGCCAATATATTGTTAACCATTCAATTATTTTCGCCATTCATTAATTCGTTGAAAATTAAAAAGATTGCTACGACGCTTACAATCGACTCTAATTGACCCAATCCCGGACGTGTAATAGGTATCACATATACATTCCTCATTTTGGTTCAATTTGAGCAAATTATGGAGCAAAATATTTTTTGTTTAAAGAAGTAGCGTTGCGTGAACAAAAATATTTTTCAATATGATTGCATGAATGTACACGCAATAAAAATAATCGATAAAAAGGCAAAGGAGACGAAAATAAGATCGAGGTAGTTGGTAGTTGAACTATGTATGTCTGAAGAAGTCTGACCTTGGTCAGACGAAACGTTATAGAAATATATTTGTGTTAGTGTGCAGCAAGACTCTTGAATCACTTAGTCTTATAAAATGGGAGTTGTAAATAGGATTGTAACTGGTCGCCTACTGGCCCGAATCTGTCACGAATTTTAACCAATAAAATCCGGATGCGATCAAAATCCATGAAAAAATATCATTTCTCTAGTAGTCGTGAATATCTAGTAGTCGTAAATATGTAGATCCTATCCTATCCTATCCTAGTCGTAACTCAAAATATTTTGCGTCGTTCTTCATATTACCCTAGTATTTAGCGTTGTTACTTGTTTCATTAGTAAACAACTTGAATGTATTTTGAAAAGAACATTTGGAAGAAATATTAGATCTATATGTTGTCTCAAATTCATTTGTAAGATATTAGGATTGTGTCTAACAACGCCAGAAATGAGTCCCCTTTGTTGCTCGCTAACCGCGTTTGTCAAATCCATAACAACATCCAAGTCCAAAATATTTCAATCGGGAGTTGGGTTTCTGTTGTTTCCGAATCGGTTAGGAGAAATTTCACTTGTACAGGGGGATTTATATAATATATATATATCGATAATCTATTCGTGATTCATTCTCACAGTGGTAATTATTGTAATAATATTAAAATCATTATTTAAATTTTATATTATGAGTTTTATTATTACAAGTTTTATATTAATAAATTCAAAATAAGAGGTTGAAAATGACGTAAGATAGAAATGTATGCATAACTTTCGCTTTGTTACTGACTATCGCCCAAAGACAAATATGAACAGATCTTTGCGGAATTGGGTTAAATGATATGCAATTCTAATGTTGGTGGGATATTCGTGGCATCGACACCTCACATTAGGTTAATAGCAAAATCAAACATTTAAGGCAAATGTCTTTCTGATCTCAATAATTACCGATGACTATTGCTTTGGCAGCTGTCGATTATACGCTAAATAAAACCACCAATATTTAACAAATGATTCATTCATTATTATCATCACACTTGCTTCGTATTTATTTATTTTTTAAACAAAGTTATTTTTAGACTGATATAAAACAATAAAAATAGAAAATTTGGGGATTTCCATATATATTAGTCTGCTTTGTTGTCACTGATTGCACTCATTCACTAAGTCTTCTGTTGAAATCATTTCTGTCGTCAAACGAACTCTTGAAAGCAAACCCGCCTTGGTAAATTATCCAAAAAAAAAATTAAAAAGAACAGATTTTTGCCTAAAGTGCACGTCCAGTTTGTCCTATTAAAAAAATAAGTTGAATATGTAGCGAATTATCTATTGTGGCCGAGCTTAGCCACACCTTCATGAATATCTTTATGTCGTGATTTGTTGGGGCGCTTAATACTTGGTGAGTTTCGTGATTATAACTTATAGCAATGTTATCGTCCAAGCGTAAAAGGCATATCAAGACAGGAACTACCCAGTTTTGCTTACGCTTCACAGCGGTGTCGTAATTATAAAATACACGGCTGTCACACTTCGACATTATTATTTCTTCATTTAGGGCGTTCGTGCATTCAGCATTTAAAAAAATTACAACTGTAATTTATAATCACGAGGCACTTTTTTCATGCGTTATCATGAGAGTTGGTTGAAGTTAGGGCGCAGCAGAAAATTAAGAACAATTACTTTTGCGGCATTATATTGATTTAGCTTTTCTTATGATCATGTGATACATATTGAAGTACATGAAATGCAAAATTTGCTGTACCGTTATATTTTCTATCTAGTATTTTGGTTGCATATAGTGAACTAATTAAGTTTTTATTCTCGAATTCTAATATATGATCACAACAAATAATTCTAATTGATCACTTTTGAGTGATAAAGCTGAATGTTTTATAGCTACTTTTTGTGATTCCTAATTCTGCAAACCCTGCGTTTTCGTTTATTGGTTAACAAGGTTCATCTATTTTCGTGTTGAAATAAATGCTGTTAATTTAGTGCAGCTTTGTGGTTTCCCTTTGACGATCTACAAAAATTTTCTTTGTCACGTGGGAGGCTCTTGCTCCAGATTACAGGACGGTGTGTTCATTGGACTAAATGTACATATGGATCGTTTTTTTTATTCTATCTTTTTTTCGACCACTTGTTATTAAGAAATCTCTATTTTCTTTAATTAATGGGTCAATTGCTTTGAAATTTTTAGTAACTACAAATTGTTGTTGTGTTTTTCTATTCCTATTTTATGAATATTATGAGATATGATATTTTATCCAAAATTTCGATTTATTATTTTTTTAATGGGAATTTTGAAGCATATTTATTTTGTTTCGTTTGTATTTTTCATTAGAATACCCTCGCAAAGCTGTGAAACTATGGCAAAATGACGCGTTTTGACAGGGGCACAGCACGCGGACGAAATAGTATTTCCATAAAAGGGAGAAAACGTTTTTGCTTCGTTTTCCACCCTCATCACGTCGCTTTATCGTCAGGTAGCCTTCAATAAAGTCGAAAGATTTTAACAGCAATGCTTATCTTAGATCACTGGTTCTCAACCAGTAGAACCATGGCCCACTGCTGGGCCGTAGACACATTTTCAAGTCGAAAACAAGCCTATTAAAAATTGCTGAAAGTTATTGTAGGTATTGAAAAGTTTAATTTCATTATAGTCAAAATTGTTATTGTAGTAACCATGAATAAAACTGCTGATTTTCATTCTAATTATAAAGTGAAAGTATTTATTTTTGCAAAACGAGTCTGGTTTTTTCTTGTAGTTTTTCCCTCAACATGAGAAAGTTAGTGGGCAACAGAGTTTTTATGTAACGAAAGTGGGCCGTTAAAGTAAAAAGGTTGAGAACCACTGTCCTAGATATTGTAAGTTGATATTTATAACCATCATTCATAATAAAATCGCCATTATTAATGCTTTATTTATGTCGCTTGATGTCATTGTTGAGCTCACACACACACACACACACACACACTCTCTCTCTATCTCTCTCTTCACCATAGTTGTAGTCAATATAGTGTTTCTCTCACGACCGATTTGCTACGATTCAGTGGGACTGTACTACGTCATCGTTTTGCTATATCTTGAAGCTTAGCGAATCGGATTTCGTTTTTTTATTTATTTGCGTATTTGGAAGGGTTTTATTAATGGAAATTGGAGTAGTCTGGTAGTTGCAGATCCTGTTCTGTGATTGCCTTTATTGGGTATTAATTTATACCTGAACTCCAAACAATCATAACACGATTAGATATTCCCCGTGCATACAGAAGAACTGGTACTGTTTTTTTTAAACTTATTTCTTATCTAGTCAGTCTCTCATCCAAGATACTAGACATATAGCTGACTACAATTGATAAATATCGGAATCCCATTTACTTGTTAAAACCTTCCGACCGCTCAAATCCCTGACCATTTTATGGGTATTTTTAAACTTATTTTTTTTGTCAACCATTAAGCCCCAAAGCTTTACTCATGGCTTTTTAAAAGCGTCTACTAGAGTTCTATTCAGCAATATATCTTTAAAACACACTCCTCGAAAAAAAAATTTTGCAAAAA